GGCCTTGCGCTGATCCCGGCGGGGCTGATAAGCAGATGCCTCTAATCTCAGGGTGTAGTGAGGACAACAAGACCGAAGCAGGTTTTGTTTATAGTAGAGGTTTCCCGATCTAAATATGTCAGTATGGTCTGATGGGCTACAGGGAAATTGAACCGGGGTTCATACCGTCGCCAGCCACCATTGATTAGCTCTTGATAATGTTCCGGGAGTACGGACGTGGAACTGGCGTAGTACGATGCATCTTTTACTAGTCAGCATAGCCATTCTAGACCTGAAAGAAGAAAAATGGGCCAACAAAGCAGTCAGGGGCAACCAACTTCCATCTTTGGACTTGCAGTAGCCACACGAGTTCTTTTGGTAACCTGAGAGCACATCACATTAGTTTCTGCATCGAAATGGACGATCAAAGAGCTGCATGCATTGGCGTTGCCATCCCCGCCAAATTCCCCTCAGCGGTAGCGCTCTGGGCCAGTGGAACTACCACGGGGTAACAGAGGCCTATCTCAGTGGTTCCCTGCAGGAGAGTGGGACGTACCTAGGGGGCGGAATAGCGACAGTTCTCGCGCGCGTTCGGCGTCAACCCGTTGCATGTTTAGATTGGATGTCCGTTGGCGTGCACTGGCGAGTGGACGTGAGTTGTAGTATCGGAAGAGATGAAGTCGGAGAAGCCGGCGGGGGTTAATGTTGTAAATGCGGACTATACGGCAAGGGGGACCTGACTACGTTTATGCGTGCTTATGTAGTTTTTTTAGGTCTAGTTGGGTCGACCTAGTTAGGTCTGTCTATGCATCTCATCGCTCCAGCCACACGGCCGATCTTATAGTTTCTGGTCGAAACTCCCGAAATTCTCCCATCTCGGTACCAAATCCCGTTGTAAGAGGCTCATTACCCGACGCACACAGGGTTATGAGATTGGATGATTGGAATAGTAAGCGTACATTACAGTAGGTCAGAGCGGATTGTGGCAAATATAGCAAAATACAGCAGATTCTAGCAAATATAGAAACATCCCAGTTACTTCTTCCATCTGGAGTGTCACATGACCATATATAGAGTGAAACAGAGTAAAGTCAAGGCCATTGAACAGGTTACGCGCTCTCTGTTGTGGCTAGAGTCACTATAGTGCACAATATAACAAAGACAAGTTGAGATAGTCAAACAAGAGCACAAAAAAATAAAAAAAAGACACAAAAAACAAAGGAAAAAATCGAAACGTACCTCGACTCTTCTCCCGGGCGCCGCCGTGCCCCTCCATTCCCACTTCTCTTCGTTTCTCCATTCCTCAATAACCTCCCATTTCTCAGTTCTTCTTTTGAAAACCATGCCTATTTCCACTTACCATTCCAATCCCCCGTCAGGCATGAACGGGAAGACCTGATCTCCATTGCCTACCTCCGCAATATCCAGAAAGAGAAAAAAAAAAATTTCCCCCGACCGCCCTCGCGCTGTACTCCCGTCCCTTGACACCACCCTAGACACCTGGAGCTTCCTCCCTCACCTCAGAGACCTGACAGGCTCCGAGGGAGCTTCCGAGAGCATCATCCATCGGGTTTTCCTTGATCTTTTCGATATCCTTGGCCTTTCCACTCTTTTTCTCCCTTTCTTCCTTTCCCCGACTTTCCACCCCTCACCAAATCCTGGAGTAATTCCAAAGATATTCGATTGTCTATTACAATGGCTCAAATACGGTCTATGGAAGCCCGCGTTGGGCGGAAAAACCAACGTGAGTTATCGCTGGTGTCGCTTTGCGGCTGCGCACGTGGGGGGGCACCCGTACCCCTTACGTCTACACTGTCCCCGTGTTTCCTGACTCTAACGGCTTGGCATAGGCTACGGCTCAAAAGGCGAGCGACTGGTAGCCGGCGTTGTCCCTATTTCCGCCGACAAGACCAAAGTCCTCATGATTCAATCCGCAGGACCCGGAGGCTGGGTGCTCCCCAAGGGCGGTTGGGAGCTCGATGAGAAAACTGCCGAGCAGGCTGCATGCCGTGAGGCCTGGGAGGAAGCGGGTGTCATCTGTGTCGTGACCAGAGATCTGGGACTCATTCCGGACATGAGACCCTCCGGCCTTCTCACGGCGCACGCGCCCAAAGCCTCATATCAGTTCTTCGAAGTCACCGTCCAGCAGGAGGAAACCGAATGGCCCGAGATGCACAAGCGGAAACGGCAGTGGGTTTCGTATACACAGGCTGCCACTGCCCTTGCAAATCGGCCCGAGTTGCTTGAAGCCTTGCATCGCAGCTCTTTAAAGCGGTAGCCTCGATCGCGTGCACATTCGGTTCTCTTGCAGATCAAACACCCCCCCTCCCTCTTTTTTTCTACCTCTATGTGCACTGCTATCCCGAGAGAGCTGCTCCCTGATAATGACTCGACATGAACTCCAAAAAACGGTGGCTTCGTCGCTTCTACTATTGGCTTTGTCTACCTTTACCTTTTTTTGCATCTTCGACGGGCTGCCGCTACCCGTCTGCTGTTTCATTTGCGAATGAACATCTGAGCCTGTGTTGCTTTGCTTTGTCTCCTTCTGATAGACGTCTTTCGCAAGCAGACTTGAAGGCTTTGGGACGTTCTTGCATTGATACTGGAGGATACCTTAGCTTATCAACTGTGATATCGGATTACTTTATCCTGAATCAATTGCACGGCTTCAATTGCCAGATTTGAATCGAGCGCACACTTCTTTTAGTTCTAGATACCAGTCTTTTGGATGGATTCAGTGTTTATACCCAGCAACTGAATCGAATCTGAAATACTTCCTCCACTCTCTAATCTGAATACGAAGAAGAGAACCGTAGAATAAATAGAAAATAAGTGAAAGCATTTTATTATGGCTGTAAATGTAAAAAAGAATGACTCGATATTGGCACTTTCAGAGGCTGTGACCCGATTAGGCAAAGCGCAAAAAGCTGTCTCCGAGGGAGCAAACCCGCGTGCCCTCAAGCCAACTTCGCGCCCAATTCATCTACCACAACAATTCTCATTACCCTGTCATTCGCCACTGCACTCCGCACTCTTCAACCTACCGTCTTTCTTTTACGCCCCGCAGATAAACATCTTCAGCTCCAGACAAGGGTGGCAGCGAGCAGCGCTGCCGCATACATACCAACATGGATTACGAAATGGATCTCGAGCCCACAGGGCCCCAAGTAACAGTCCGCGAGGTAAGCTGAGACATCCACAGAGCAGCAGGACATAAGACTCACAAATTCCACAGGCGGAACCTTACCGCGTCGATTTCAGACTGACCGCAGTCGACCTCTCATTCGCCAACTCCCTCCGACGAGTTATCCTCGCCGAAGTGCCCACTTTGGCACTCGACATCATCGAAATCGAAAGCAATACCTCGGTCCTCCCTGATGAGTTCCTCGCCCACCGCCTCGGCATGATCCCCTTGAACTCGTACAACTGCGACCAAGATCTCGACTACACGCGAGACTGCGACTGCGAAGACCACTGTGTGCGCTGCAGCGTGACACTATCTCTGCATGCGCGCTGCAGCAGCGGCATCATGTCTGTCTACGCGCGGGATCTGGTTGTCGTCGGCGAGCGGATCAACGACAAGATCGGCGATCCTGTAACCACTGACCCCGAGAACAAGGGTTCCTTGATCTGCAAGCTGCGCAAAGGGCAGGAGATTAAGATGACTTGTCTAGCAAAGAAGGGAACAGCTAAGGAGCATGCGAAGTGGGCGCCCACTGCTGCTGTCGGCTTTGAATATGACCCCAACAACAACCTGCGCCATGTGGACTACTGGTATGAGCAGGATCCGGTGAAGGAATGGTACGTATCTAGGCGTTGAGCTGGTATTCACGAGTTTTCTTCGATCTATCTGCTAACATACCGACTCTTGATAGGCCTATCTCTGAAAACGCTGCCTGGGAACCCGCTGCCAACCCCGACCAGCCCTTCGACTACGATGCTGAGCCTAATTGCTTCTACTTCGACGTGGAGAGCATTGGCAACCTTGAGCCAGATATGATTATCCAGCAGGGTATTGTGGCGCTCCAGCGCAAGCTGGCAACCACCGTCTCCGTGCTCTTGGGTGAAGGTGAGGATGGACATGGCGGAGGTGCTGACGATGCTGAGATGATGGGTGCCAATGACCCCGATGCTTACGAGCCACCTGAGGGCATTGACGGAAACATGACTGCCTACGGAAACGGTGCGGCTAGTGCTTGGGGCGCTAGTGCACAGACACCGTATGGTGCTACGCCTTACGGACAGAGCAGCTATGGGTTCTGAACGTGCATAACCCAGCAAATAAAAATAAAGCCTGAGCATGCGCAATGGAGTTTTGATTTCCTGGTGAATGGGGGCGCACTCTGGAGTTTTCCATTCTTTGTATCTTTTGCTGTGGGGACAGTCTTCTGATGATAGAGAATGACTGGTCTCTGTATCTCAAATATCTACTCGATGGTTCAGTGAACCTGAAAATACTGAATATCATGGAACTTGCTAAACTATGAAATATCTTCCTATAAGTTCTCATGCGGGAATCAACAATAAAACTCAGTCAATGCCCTAGACTACTAACCAATCACGAAAATCTACATGCTCTTGTTTCTTGGTAGATACAGGACTTCAAACCGGCTCAAGGTCGGAACAAGCCCTCAAGGCTTTATTGTCCTAGCTTCTACACCTGTATAGGACTAGGCAGAGATCTATGGAGCAGTGTGTGGTCACTCTTTGACTGCAAATTGACGATGTCGGAGCTCACTATCAAACCAAGAAACTGAGCCAACAATAACATTAGTATAGATTATCAGATACAACTACCAAAGATCAGATATGAATATGCAATGTTTATTTAAGAATCTTATTAAGAATGGTCCTCGTAAAGCAATAAAGAATAACGTCAAGCAAATCCCGGAAAAGCTGCTGAAATGCCCATCCTTTCCCAACGCCTGGCATGCCACAGATGCGACTATACACAATAAACAACCATGCCTCGCTAAAAATGCAGAATGTAGAACACAAAAGAACAGCATCCCCGGAAAACACTACTCCATCAACTCAAGCGGCGGACGAGAAGTCTTAGGCGGCATCTGGTTAACCGACATCTCAATGGGGCTCATCGCATCCATATCCACATCCTCATCCTCAGCACCCAGCGTCATATCCTCAACCATAACCGCCGGAAGATGGGGACTGTCACCATGGTCCTCGGGGTGGTAGATGATGGTGCTGCTCCTGCTACGCTGATGGCCAGCAAGCGGCCAGCTGGACGTGCGCTTGTCCGAGGAGATAGAGACCGGCGTTGCGGGGTCGACTGCAGCCGGCTCGGGCTGCGCATGGTCATGGTCTGTCTTCAGCATCGCCAGTGCGTGTGCTAGATCCGTCGCGTGGACTTCCTTGTTGGGCGGGCCCTCGGTGCGCACGACCCATCCGTGCGGCGGGCTGGGCGGTGGCGAGATGAAGAACATCTTGGAGACTTGCGGGGCTTCGAGGAGTTTCGGTCGGCCGCCGTCTAGGAGTGCTGTCGGCTCGCCGAAGTAGATCCGCGGGTACACATTGCGGTCTAGGAGGCGTTTGCCGTCCAGGAGTTTACGCACTGCCGTGGCGTCGATTTCGTTGTGGAAGGAGCACACGATGCGGCGCATGGACGGGAGTGGGGAGAAGGAATTCAGAGGTGCCACTTCGGTGATTTGTTTGCGGATTTCCTCCAGTGCTGGGGGTTGGAAGACAAGTAGATCGTGCAGACCGGTGATTAGGAGGGTGTTGGAGGGTGGTGTTGGCTGGGAGAGTGGGGGCATGTTGGCAATATCTAGGGATAGGGATGGCCGCGAGGAGTGGGATGGGGTAGTCATTGAAACTGAAGTAGCCATTTTGTGTGTAGGTTGTATGTTTTGGGTATGTTGGAGGATGTTGGATAAGGAGAAGATAAAGGAGGTTGCCACCGGATAAGAACTGGTTTAGAGAAACGTTCTAGAATGTCCAATGGACTGTCGGATGGCGAGATTATTCAGAATTGTTTGAACTGGAAAGACAAAGGACTCTGGATCTGTCTCTATTTAATACAAGATGGTATGTTTTTTCGTGAGGCGCAGCTGTCCTTGCACTGCCTCTGGCATACATACCACGTCTTTATGTTCCTGGCGATCCACCTGTTCCCGGTTCCAGCCCTCCTTCAGATCAAAGAGCTGTGACGATCTACTATATTTTGCTTCATTCGACTGGATTCTACTAGAATAAACTATAGCCTTCCGTCCTTCCGAGCCATAATCTCATGCGTGCGCCACACACGCCACGCAGAATTCAGTTGATCCTTTGACCTGCACCAGCCACACCCCGTGACCTCAACAGAAGCTCCGCCCCTTTTGACGGAACATCCGACTTAACCGAACAAGGAAAAGTACGATGTTCACATCGTATACTCCTATACAAGGTTATTCCTTATCACTAGCCTTGCCTAAGCCCCATTGGCTTGCACTTTTATCATTCTGCCTACGCCTCTAGGGCCATCCACTATCGCATTGCCACTTGTGTTTTTCTCCCAAGCCTTGGATAACCAACCCAATGTTTTACAATAGTAAGCCTGGGAGGCTGGGACTAGACACGTTTGCTTCAGTCATCAGGCTCCTCAATTGATTATTTATGGAGCGTATACCCTATCGATTCCCGAGACATGGTGAAAGCATAGTGGAACAGATATTCGTGGCACATCCTGGCCCACAAGCCTTGCTCGGGAATTCAGATCATCTGTCCTAACTATCCGTTGTATAGCACACCAGACCCTAGTCTTGCTTTTCGGCCGAATGTCGCAAAAGCTAATCGGATAGGTACATAGATTCCGATGAACAGATGTCTTTCGGGTGTCTCACCAGTTAAAATGTCAAGAAAAAGTAACCACATAGCATAAACACAATCCTCTATGTGCTAAATAAATCAGGAATCAATCAACGACTCTATTCTATAACTTGCTTCCTTGGAGTTGGATCTCTCCACCTGTCTTCCTTTCTGGTCTAGCAAGGCGTACCTGTCGCTGCGCCCGTTCCTGCTCAACGACAGCGTTGAATGCAGCTTCAACATCGTGTTCCGAGAGCCACTCCGTATTTGGCCTGCTAGTCATCCGAGCAACAAGCGCAGCATCCTCTTCTTCGGGTGTCGCAAAAATAGTACTTTTCTTGTCGATCTGGCTATGCACAATGCCCAGCAACCGAGCTGTATGCGGCTGCCTGGTTTGAGTGTACAGCCGCAATGCCTTGTTGATATTTCCAGCTGATAACGTGGCCTTTCTTGAAGAGAACACTTCCTTGAATGCAAGGCCAAGGGCGAGGGAGTCATCTAACGCCAGCGAGCCTCCGGCTGCGAAGGAACCGCCATGAGCATGGGCTGCGTCTCCGACTAGAGTCACTCGCGACCCAAAGACCCAAGACGGGAGAGCATCTCCTGCGAAATTGGGATAGAGATTTGTAGATGGTGTAAGCTCGGTCAGAGCTTTGACCGTGGGGTTCCATTCCTAAAGGGTGTGAGTCAGCTGAAGCTCAGATAGGTCAATTGAGAACATACCTTGTATCGCTCTCTTAGGAACTCCACATTGCCAAGTTGATCCCACGCAATGCTTTTCTCCACCTCTTCTACCGAACGCGGGTCATCGTATGCACCGACGGTGGTGTACTGGTCCTTGCCTGGTTTTGTCAGATCTATGCAGCCGTGAAATGCTGGTTCTTTTTCACTTACCAAGACGAGACGCAAAGAAGTTGTCTTTAGGACCCCACTGACAGTTTGTTAGCGACGATTTTAAAGCTCCCTAATGTAGCGATAACATACCCAATGCATCGAATCAGCAGGCAAATCAGGGACCTTGCCCTCTACCAACGAGGCATCAAACGTCGCCCTCATGAATATCTTCCCACTGAACCGTAGTTTATAATCTGGGATGAATGATTGTCTGACACTCTGAACAGGAGTTAGCAAAGCACAATGCTAACCAAGCTATATCACAAACCGATCGAATCCCATCGGCCCCAATGAGGATATCTCCGTGGGCACTACTCCCGTCCTCGAAATACAACGAAACTCCATCCTGATTGGCTTCTGCGCGCGCAATTTTCTTTCCCAAGTGGATTGACTCTTTGGGGACATGCTCGAGCAGAGCAGAGTGCACATGGCCGCGGTGGAAGCGGGTAGTATGGTGACGGGGATCGGGGACGTTAGTGTGAGTGTCTGTAGACACGACTTGGTTCGTTTTCCAGTGGCTATTTATCAATCAGCATGCTGAGTAGTACAACTCGAGTCTATGTGATAGATCCACACCGGAATATTTGTGGGATTCCACTCGGGCCTCTGAACCCAACTTCGTCTGTTAGGGCATTGTGTACGCCGAGTTTCTCCAGTGTGCGCATGCCCTGATATTTCATCACGGTTAGGTGCTTTAATCATTTCAAGAGAATGCGCGAGATACCTACATTTGGACTGAGTGCGATACTAGCTCCTATTTCCAAGAGCTCTGGAGCCTGTTCATATAGCTGGATATCCAAGTTCGGAACGGTTGATACGCGTGTTAGCGATATAGCCGTGGCCAGACCTGCGATGCCTGCGCCGGCAATCAAGACGCGAATAGGTTCCTTTTTTTCTGTCATATTGATATAATTGGATATTCGTCGATTCGGCAGGGATCAGTTCGATAAAAAGTTACTTCTGGTAAAAAAATTTTATAGTTCCGGTCTATCGCGGCCATGACTTCGGAGCTTTTAAGCACGCCAACAATGCAGCGCTGACGCAACCCCGCAATGGCGACTTTAGACGTGCTTTGGAGTCAAACTCGCGTTTGTATAGATGAACATCGCGTTTTGATTAATCAAGCACTCTTCTGCCAAGTAAGATATAGTGCACGACCTTCCAGATTAGGAGAAGACTGTGGTGAGCCCGCAGTCTCCTTCCTCTTATCTGGTGCGAATCTCTCATTAGTGTGAAGACGACGGAGCTTAGGAACATTGCGCAATTTTATCTATAGGCTAATTACTATCATAAGTACATGAGCAGGGCTGCCATTATGCATTTAATTGAGCCTTTTACGCGGGTTCATATTCTTCGTTGTTTATACCTCACACGATGGCAGTAGAAGACCATAAACCTGGCTTTGTGGCAGAAGCACAAGTCCATGAAGAAAGTGAAAATGATTTCATCAACACGCCAAAGCTCCCTGATCAATTTGCCGATGAGAGTTTTAAGCTATTCTCGAAAATCCAAGTCACAGACCCGACTCCCGAAGAAGCAATACAGATTCGCAACAAATGCTTATGGCGGGTTTTACCCTTTCTTTGCATTGGATATCACTTGATGTATGTCGATAAGCAAACGGTATGTTAATTTGATCCCCGAATAGGAGAATCCAGTAATAACATGCTAGCAGCTTGGAAGTTCTGCGATCCTAGGGATCATGCAAGATGCGCATCTAAACTCGAATCAATATAACTGGCTCTCTTCAATTTTCTATTTTGGGTATCTTTTGGCTGAATGGCCGCAGAATTGGGCCTTGCAGCGGTTTCCTGTTGGGAAGTGGCTGGCTGGCAATTTGATAATATGGTAAGTTCTTCTCTTGTCCTCAAACAATGGTATATCGGTCACTGACTGGCTCTATAGGGGTGGAATCACTCTCTTGCATATCCCTTGCAACAGCTTTGCATCTCTTTTTGTTGTTCGCTTTTTCCTTGGGGTAGCAGAAGCATGCATCGTTCCAGCATTCCTGCTTTCAATGTCCATGTTCTTTACTTATGGCGAGCAGGCCGTCATGATGCCGGTTATGTGGTCAATTGGTAATGCAAGTCCTATCACGTCAGGCTTGTTATCTTATGGTGTTCTTTGGATTGATACGGGCAGCTTTTCTCCGTGGAAATGGTTCATGGGTATGGTTGTTCCCCGAGTATATCCGTCAGATTGCTAACCTCTATTCTAGTGATTACGGGTATTCTCACAGTCATTTTCGGTGTCTTTGTCTATTTCTTCTTTCCCGACAGTCCTATCCATGCCAATTTCTTAACACACGAGGAACGTGCGAAGGCTATTCTACGGATCAAAGAGAACCACTCCGGAATCGAGCAAAAGGTTTTCAAAAGATATCAGTCAGACCCCATACCTAAGAAATCTTGATATTCAATATCTAACTAAAGCTCTAGGTTTATTGAAGCAATTCAAGACCCCAAAACCTGGCTCTTCTTCCTACACGCCTGGTCCCAGGAAATGGCAAATGGAGTCACGAATCAATATTCACTAATCATCAAGTCATTTGGTTTCACCGTTCTTCAAACAACACTATTAGGAACCGTCACGGGTGTGGTGTCGTTCTTTTCTCTCATATCAGCTGCAATCACTTTGTATCACACCAAGGTAAGCCAGACTCGGTCATCTAATGCGAACGTGGACTGAAACTTGCAGAATTGCCGAGCATGGATATCGCTCATTGCATACATTCCAGGTGCTCTTTCAAGTATCCTTCTGCTAGGTTAGTAGGTCTCTTCTTTTCAAAATGTGGTCCACTACTAATTGGTCCGACAGCCTTGCCCTGGTCCAATCGATGGGGTCTTATCGTCGGAATCTGGATTAGATCTACAACCGGCATCCCATATGCTGTTGTGATGATCTGGGCTGCCAATGCGTCCGCGGGTCATACGAAGAAAACTACCGTCATTGCGCTTTATCATATTGGATACGGACTGGGAAATATCATCTCTCCGCAATTATTCCGGCCGGAAATGAAGGTGAGTTCTTCATTCGAGCTGGCTTGGACTGTCATACTAACAACCATTCAAGCCTCGGTACAGACCAACTTGGATTATTTTGCTTGTGGTAAGTCGTGTTTGGACAAAGCTATGTGCGGAATATTTGACTGATAGCTCTCCAGGTTGCTGCGATTCTTCCTTCGATAATTATTATCGCGCTCCGGATCTACCTAAGCCGAGAGAACAAGCGTCGCGACAAGCTCGCGGAGTTTAATCAGGTCGCTAGCAATGGGGTTGTCGAGACGGTTGATTCGGATGGGGGTAAAGTCGCTCGCGTAGTGGATAATAGTCAGTTGGATTTGACTGACAGGGAGAATTTGACTTTGTGAGTTCTCATCTACACGTTTGTTGGTCTGCTGATACTAATTCAGAAACAGCCGATATGTACTCTGATGGTTGGATAATTGGACTCTATGAGTAGGGATATATTCGGGTTTGGAATTTAAATGACTACACTTTATACTGGGCTGAATATTCCTCTTTGATCTTTTGTGGTTATCTCTGAATAACCCTGCTATATATAGTCCTATCCCAGTACGGGTCATTATCTCCACCTCGAATAAAGTACTGGAGTATTCGGTCATAGTTTAACATTGATTTCAAAGCCAAAGTATGATAGGCCAGTTACATACCTCCTCTTAATTATTAATGTGAGTTGTGCGATCACATTCCTATGGCGTAAACCACCTGCAAGAATCCGATACACACAACAGTCGGCCTGAATGACGTGCCAGCTAATCCGATGATTTCCAAGCACCCAAAACATCTTATCTCCTCGACTCTCCTCTGGGCTGAATTAATTCATGGTCTAGAATGATTTCCTCCGTGTAATCAGCATAATCAAATAGTTGTTCAAACTATACAACGTACTCCATCTGCAACAGCTCACCATGGATATCCGGGAGAGACAGCCTCTTTTAAACCCATCAAGTCAATCCAACATTATATCTCCCAGCCCTCAACAAGAACCACTCGACCTTTTAACCGATGATTTCCCCCCACTATATCCCGATACCCTACCAGGGACGCACTACAGAAAGAGCATCAACTGGTCAAGCGCATACATCCTAGTCGTTTCGCAGGTGATTGGGAGCGGTATCTTCGCAACACCAGGCTCAATCGTCAGATCCGCTGGAAGTATTGGATTGACCCTGCTAGTATGGCTGGTTGGGACGATATTATCAGCTTGCGGCCTAGCCGTATTTATGGAATTCGGATGCATGCTACCTCGCTCGGGAGGACAAAAGGTAAAAGACATTGCAGCAGGATTAGCAGAAACAAGTCGGCTAAACTAATCTCATTTCCGTGCAGGTGTACCTCGAGTATACCTATCCCCGACCGCGCTTTCTCGCGTCAAGCCTTATAACAGCTCAGGTAGTGCTCCTAGGGTTCACGGCGAGCAACTGCATTATCTTCTCGAAATACGCGTTCTTCGCGCTGAGTATTGAGCCTACCGAAATCCAGCACAAGGCACTCGCTGTTGGCCTCTTGACTGCCATTACTATTGTCCATGGTTGTTTCTTGAAAACTGGCATCTTTGTCCAGAATGTCCTTGGCTGGGTGAAGATCTTCCTCATCGGCGCGATGTCCTTGACGGGAGTCTGGGTAGTTTTTCTCGGCTTGCATGGAGATACTGATAACTTATCGCCTGTAGAGAGAGTTGGTCCGTTTTCTTGGGATTCGTTGTGGGAAGGATCGAACTGGAGCTGGAGTCTGCTTTCGTCGGCTTTGTTCAAAGTCTACTATTCCTACGCTGGCTTGAGCAACGTGAACAATGTCCTCAGTGAGGTTCATGATCCCGTGAATATAGTCAAGACCGTGTGTCCCACTGCGCTGGTCACGGCTGGGGGCCTATACTTTCTTGCGAATCTTTCATACTTCCTTGTCATTCCGCTCGAAGAGATCAAGAATAGCGGGGAATTAGTGGGTGCACTGCTATTCGAGAGATTATTTGGGGATCAGGTTGGGAAGATATTCTTTCCACTTGCTATTGCCATTTCAGCTGCCGGGAATGTGATGGTGGTGACCTTTGGCTTGGTACGTTTGGATATATTGCATAGAAAGCCAATACATGCTAACATTGATAGGCGCGTGTGAATCAAGAGATAGCCCGACAAGGCTTTCTTCCATGGCAAAACATTCTATCGTCTTCGCGACCATTTGGGACCCCACTGGGGGGACTTATTGTACACTATATCCCTTCCATGTTGGTCCTCGCCCTACCACCACAAGGGGACGTCTATAACTTTATCCTGGACTTGGAGGGATATCCTGGACAGATGTTTGCATTGGCTATCACAGTTGGTCTGCTTATAGTAAGATACCGGGAGCCTGATCTTCCACGGCCCTTCAAAGCGTGGTTGCCGGCTGTCTGGTTACGGGTTGTGGTGTGTTTAATCCTGCTAGTAGCACCATTCGTCCCTCCTCCGAATTGGCGCGACCTCGATCTCTTCTATGCAACCTATCCACTTGTCGGGATTGGAATGTGAGTGGCAATACTTCTATGTGTGATTTACCTCGCTAACAAACACAGTATGCTCTCTGGGGTTCTCTACTGGTATATCTGGACAGTTTTACTCCCACGATGGAGAGGCTATAAACTCGAGGAAGAGAATCATATTTTAGCCGACGGAACTAGCATCATCAGGCTTGTTCATTCATATGATAAGTGATAGCTTACGCATATTATGATCACTTCATGGGATTGGCCATTGTTCATGTTCACGTCTGGGAGACAGTGTAGAATGCCGAGTCTGTCTATAAGGGAGAAATCCTTGGTCCCTAACGGCAGTGAATATTGTCCACTTGTAATGCAGCCATGGAGAAGATAGTTGAGGTCTGAGGATACAGTGACTTCCCGGGCAAGCGATTGTGCACGACAAACAAACAGACCCATTCGGGCTGCTTCCTCGTTCCTTCTTTCCTTCCTATCTGGTTCCCTCTCATCTCGCTCCTTCCCTATTCCACTTCATCTGGCGAAGACAGAATACGGATCTCTCTGTATCTGGATTTGCTAGAATCGCAACTGAACTTCTCAACGTCATTTCCAATTCCTCGGGCTTGTCTTCGAATAATTGCTTCGCCATGGCATCGATGCCTGTGAGGCCCGATAGACTGCCTCCTCCATGTCCCTCCTGGATCTATTCCAACAACTCAGACACGCAGTGAGTATTTTCTGCCTCGCAGGGCCAAATCCATCCATCTAACTAGGCCAGTACTGCCAAAGATCGCTGTTGGTTCGGTACAGACTACATCCCCTTCAGGTCTTATGTCACGGATATAGCTGGAGGCATGGTCGAAGTCATTGGGATGGGAACTGTCAATCTCACCACCATGAGCTTGCCAACCCAGACCGATCTGGATTCGCATAGCTCCATCTGCTTGAAGAACGTTCTCCATACCCCAGCAATGCTCTGCAACATCATCGGAAGGCCCATCGAAGACGACTACACTATCATATGCGACTCCAGTGCCCCAGATAGCTCCGGTTTTATATTAAAGAACACCAATGGTCGCATTGCAGCCTACTTCAAGCCTATGGGTGAAGGCCCCATGCTGTACCAAGTCCAACTTGGCGCGCCTCCACTCGGCCATGAGTTCGGGATTTCGCCCTTGTGCTCTAACGGGCGCTACATGATTCACGCCTTCTGGTCCCAGCATGAGCGGCAGAGATTTGAGGCCTTGATGGCCTCCGGTCTGATGCGAGCCTCCGGCGTAGAGCCGCTTACATGGGCCGAAAACCGTTGGTTGACGAAGAGATTCATGTCTGAATGGGGAATTGTACTCGCCTACGGGTTGGACTATAACGTGAAGGAGCATCGAGAGGAAGGCCGTGCCATCACGCGAATTCTTATGTCCCATGCGAAAAATGAACCGAACGTCTGATCCCAGAAGAGCTGTTGAGAATCATTTCGAACTTTTCCAGGAATGTCTTTCATAGCTTAATACGTTTTCGAAATAACCCAATGAGCGACATGTCACAATGATCATGCTTCAAAAGTAGAACGGACTATCATGCCCAGGCGATCAATAAAGTATACATCCTTCGTATGCTCGGGGTAGGTGCAAATAGCCCACTGGGCGATATTTGCAAGTCAATACATAAGGTACTTCCCAAGCTTAGGGATACGTAATAGCTCTACTCCGTAGAGAAGTCAAAAGAAGATCCCCTCGGCCCAGCGTTTTTCCTTGCCAAGGTCAGGTGATTCCCGATCAAATTTGTCCGAGGACAAATGGTTCCGCTTCAAATTCACCGAGTCTCTATTCTCAATTCCACACATCATCATTTATAATGTTCCAACGAACCCTCCTCAGACAGGCTCAGGCCGCGCGCTCCATCCTCTCTACCTCTTCCCCCTCCACCGCATCGCTGGCGCTGCGACGGACTACACAACAACCGCGTATCCCGGCTATCCGGCCATTCGTCCCCCGGTCTACCCGTCTCTATTCAACAGAGACCAAGGAAGCTACCGAAGCTGCGAAAGAGAAAGCCGAGAAGTCTGAGAGTGCAGAGAACGCAGAGGCCGAGGATCCCATCAAGAAGGAGCTCGAACAGAAGACAAAGGAAGCCATTGAATTCAAGGTAAGCTATTTCCCCATACTTACTGCTACGGGTAGCTCCGCAACTCTTTCGCGGATGAATATTAACCAAAACTTCCTCTTAGGACAAATGGCTCCGCTCCGTCGCGGAATCCCGCAACCTTGTTGAGCGCAACAAGCGCGACATGGACGCCGCCCGCAAGTTCGCCATCCAGGGTTTCGCCAAAGACCTTCTTGATAGCATCGACAACTTCGACCGCGCGCTGCTAGCTGTGCCCGAAGAGAAGATCAGCGCTGCTAAGAACGAAGAGAACAAGGACCTCCTCGATCTCGTCGCCGGTCTCAACATGACCCAGCAAATCCTCCTGAACACCCTCCAGAAGCACGGCCTCGAGCGCTTCGACCCCGGCGAGAAGGTCGACGGCAAGGCCCAGAAGTTCGACGCAAACTTGCACGAGGCTACCTTCATGGCTCCGGCTGCTGATCTTGAGGATGGTGATGTTATGCACGTACAGAGCAAGGGCTTCCGTCTTAACGGCCGCGTTCTGCGGGTGAGTGCTAGCCCCTAAGATCCAAAGTTCTTGCGGAATATTTTGACTAACTGCTTTCTTTTCTCTTACAGGCTGCCAAGGTCGGTGTCGTCAAGAACGCTTAAATCGTTGGCAATAACTTCGATTCTTAATCCTTCGACCTTCCTGCCTTTTCACTCTTCTTTCCTTCTCTTTGTACCATATGTCATACATCATGATCACGATAGGGTTTTATACTCGGATACGGCTGGCTTTTGGACCCAGGAAAATTACTATTCCTTACTATCTTCTGCTCGTCTCTTTGACTCGGCTGTATGATACGCCCTTGTTGCATGTGTCTGGAGGCGTACGGAATGTCTCATGTTGGTGGTGTCTTCTCACTTGTTTCGTGACGTCTGCAGCTCTACGTCCCCTGATAATTCTCTCCTCCTCACTGTATAATACACACTTCTTAGAGGCATTGTCATAACCTCTAGTGTCTTCATTATCCTTCCACCTTCGGTACCCTAAATTAGACCCTAATCAAAGACAAAGCTAGCTATAGTCTGTACCTATTAGAACTTGAGTGGTATCCATATATCGATTTTTTCAATGAGAGGAATGCTATATGTTACATGTTCTCCATAATAATCACAGTATAGTACAAAGTATAGCCCAACAATCTCCAAACTCACCTCAGCTCAACTCCAAGCTCCCCAACTAACTTTTCCCGGACCTTCAGATGCATTTCATTACTCTCCTCATTCGTTAGAGTCCGCTCCAAGCTCCGGTAGTTAATGCGGTAACACATGCTCTTGCGCGAAGTCTTAGGATGCGTAAACTCGTCAATGAGAGTAACATCCTCAACAAGATCCCCACCAATCCCACGAACAATCTCCATAACATCATTCTCATGGAAAGGCACGGCTCCACCAGCAGCACTGTTACCACCCGTCACAGCCGCAGGAGGCAACCAGAAAGCAACATCCTTGTAGCAAGCCGGGTGCTTAGAGAAAGGCTCGAAGCGCGCGATATGGCCAGCGCGGAACTGCGACAAGAATCGCTCATCCCGCGACCAGAACAACCGAATATCAGGGATATTGAAAAGAAGCATAGCAATGCGCTCAATGCCCAGTCCAAACGCCCATCCAATCCGGTCCGGCACGTCCGAATTGATCAACAGATCCTGCTTGATAATGCCGCAGCCTAGGATCTCCAGCCAGTCCCCTTGCCAGAACACCTCCAGTTCCCAGGACGGGCTGGTGAACGGGAAGTAAGCCTCGACCCACCGCACCTTGAGCGGCTCCTGCTCCGCACCACCGCTACTCGCCGCAGCGGCCTTGCTCGCTTCCGTGAAGACCTTAATGACCATCCGCTCGAGGGAGCGCTTGAGGTGCGCAGCCACAGCCTCGACCTCCTCGGCGCTGTGGTGTTCGTCCTGCAACGGGTTCCGCTGCGCGTGGATAGTCGGGTTGGGGTCCTCGACCACAACGTCGTGGCGCGGGATCTTCTCCACATCCGCCATGATCCTCGCTGCTGTTTCGGCCGAGGCGGCGAGTGGGTTCGTCGCGGGCCGCTTCCACAGCATCGCACCCTCCATCTGGTGGAAGACGGGGTAGTGGCTGCGGTCGATCGCGTCGCGACGGTAGACGTCGGCGATCACGGTGTATCCGACCTCCTCTGGGCGGGTATGCTCGTTGCGGGCGATTTGCTGGAAGTAGGCCTGTTGGTGGGCGCTTGTGTGCGTGCGCAGCACTGTCTTGTCGTTCACGTAGTACGTATCTGTGCGACTGCGGCCCGGGTGGTCTGCGGGGAAGCCGAGGACGTCGAAGTTTTGTCTCGTTGAGACGACTGGGTTCTTCTCTGAGTAGTTGCCATAGTTTGGGGCTGCGAATTGGCTTTCGATGAGCTTGCGTGTAATGGCGAGAGGGTGGTTCTCGTCGAGATAGAGTCGTCGTCCGATATGGGATAGGATTGTATCGGGGGTGTTGGTCCACTGGTCGGTTGGGTAGGTCTCTCCTTCGATTTTGAGGCTCGATTGTTGCTGGGGTATTTTAGAGGTAGTGGTTGCTTTCTGTTCACTCCGGCGAGCGGCGGTTGAGCTCCATTCGCGGTTGCGGGAGAGAATGGGAGTTAGTGGGAGCGAGCGGGGAATGGCGGTTTGGGGTCGGATTGAGGCAATTGACCAACGGCCACTGCTCGCACGCAGGGCTCGACCAGTAGCAAATAGTCTCATGGTTGAGCTAGACGTTGTGAGAATTCCAAGGTTGTCCATCAACACTATCAACACATGTTCGGGCCGGCAAAATTAGTTCCCGAAGTGTATTTGTTGAGTCTGGACAACGAGTTATGTCAACGCAGCATTTATTTACCTCTTTCTAGGAGAAGAGGCTTATGATTTAAGCGTATTTGGATTTATTTACAGTTGCTACAGCTGGTAGTCCGAGCCATTTTAACCTTCACACGTCTAAATTGAAGGTTGTCTATGTATCTACGGAGTATGTACTATGCAGTTTGCATTGCTTTATAAGTTATACACCTCTTCTACTGTATTTACTTGGCTCCGAACAAAAGCAAGTAGTTTAACTGATAATACATCCTATCCCAGCTCTTGGCTTTTCTTTCCTGTGCGACAACGACTAAATACGAATACCCTCGCCGAGACAGCTGCGAAACAACGTATTAAACTGAAGTAGATATTTTATACCTTCTATACCCTGATCACATCACAACCATAATCCCGTCTAGTTAGCCTTCATGCATCGGAAAGTTGTCCTGTAGAACCACTCGGTAGTCCGACGCCAGTGCCAACCGCCCAACATCCGTAAAAACTCCGAAGATCCGCATGATAGCCGATCTCGTCATAACAGCTCTGTTGAAGCAATTAGCACGACGGCGGTATGGATTAAGATACCCTCGGCATCCATTTCAACGACCGAACAAGGACGATATCCAGGGTGCCTGAGGGACTGTATGTTCCATACAAGATATTGTTCGGCGCAAACCCGAGAAGGTGATTGGTGCAAGCGATGAGCCCCTATCAAAACGCTTGATCTGATTGGCTGCCTTTCACGTTCGGCGACTGGCCGAGTGGTTTCGGAGGTCTGATTTGTCTCCGTCGGTATTTAAAGGGCCAAAAATTTACGTCAAGTCACGTTCGTAAAAGCCGAGAAAAGACCAGTAAAAAAAATAAATCACATATCCCCTTGAATCACTCTCTCCCCGCCTTTTTTTGTGCGTGTATAATTTAGGGGTCTTGTTTCCTAGCAAGATGGCAGACAGCGGCAAGATGTTGGAGGTTCCTCCTCACTCCCGAGTCGTGCCCGTTCAGCCCGCGCAGTCAAAGCCGAAGCAGGTGCATTACCCGTTTTGGTTTGGAGGTTCGGCCTCCTGTTTCGCGGCGGCCGTAACGCACCCCTTGGATTTAGGTATGCTCTTATTTCTCCCTCGATTATAAACTATCTGCTAACTCTACGCCCTTAGTCAAGGTATTTAGGAGCTCCTAGCCGGTTGTCCGAGAGAATGGCCCGTGGCCCCGATTCCAAGCCCCGACACTGATATTTGTTTCTTGCGCAATAGGTCCGGTTACAGACTCGTGCGCCCGATGGACCAAAGAATATGGTTGGGACGTTTGTGCACATCCTGAAGCACAATGGCGTCACGGGGTTATATAGTGGTGTATGTGCGACCCTAGAATCCGGTCGATGACAGTAAACGGGCACAGTTGGCTAACGAAGGACGGATGGGATATGGTATAGTTGTCAGCCGCAATGCTGCGTCAGATCACATACTCCACGACGCGTTTCGGTATCTACGAAGAATTGAAGTCACGCATTAGCCCGCCCACCTCAGACCCAGCCGCCGCACCAGGCCTGCTTACTCTCATCGGCATTGCCTCTGCTTCCGGATTCATCGGTGGCATAGCAGGCAACCCGGCCGATGTGATGAATGTGCGCATGCAACACGACGCGTCCCTCCCTCCCGCCCAGCGACGAAACTACCGAAACGCAATCCATGGGCTCATCCAGATGACCCGGACAGAGGGATTTGGTTCTCTCTTCCGCGGAGTATGGCCTAACTCAACCCGCGCGATCCTTATGACTACCTCGCAGCTAGCTACTTACGACACCTTCAAGGGTCTTTGTATGGAGAAAGCCGGCATGGCTGATAATCTAGGCACACACTTCACAGCCTCGTTCATGGCGGGATTCGTTGCTACCACTGCCTGCAGCCCCGTGGACGTGATCAAGACTCGTATTATGACGGCTTCTCATGCGGATAGCGGTGGTCATACTATCGTCGGTCTCCTGCGTGATATTTGCCGTAAGGAAGGCCTTGGATGGACTTTCCGTGGCTGGGTACCTAGCTTCATCCGCCTTGGTCCCCATACAATTGCCACTTTCCTCTTCCTCGAAGAGCATAAGAAACTCTACCGCAAGCTGAAGGGCATTTAAAGATACAAAGAGTGACCATTCCTTTTTGTACTTTTTTCCCTGCCGAATCTTCCCAATCTTACAGCGGCATCTACGCCTCTGTCCGATATATCCTCGGTATATACGATTTGTTGTCATCTCTCTGGTTTTCTATGTGTTGCACCTTGAGACTGACTCACACCATTTTCAATTTGGCGTGTATATAGCTTGCATTCTTTCGGGTTTTCTTTCATCAGAGATTCGACTAACGGCCGGAGACGGCCTTGGGGCATATCTATTACATGGCCCCATGGCCTTGTACAGTGTGCTGGATGATGTATTATTTCTTGTCGGAACTGGGATTACATAGAATTAGATACATACACACTGAATCGCATTCAACGCACTTCCGCAAGGACGCGTGGATTGTACTCAATTCTAAGTTATCTTCCCAGCTAGCAATGACTGCGAGCGTCTACATGAAAGATATGTTGCGACTGCTCACGCTTCAAAGGTCAGAACAAGCATCAGCTAACTACAACACAAATGATTTTACAATACGACTAGTTTATGAACTTTCTCTCTGCCTTATACGGATGGAACGACTTAGGAAATATAGGGGTTGTGTCCCCGCGTGACCCAGTAGAGTACATTGGAACTTGTCGATACATAAAATTTGACACGGCTCACTTGGCCAACCAAAAACAGCTGTTGGTTATCTACTTGTCAAGGTGGACAGGGAAGTTGCCAGCCTCTGTTAGTACAAGTTAGTATGAATAAGCATATATCAAGAGGAGACTTCTAGATGCGTACCGCGCTGACCGTCCCAACGATCGGTCCAGGCCTTGGGGCAAAGAGAGCGGAAGGAGTGGTAGAACTGAGAGAGAAGCCGTTAGAAGCTGCTGAGATTTGAGAATATTGTCGGTGTCGAAGTTACCTGCTTGCAGGGACGGAAATCCTCGCCCTTGGCAGTGGTACACTTGTAGTAGTCGACATAGTTCTGCCAGCAGTGCTTGGTCCTGTGAAGTGAATCCAAGTTAGATAAATAAAAAAAGGTACCAAAACAAAAGCTTATCACGTACTGGTTCATCTGGGGGAAACGAGCATCGTAACCTGCGATCCAATCGAAAATTGTCAATTACACCATACATCAGCCGATCGGGCAAAATCGGTCCACGCGCATGCGACGAGCGAAAGACGAGGGAAAATATCAAGGTTTACGCACCAGCTACAATTAAATTAGCCATTGACTCTCCGTAGGGCTCCAGGCCCCGGTTTTCTCGGGAGGGGGTAGTGGACTTACCAGTGACGAACTTGAAGGGCTTTGTCTCGAGGACCTCATCGGGGTCGGCTTCCGGAATAGCACCCATATTTGCGATGTGTAGCTTCGAGAGAAACGACACACGTGAAAAAGAATTGGAGTGGAGTGGAAACAGAGGAGGGGAGAAAGTGAGCCGGGAAGAGCGACGTTGGGTGATTGAAGCTGTGAAGTGCCGGATATGACCGCGGGCGGTCAAGCGAGAGCCACTGAGCGTCTCGCTTTTACACCCGAGCCAGTCACGTTCTCGGAAGCTGGCGTTCCAACCTCGTCCTCTATCCCACTCTTCGTCTGCTACTCCAGGTTGAATCACATATCTCGCTATGTATCCCACTCGCATGCTGCGGATGCAGCCCACTCGGGCCTTTGCTTTCCCTACTCCTGTATGTTCTTTCCCTCGAAAATGGTGTTGTGATCATACGATCCCTCGGTTACTAACTTATGTCTGTAGAAGGAGCCCCAGAGTGGTATGTATCTCTGAGATCACTAGACCTATATGGTGATTGACGGAGCCATATAAAATGGACTTACTTTTATGGGGACTGCCATTGAACTAACAATTCACCTACAGCCCACACTATCTCCCAGCGTCTGCGCCAGCTCAAGCGTGTGCCCCCCGAGTTGCTCCCTATTGGTATGTGCTATAGTCATGATTTTGCGGTCGGAAATTAGGCTAACGGTCTGTTTGTTAGGCTTCGTCCTCGCGTATGTTTCTCCCTCTTTGATACTATCTTCCGCTTGATTCCGGGAAAACATGCCCGACGCATGCCGGAATTTTATCACGCTATATCGCTTTACTGGCAACCAACCACATGTCTTTCCCTGATGCTAACTTGCAATCTTAGTGTCGCCCTTAGCGCTGCTGTCTACTCTTGCACCAAGAAGCTGCTGACCGACAAGACCCTGCGTCTCCACCGCAACAGCCCCGAGAGCCGTGACTACTAAATGTACCACCATGTTTCTTTGAGCTCTCAGAATGCGACGCGCAGTTTTTGGATTATTGCCGCTTGTATTGTTGAACTAGGAGAATTTGAAGCCGATGGGCATGATTTGAGAAAGACCAATGGAGAAGAAATGGAATGGGCTCGAAATTGCAGCCCGTGTACATATTCCGGCTGTCCGAGCCTGAATCCTGATGGTGTAATTGGCAAATTAGGACTTATGCTTTTTGTTTGTCATCTTCGTCGTAGCTATCGTAAAGTGTAGCGTGCATCACTCGGGCTTTGGCCCAGCAACATCTAATTGTTCCAATCCCTGCATAGGATCTTGCGGACGACTGCTTGCAGCCTGAGCCTCCTCTGCCGCTTCCCGATCCTCCTCGCTGACGGCATGCTTGGCCAAATAACCCTCCTACAGAATGCATCGGTTAGTATAGGTTACAGTTAGATATGAAATCGATCCCAACGAACCTGCTCCCAAATCGCAGTCTTGCTGCCTAGTCCTTCATTGGCATCCTTCTGTGGCTTTGCAGCGGCGACTTTGATCGTACGCCCGTAGATCTCACTGCCATCCATATTGTCGATTGCCTCTTTAGCGTCCTGCGGCAGATCAAATTCCACATATCCAAATCCGCGGTGAACTTCGGCCGAGTTGGGTTGGTCCGGTTTGGGCAGCGAGATATCAACAACTTCGCCGAATGGAACAAAAGCCTCCGCAAGTGTGAGCGTGGTCACCCCTTGGTCAAGACCTCCCACGTAGACGGTGCTCTTGAGCCGCGTGGTTTCGCTCATTATGTGTAGTTGCGGTTCGGGTCAAATTGGGGGATCTTTGATTTGGGCGGCTATGTGCCGAGATTGCACGGATAGTAGAAGATGTGAGGGGAAAGGGAGTTCAACGGCAAAAAAAACTTTTGTTCAAGACTCTGAAACCAAGCTGTACGTTGCTATCAAACCAGACCGAAAGATTGATATCACGTGCAGCTCACCTCGGAGAAGTGCCAGGTGTTTTGGCGAGTCTAAAAGCGGTCTAGCGCGCGTTCCCCGGTCCCTCCAAGTCCAGGAGGCCACTTGGTTACTGCTATACTTGGAACATCTAGAGTATCACCCCATTGTCAATTATTCATAAGGGGTGGTTCTTGATCCCTCTTCTTTCTATTTATTTGGGTTTCACTATTCCTCGGGTGATACCTTTCACATACTCCATTGGTCTCGATCCTCACCAAAACATACCTCCCCTGCCATCATCATGGTGCGTCTGAGGGAAATCCCAAGGACGGCCACGTTCGCCTGGTCGCCTGGCGCTGCGTCGCCATTGATCGCAACTGGAACTCGCGCTGGCGCTGTCGATGCCGACTTCTCTAACAAGACATGTCTCGAACTGTGGGATTTGGGCCTTGACCGTGAAGATGCGAGCGAGGAGCTGCAGCCCATAGCTAAGCTCGATACAGAGTCCGGGTAAGCGTGCTTTTAGGAACTTGAATGGAGATGAGCATGCTGACCGATTAATGTAACTAGCTTCAATGATGTGGCCTGGACAACGTCCGAAGACAACAAACGGGGTGTGATTGCGGGTGGCTTGGAGAATGGCTCCCTGGAGTTGTGGGATGCTGATAAGCTACTTGCTGGATCCAGGTTGGTCGAACTCTACATACGAACCAGATCCCGGTGACATTTGCTAATCGTTCAATTTCAGTGATGCGTTGATCTCAAGAACCACTAAGCACAGCGGCGCCATCAAGACCCTTCAGTTCAACCCGAAACACCCGAACCTTCTGGCTACCGGTGGCGCAAAGGGAGAGGTAGGCTGCGGTTTGAGGATAGGTTGAATATGTGGCTAATTGCTGGATAGCTGTTCATTTGGGATCTAAACAACATCGAGAACCCATTCCGGTTGGGCAACAACGCGGCCCGCACAGATGATATCGACTGCTTGGATTGGAACAGGAAGGTTCCTCACATTCTTGTCACTGGTAGCAGCTCCGGCTTCGTGACGGTCTGGGATGTCAAGACGAAAAAGGAGAGTCTGACATTGAACAACAAGGCCCGGAAGGCTGTCAGCGCAGTCGCATGGGACCCCGAGAGGGTACGTTAGCACTTCCCACGTAGTTATTCCAGGATTGCTGACCGTTTTCACGTCTAGCCCACAAAGCTTATTACATCGTCACCGCTGGAGTCAGACCCAGTGCTCTATGTCTGGGATCTGCGCAACTCCCACGCCCCGGAGCGGGTAGGTTACTCTATCAGAGCCCAGATGTGACTTAATACTGATATTATTTGTATAGACACTCACCGGCCACGAATCCGGTGTGCTCTCGCTTTCTTGGTGCGAGCATGATCCAGATCTCCTGCTGTCTTGCGGCAAAGATAACCGTAATATCTGTTGGAACCCGCAAACCGGTGAAGCATACGGAGAGTTCCCCGTTGTCACGAACTGGACCTTCCAGACCCGCTGGAACCCCCACAACCCGAACTTCTTCGCAACCGCGTCCTTTGATGGCAAGATTTGTATCCAGACCCTGCAGAACACGAAGACCGATAATTCCCAGGCCATCGCCGATCACAATCAAGCCTTGGACGGCGAAGACTTCTTTAATAAGGCGCAAACGCAGCCCCAAGTCTCCAAGTTCTCTCTCCCAAAGGCCCCTCGCTGGCTTGAGCGGCCCTGTGGTGCTACATTTGGCTTCGGAGGTCGGGTCGTTTCCTTCGGTCTGACTGAGAAGGGCTCACGTACATCTACTGTCAAAATCACATCGTTCGAGGTTGATGAGAGCGTTGGCAATGCTACTGAAAGCTTTGAGACTGCATTGAAAGAGGGCGATATTCGTACTCTCTGTGAGTCGCGCGCTTCAGGTGCTTCCAACGAAGCAGAAAAAGCAGACTGGAAGGTGATGGAGGCTTTAATTTCCGAAAACCCACGTAAGGGCTTGGTAGAGTACCTGGGATTCCAGGATCAGGCTGATGAGGCCGCTGATAGTCTTGCGCAGCTTGGCTTGGACAAGAAGGAAGGCGAGGACACTAACGGTGCCGCCGCCAAACCGGCTAAGGTTAAGAAGCACAAGCGTTTGCAATCCATGTTCGATCCCAATCCCGAAGGTGACAGCTTCCTTTCTGAACTGGCTGCTTCTAAGGGTGCTCAAACCAACAACCCATTCCAAATTTTCAATGGTTCAGAAAGCCAGGCGGAAAAGCAAATTACTCGGGCTTTGCTCCTTGGAGAGTTTGAGAAAGCTCTGGACGTTGCCCTCCGGGAGGATAAAATGTCCGATGCTTTCATGATTGCTATTTGCGGCGGCCCAAAATGCATTGAAAAGGCACAGGAGTACTACTTCTCTAAGCAGGCCGGCGGTCCGAACTATATGCGCTTGCTCGCATCTATTGTCGGTAAGAACCTGTGGGATGTGGTGCATAATGCCGATTTGTCCAACTGGAAGGAAGTTATGGCTGCCTTGTGTACCTTTGCCGACGAGAAGGAATTCCCTGATCTCTGTGATGCTCTCGGTGACCGGCTAGAGGAGCAGGTCCAGAACAGCGACGATAAGAGCGCCCGCAAGGATGCTTCTTTCTGCTTTTTGGCAGGCTCGAAGCTTGAGAAGGTTGTTAACATTTGGGTCGAGGAGCTTCGCGAGAATGAGCAGAAAGGAATTGAAAGCAACACCGACAACTCTTCCTTCTCTATCCATGTCCGTGCTCTACAGGGTCTGATCGAGAAAGTTACCATTTTCCGCCAAGTCACCAAGTTCCAGGATACAGAGCGGAACAAGGACTCGGATTGGCGCTTGAGTGTCTTGTATGACAAGTACATTGAATATGCGGATGTTGTCGCTACCCATGGACGTTTGCAAATTGCTCAGAAGTACCTTGACCTTGTCCCTGAAAAGCACCCTGAAGCTGAGGTGGCGCGCAACCGCATCAAGCTTGCCACCAGACAGGCACCCCAGAAGGCCCAAGCCTCTGTCGGAGCCAAACCTGCCTTTAAGCCCCTCCCGCAACAGCCCAGTTTATACCAGCCGCAGCAGTCTTACAATCCTGCTGCTACTTCAACACCGGTTGCTGCTCCTAACATTTATGCGCCTACTGCGCCCGCTGTTTCCCAGCAGGCTAACCCATATGGCCCTCCAACGACCTCGGTAGCTCAGCCCAGCAACCCCTACGCTGCTATGTCGACGGGAGGCGCCTATGGATCGACAACTGGGTATCAGCCAACCCAGGGCATGAGACCTACCAGTTATACTCCACCATCTGCATTCGGCGGACAACAGCCCACGGGTGCTGGCGTTCCCCCACCTCCTCGTGCGTCATCTAACCAGTCGCCAGCCAACACAATCACAACATACACCACGGCCACTGGTCTTCCTGCATGGAATGATTTGCCAGAAGGCTTTGCGAAGGCTCCTGCACCTCGCCGTTCAACTCCTGCCGCAGCCTCTGCACCCATCGCCTCTCCTTTCCCCAACCAGTCACCGAACCTGGTCCAGGGACCTCCCCCGGTTGGTGCTCCGCGCGCACCATCCGTGCCTCCCCCACCGAAGGCGGGTTCGGTTCCTCCACCGCGTATGATGTCGCCGCTATCCGGTGGGCAGATCCCTGGGCGTTCCCCGCCGCCCCCTGCCAATCCATACGCTTCTCTCCCTCAGTCACCGTCATTGACTCAGGGGTCAACCATGGGTCCCTCGGCGTCCATACCTCGCGGAGCGTCGCCCTACAATGCTCCTCCTAGCATACCACCCCCAACCAATCGGTATGCACCGAGCCCAGCTGCCCAGGCTACAAACCCGCAATTGCACACTCGTGGCCCGGTTGCTCCCCCTCCTCAGGCCGTTGCCTCACCATACGCCCCACAAGCGGTCTCACAACCCCCCGCGGCAAACCCATACGGACCCACCACGCCTATTGCTACACAGCCTCCACCTATGGCCCAGGGCATCCCGCCGCCGTCTCAAGTACCTCGACCTCCAACAGCCCAGTCGCAGAGGCCAACTCCTGCGGCTCCAAAGTATCGTGAGTAATACCACTTAACAAACAATTACTTCCAGCCAATTGACCCTTATTCCAGCCCCCGGTGACCGTTCACATATTCCTGCAAACGCACAGCCTGTCTTCGAGATTCTATCAGCAGACATGCAGCGCGTCAAGAGCCGGGCTCCCGCGGCATTCAAGGTACAGGTTGATGATGCCGAGCGCCGCTTGAACATCCTCTTTGATCACCTCAACAACGAGGACTTGCTCAAGCCGAACACCATCGAGGACATGGCCAACTTGGCCCGTGCACTCCAGCAACGTGATTACAATACCGCCCTCGCTATTCATGTTGATATCATGACCAACCGGACTGACGAATGTGGCAATTGGATGGTGAGTGAACTTTGGTCCTAGGATACTAAACGGTCGGTCACTAACAAGTATAACAACAGGTCGGTGTGAAGCGACTGATTAGTATGAGCGGCGCTACTCCGTAAATGACACATTTGATTCTTGTCAAGTTGAGGGAATGTTAAAGGCGGTATAACTTATGTATTTCTGGCCTTTTTTCTCTATACTTCAGCGTTGCTTGAAATTTTCTCATCTTCCTTGTCCATTTTATATTAATGTCTTGCGTATTTTCCTCCGTTCCTCTTCTCCCCTGCGGCATAAGTCTGATCATGAGCAAAGCGAAATATTTCCGACGTTTCTTGAGTATGGTCGGTTATTTCGCTATATGGTACCTTCTGACACAGACTGCTAGATAGACATGAATCAAATGAGGATATGGCTTTCGCATTACAGATCATGATAATATATATCCTAGCACCCTCGTTATAATCTAGTAGATGCAATCAAATGAATGAAGATACAGACTGTATAAACCTAGGTATACCTAAGTAAACCACTTAGAAAATCCGTTGCAATCTATATACATTCGTACATTCGTACAGTCGCACCAAAACCCCACGATGCCCCATCACCGTCCACCGATGGGAAGACGTCCACCCCGACTAGTAGGGAAGTTACGCGCACTCAACAAGGCACCCTTCACACCGCGAATATCAGCCCTGAACCCAGCAATAGCCTCGTCCTCCCCCTTCCGCAGACCAGCGCTTTCACTCGAGCCCGAGTTATTGGTATTCCAAACCCCGTACGTCGACCCAGAAGAGTACGCAGGAGCACTGTAAATCAACCCGTCACAATAACGATGCAGATCCGCGAGACGTGTACTCATCGAGTCATCCAGCGTACTCGCACCCTTCTCCGAGTCGATGATCTCGCGCAGCTTCGAGGTAATAGACTCAACGCGGCTGACGTGGTTATTGACCGCCGTAGAGGGGGAGATGGGTGCCGAGTCCACCGGGCCAGCAGTACTGGGTACTGGAGTTGGCTCTGGACTCGTCTGTGTTGCGACGTCCCTGTGGAACAGCTCGGTTGGGTCCGAGGTGATGGACGAGGCGTCGTCTTCTTCGTCGCTGTAGGCCTTGCTCTTGCGCGCCGTTAACTCCGCCGGGATCACGGATACTGCCTTCTCTAGCTTGTCGTTTAGCTTTTGTAGATTCACTTCTGCTGTGCTGGCAAGCTCGTGCCGTGCGCTTGTTAGGCTCGCTAGCATTGGTTTCACGAGGTACTCGCTTGCGCCGTAGAGGGTTGCTCCTAGGCCTGCGGCGCCGTATAGTGTGTACAGGAGGCTACGCATCGTCACGAGTGGTGGCGGCTTGGATGATTCGAAGAGGAATTCGGGGTAGGTGATTATTGGGGGGACGTCGCGGGAGGCGGGAGTTGGCGCTGGTGCTGGGCGCGATTGAGGCATGGTGTTGGAGGGTGGCGAGGAGGTGCTAGGAGGAGAAGGGGTGGCTTCAGATTGAGTGGGCGAGGCAGATGGTGTCTCTTCCGGTGTCTTGTCCTTGGGTGCGGTTGAACTGCTGCTCGTCTCTGCATTGCGGGAGGCGCCGAGGACCTGCTCGATATCGTCTGAGCTCAAGCCTTTCGACTCGAGGAATGAGATTTTGCGCTCTGTTGGTGCATCGCGGATTGACTCGTCTTCTAGAAATTTGGATGCTTGGTCTAGGAGGGTTTGTCGAGGTGTGGCTGTAGTTGCGGGCGCATCGTCGGAGGTCGGCGATGGCGACTCCTCGGCCGTCTTATTGGGCCTCTGCCATGAGGGAATAGATGCTGTTTTAGATGTGTCGTCAGGCATGATGAGGTATCTGACACATTTGCCAGAGATATGAGAAAGCAAAGGCGTTGGTGTTGTAAAGAGGAGACGGAACCTTCCCCGGACTTGCCATGTGAGCCCGACCTCGGCTGTTCCAAGGCCGAGTACACCTCAGGCATTGATATTTGCCATAACTACATGTACATCTTGAGATCACATTGATAATTGTTCACGTTGTACTAGAATATGATATTGAAGAATAATCTAATATGAATGGCAAATATTGTATTTTAAATGTATTTAGGGCGCTAGATGTGAATATCCAAAGTACCTTGTTCACCGAAAATAGCCTGTATGTGAGACGAAGCCATACCACCTGACTTTCGGGTTCTATTGACGGCTATAGTGTCTTCTACAATAAGTCCTTATACATTATATCTAGCGAGATCAATTGAATACCGAAAGATCACCACAATCCTCCATAATGGCATCCGTATATACTCGATACCGCCCGGCAGAATGGACCGTGCAGTACTTCATTCGTTCATCCAGCGTCAGCGACTGGACACCTGGAGAATTTGAAACTTTAGAGAAAAGTACTTGTGAGTATGGCGTTTTCCCCCGTTGATCTTGTTGTTTTTGTGTGCCTTCCGATCTGCCCAAGCCCGGGGTTAGCCCCCAAACACGCCCCCAAGAGAAGCCAGGAGAAACAACCCCAAGCCTGATTCCCTGTAACGGCGCTTTGTTCGCAGTGGAAACATCCCGTATAGAAAAGCAATCTGTATCTTCCCGGTTTGCAACTCCGCGTCTCACTCAGTGGATGAAGTGATTGGACATCCCTCCTTCCCTCTCTCTCCCTCTTTCTCTCTCCAGACCTTCCCCTCTCGCCAAAGGCTTAATGGCTTAAGTTCCTACTGCCACACACTTACCCTCCTTCTCCCGCTTCCTTTTGCTGTTCTGCTTTTTGCATTTTTCCCTTCCCAACGACTTCTGTCACACTCGATAAAACCGCCACCATGTCGCCCCGTCGATCCCTTCGATCGCGAAAGGCACATGATGAATCCCCAGAGCCAGAGGCTAACATGGCCACCAGGTCTACCAGACAAACTCGCGCATCTGTTTCCGCGTCTGCTCTAGTTTCCATCTCTCGATCTTCATTGAATTCAGGAGATCGAAAGAGATCTCTCCGGCTTACTCTCAAAATGGCCTCTAGCAAATTGCGGGAAGCTACGGGTGCTGGTCGCTCTGCTGGACGGCGCTCAGTCAATGTGTTTCGGGATGATCCTATTGTCTCGGGACCCCGCTCCAGTCGGAACCGAAAGAAGATTGTAGAAGTTGCTACAAGCGACGAAGAAGAAATCGACGACCAAGAAGAGGACGAAGTTGATGATGAAGATGCACCTGGAGACGACGATGACGATGACGATGCTGATGCTGATGCTGATGGTGACATCGATATGGATGACGTGCAGCCTCAGGCGCCTACCAGGCGCGGTAAAATCACCCCTCCCTCTCGCGCCAAGCCGCCCAAGAGTGTGGAGGCCAAGGAGATCAGAATGGAAGAAGACGAAGACGAAGAGGAAGAAGAAGACGAGGAAGAGCCCATCTCCGATACGGATGAAGATGCCGAAGCCGAGGGTGAAGATCAGGATGAAAGTGCAGTCCCAGACGTCAATGTTGATGATCTAGATGAACTCGACGATGATGATGGAATAGAGGACGACATGGATAGTGATGCCCTCGCTATGCAAAGTGGCAAAACCACCAAGCGCCAGCGAGGAAATCTGGGGAATGATTTCTTGCAACTTCCCATGGGTGGGAAACTACGATCAACCATTTGTCCAAACCGAAGCTAACTAAAAAAATAGAGCCCCAGGTCAAGAAGCATTTGACTGCCGAGGAGCGCCAGATGCGTCGTGCAGAGATGGCGCGGCGAAGGAAGAACCTAAGTGAGAAGCGGAATGAAGAGGAGAAGGTATGCGCAAAAAGTCCTTCGAGATATCCATTGGAGAACGGCCGCTAATTTTGATCAACAGATGGACACAATCAATCGACTGCTAAAGAAGCAGGCCCCTAAGCGGCGTGGCCGAGCTGCTGCGGCCGAGGCTGCCGATGGCACCCCCGGCCAAGAAGGCGCGGAGGCCGATAAAGCCGACCCTACCATGGCACGCTGGATCAGCGGTTCAAATGGCTGTAAAGTAGCCGTGCCAGAAGAATGGCTGGGGACACCTACTGGGCGTGTGTTCGGTGCACCTACAGTTCCTGCAGGGAAAATGGTTGAAGAAGTTTGATTTACATGCAGAAACTACAATAAATTGGCGCTTATGGGGGGATTTTCTGTTAAGGTATTCGGGAATGGACTACATTATCATTGCAAGGGACTAGGGTTGATTTTCTGCGTGTGCTGCGAACGGCGCTCAAAACATGTATCTTCCAGATGTCAAGGTTTAAAGGTCATGCAATACATCGGTTGTTTCAAATATTTCCAGATACACATGGATTTGCCGAGAAAACTGGCTTTTATATCCAATCAGTCGGAAAGCCTCACTACAGTACTATCTACCAGTACTTCGAAACGGGCCGTTGTGCCAGTCTTATATGTACAACGGCCACAATACCTGAACGACTGTAGCCCAGCGAAACATATGGCGCCGCGTGCGCCAGGCTTGGAATGTGGGGAAGAGCCGATCTCCAATAAAGCATATTGCATTGGGAACAGGCGAGAGGCACTTCCTCAGTTTCTTGATGCTATATACTATAGCCCTATTAAGACGTTACGATCTGCCCTAACCTAATGCCATAATGCCTTATGGCCGCCAATTTAGCGACGAGGAGACTAGGAGAACTAGGGCTCTGGCCTAGTATAAGACACTTGGGATTAACACTACTTTGTGCATATATTAATGAGCACGCACTGAGAGCACATCGTATCCCATGCTCAGGGCGATATTGCATCGTCAGCGCTGCAATGCCTCCTGAGCCAGGGCATCCACACTTATGGACTGCAGTACACTCACGGGGACAGTGTCAAGGTCAAGGCTATATGCAGCTAGCAGAGGATCATGTGACCAGACATCGTGCTCCTGGTCTTATGAAGGGCGGCAATCGAGCTGTCATTTGCCATGAACGCTCTCCTGTCTCCTTGCTATACCCACGTCAGGCATGACTTCACGCTTGACTTCACGACTGAACGCCTTCATATCTGCCTCCAGAATAGCATATCGATCCTTTCAACCCACCTCTAGAAGGTCCTTCGTCAGTTTGCCAGTGGAAACCCTCATCGACGAGGAGACGCTTCCTCACTATGACCCGAGGCAATTCTACCCCGTAAGCATTGGAGAGGTATTCGATGATAGGTATCGGGTCACCGGCAAGCTTGGTTATGGAGCCCACTCGACGAGTTGGCTATGTCACGATATTCAGTACGTGACCACTCGAGATTAAGAAAACCTACCGCTAAACTAGCTCAGAAGCCAAAGCTATGCCGTACTAAAGGTATCTACATCACTTTGAGGTCTCCCTAATGCGACCGATCGCGAATTTCGGGTTTACGAGCACCTTGCAAAAATCAATTTATCACACCCATGACAGTCGATGCTTCGGGAGCTATATGACTCCTTCGAGCTTCGGGGCCATGGTGGCAGTCACCGGTGTCTTGTCTTACAACCGATGTATATGACACTTCTGGAGATGATGAGACTAAATCCAAGGCCCTTTGACCTACCTCTCCTCAAAATGACGCTTAAGCGATTATTACTCGCACTTGACTATTTACACACCGAAGCTAATGTTATTCACACTGGTACATCTCCTCTCGAACACAGGGAATCAATTCTAGCCTAACGTGAACTAGATCTCAAAACCGACAATGTAATGCTCAGCCTGGAGGAGACTACAATGCTGGCCGATTTTGCGGATAAAGAGATCAGGCACCCGATCCTGCGCAAGAGCATAGATGGAACGCGTACCATATATCAAAGTCGACAATTCCGCCGACCTTTGAGAGGTAAAAGCTTCGGTCTTCCAATCCTTTGGTCGTCCCATCCTTTGTGATCTAGGAGAGGCAAGGATCGGGAAAACACATAACTCGGGGCCTTTTGTACAGCCTGATATCTACAGAGCCCCAGAGATCATATTTGAGATGACCTGGGGAGTGCTGTTGATATTTGGAACATAGGTGCCTTGGCGAGTAGTGCTTGAAGCCTTTCTTATACTCCCGCTAATGGAGGTTAGACTTGGGATCTCTTCGAAGGACGACATCTATTTGGGAATATTTTCGATGACGAAGGCAACTATGACCCCTTCAAACATCTTGCGTCGATGGTCGCATTGATTGGCCCACCGCTGCCTGATTTTATCCAGCGCAGTGAAACAATGGGGCAGTGCTTTGATCGCAATGGTAAAGACCTCCGTCTCAGCATTCAGTTCTAATTAACAGGATGTGACTCGTGCTAAAATTATCGCAGGTATTTGGACTGCTCATGAAGACGCGGTCATGCCGTGGGACTCCCTAGAAAGTCTAGAAATGCGACTCTCCGACTGTGAAAAGGAATCGTTTCTTCGTTTCCTTAGGTCTATGCTCAAGTGGCTACCCGAAGAGCGCATGACCGCAAGGCAGCTGCTTGATGATCCGTGGCTGCTCTAATCCTAGCAAATCATATCGCATCTCTACAATAATAGACAATCTTATGTTGGCAATAAAACCCTAGTGGTTGGCCGCTATGCACTGCGATGTATCATATACATACCTGCTGAAAATCATACTAACGAGTTAAATAACTACGTATTATCGAAGTTTGATGGAACTACTCGACTTCTTCCACTCCGGCGTCTGGTTTTTGTTTGCCCTTACCTCGAAAGACGTCGGTTGATGCCCTAAAAGGATTGGGCAAAATTCGTGACGGCGGAAAGCTTTCCCTTCCTGCACAGGAATAGCTAGAATGATCTCATCTCGTTGGCATTTATGATCTAATGAATCATGCCTATGATTGATTGTTTGTAGGTGCGTGGCCTGGAGGTTGATGTGTCGACGAGAGGTGTTTAGATGTTGAACCGAACGTAAAGAGGAAGCTTTGAATAGAGCTTCCGGGCCTATAAGCTGCCAGGAGACGTAACAGAGACATCGAGATGCATGGCTTGTTTACAAATGAAGAAGCTAAGTTGTTAGACTACCATTTGACAATATCGTCGCCATAGACAGTGAAATCTTGCTTGTTGTCTCTTCCACAAAGCCTATGCACAAAGCCAATGCCTCCAATGAGTCAGATTCATAGCATCTAATCTAATTAATAGCATGCAAACCCGCCCATATACCCCAAGCACTGGGTAAACCCTTGAGCAAAGGCCGACTCTCTCTTCGCTTCCACCACGACGAAATTCAGAGAAATTTGGTCAACTTGACTCTGGACGTAAGCTGACCATTTATCGTGGAAAGACCCGTGAGATTCAACTGGGGCAGTGGGATGAGGTGCAGGGCCTGGGAAAGTATATCATCAAAATTGAATCCTGGTTTGACTAGGAATGTGAGATTGAGATGTACTCACATTGCTTAGTAGACTTGGCTCCCATAATGTTGAGGTATATATGAAGTGGAGTAGGTTACCTGGTGGTAGAGGTAAGAGAGGTCAACCTGAGGCGGAAGACTGTCTTCCCAATTAGATACTCAGATCAGCCCAGTGCCACTTCAAGGGGAAGGCCGGTTAACGTCATTGAGTGGACTTGGGATCTTGCTGAAAGTCAGATTTGGTGAGAGCACTGGTGTCCTGCTTTAGAGCAACAGGATCAGACGGAGGCGAGGTCTTCTGAGACTGCTGTCTCTCATATTGAAGTTGCTGGAATGTCGGTTGGAAAGTATAGTAGCCTAGAGCAGATGGATCAATTCAGCGACTTATACCATTCTTGCTGTGGGGTATAATTACCTGTGAAGACTCCCACGCCAATAGCGAAAATAGCAGGGAAGAGATTGCGACTCATTTCGGAGGAATTGGGGTAGACCAGCGAGATTTGCAGTTGGGGAAGTTGCGGAGGTTGCGGAGGTGCAAAAGATCGGTTATCAGTTGGCTGATTAGCAGCCGGCGCGTCTGCTAAATTGCTCCGTTGGCACGCGTCAGGATCAAACGCCCTGCATTCAGACAGTTTGAATAGATTTTCGACGCTTTGTTTCCTTATGTTTCGCGAATTTTAACCCGAGGTTTATTTAGCTCACGTTTTCATCGCCCTGAGACCGCCCAATGACTGTTTAGAGATATGGGGGATCCCCGCCGAGGATGCAAATGGAATCATGGCGACAACGAGGATATGTCCCTGACTCGGACGAGGAAGACGGCTTCGATTCTTTAGATGCGAAGAATGGCAATGCCGAAAATAGTCCCGTGGTCGAGAATATCGAATATATCGACAACCCTTCATCGTCACCGAAGGAAGGGGCGACGAGTGTAACGAAGAAACAACGCGAGTACGTTCGGGCTGAGAATGGCTCTATCACACTCTCAGATACAGAGGAGGTAGTTCGTCGACACACGAATCGAACAAGTCCCCACCTCACAAATGTTGCGCATGACGAAACGACACCAAACCCAAGAAGAGGGCGCAAGACTTACGGACTTCGATCATCGGCTACGAAATCAACGAAACACCGCAACAGCGAGCTGCACATTACCAATGCATTCGTGAATAATACCACCAGCATATACGATTTTCCAACGTCATCACAGGAACATGACAGGCCTCAATCGAAGCCCTCGAGCCGCGAGTCCACCCCGAAGGCCTTGAAGCCTGTACGGTCGTCCCAATCACAAGATGCAACATCAAGCACTCGGAGCTCCTCGCCTGACGAGCTGGCGTTGACCCCTCAGCCAACTCGGAAGAAAAACACCGCGGCCGAGTGTGTCCAACCAATAGAGGCGCCACCACTACCACCACCACTACCACCACAGGAGGCTTCGGAAGATGACTCCCCATTATCTTCTTTACCATCATCCTTTGGTTCTCCGTCGGCCAATGATTCCACAGAGATACACGCAGATGGTATGATGGAGGCAGAAGCAGAAACGCTGATAGATAAGGAGGCAGATCTACCGCAAACAGTGCTCGTTGAACTAGATGCCAACCCAGATGATGTCTTACCCCACCTTGATATCCCCGAAGAAGTATTTCGAGGATTGCCGCATGCCGCGCAAAGAACATTTCGAAAGCGCAATGCCATCCAAATGCACCCGTATCATCTGGAACAGCTCAAATTTGCGCAGCAACTACAGGCGCGGGGCGTCAAGCCTTTTGGCCGACCGCCACAGGAAAGAAAGCAGGTTACCGATGAAAGTCAAGGGCAAGATTCATATGATCCCGATGCACCTCCATCAAGTCCTCCCTTGGAAGAGTATCTTCCGCCAGTAAGACATGAACGGCATCGTGGCCCACAATCTGCCACGCAAAGACGGGAACACCATGACTCAGAGCATACTCAGCCATCGCAAGCTCGTCTGGCAAAGCGCCAGAAGACATCTCATTCCGGGACTCCCAAAGAACGTCATAATCTACACAAACCGTCCAAACCTCGTGGTGTTAGGGACAGAAATACACCTACTAAAAATCAGAACGCTGTCTCCATCTATGACTTGTCGTCTAGTCCACCCCACACAAGCCGTTTATCATCTACCTCAAGAACCCCTCGTGCCTCGGAAGGAGGGTTTCGGTTCCCTCGTGGGTGGTCGCCACCGGGAGAAATTGCAAAGTCCAGGGCACAGGAAATACAAGAAGCTGGCCAGGTTCAATCAGCTGGTGCGGGTACCGATAATGAGGGGGAAGTACAGTCCATCTCGTCTAACAGTCAGAGTGATCAGGAAGAAACCAAGTCAGATGCTGAAGAACGTGAAATTCGACGATTCCAACGAATGATCCGTGGAGCGCTCCCTGCGTCACATGCTCGGCTGAATCAGAAGAACGACAAAGAAAAATCCTTGAAATTAGACCGCCATGCTTCTTCGCAACGACCGGATGGAAAGGGTGTTGCGCGGAAGCTCATTCGAAGGGGTGATCGCTCAAAGCAACCAGCAACGCAACAGGCAAGAGGCTTGTTTGATCTTGGAGATTCCGATTCGGACGACGAGGACAATCGAAATGATGCTCTAGGAAATGCCTCTGTAGCCAATGAATCCAGCCAGATGTTGACTGGCACTCTTAGCCTCGAAGATCCCTTCGCGCTGGAAGGGGGTGATATCTCCGAGGATAACCGCATCGACTACATGTCTGCACCTGTTCTGCGCAACCCAACAGGTTCTCGGCACAAAAGGAACAGTTTAAAAAGGCCGAAATCGAAACAAAGTTTGCCCAATGGGGAGAGACAGCCGAAGAGACCTCGTCAAACCCGAATGACCGATGCCTCGTATAGAGCACGAAGGACCAAGAAACCCTCTGCTGTCCAGCGACCACGAATAGGAATACTGGATGCGCCAGATGTTGCTACGAAGCCTCTCAAAGAGCAATCGCGACTGCTCAGGGTAGCGACAAGACGACCACGCTCACGTAAAGATGGAGGCAGGCAGAGCCCTACTCAGAAGTTCTTGAAATTGGCCTCTAGGGAGGACACAGTGGATGCAAATGAGTCTTTGCGAGAATGGAAAAGGGGAGCCATTCAGCAAGCCAGGATTAGCCCGCCGCGTTCCAGAGCTCCTGAAAACCGGCATTGGACAACGAATCTTTCGATTCTCAGTGCTCGAGCTAAATCGAATGCTAAAAACGGCCGGATACAATTCCTCGATGCAGAGGCAGACACTGGTTTTTCGAGCACAAACACAGTGGAACCTGAACGGGTACAGGCACCACCCGAATCTAGCGCAGTGTCAGTCCCACCGAACCAACCCCCAGTGGCCGTGTCCTCGGCGCGTCGAAAACCAGAGCAGCACGGTCACACATGGATTATTCCTAGGAACGTGGCTATAACATCTTTGAAGAGGAACACCGTTAGGCCTGCGGCAACCAGTTTGGCAGGCCCTGGTAGAAACCAGAAAATGGTACCCGCCATGTTCAACCAGTCATTGTCTCTTCTTAATCGACACTATAAAAACCAGCGCACATCTAAACCTTACAAGCCCAGCTTGACCTTGGATCGATATGTTTCCGACAGTAGATCATTGAGTACTGGAGGCAATTCCTCGCCCATGAATGCTTCTGTTGCTGCTGCCGCCGCTACCGTCTCGGCTGAAGCAAAAACCCAAACGCCAACCCCCAAAGCCTCTGTATCTCGACGGCGGTTGAAGAAGCACCCCCCCAAACGAATCAATCTCGATGCCGACGAATTCCGTCAGAATCCAGATCCTGCTACCATAGTCTCCGATGACTTGGAACCTCCTATCATGACGCACACTGGAGATGTACGTCCCCCATCGTTCGGTGTCGCCGGGCTTTTCAACTGGCAACGCTTCTATCCGGTCGACTTCGGAGTACCATCCCTACGTGACAATACATTTTTCCATGGAAGTACATTCATAGGAAGCGGAGAATTTTCTCGTTCGTTGCAAATCACAGGAAGGGACTTCGATGGGGATGCCGCTTCATTCTCCATTCAGCTCAGAGACGAGACATTCCAATGGAGTCGGTGGAACGATACAGTATCATCAGAGATCGGGCAGGTTTTTGATGTGATTATCGATAATGTTGAGCGAAGTGCTGTCACCTCCCCAGAGACAGGTATTACGGCTGCTCTCGGTGTGGCGTCGAGGTTATACAGATTGTTGATCAAATACATCACGGAAAATCTGGTTTTCACCGACCCAGTTGATCGTACAGAGTTTGTCACCAGAGCGATGGGGCTAGTCTCCCAGGTGAGAGACCCGTTGGCTGCCTTTCTGACTAGCGATGAATACAACAAGAGCGGGCTCGTCAAGATTGCATGTTTCAACATGGTTTTCTCCAACCAGATCTACCAAGTTGCTTCTCACCGGCTCGTTAGCCCTGCCATTGCAACCGAAGCTTTGGATATTGTCAAAATATCCGCTAAGGATGTTGCAGGCTTGATCGCATCGAAAGTCGGTTCTTCTGAGTTTAAAACATTGCTTAAGCAAATCAACCAGCCTGAACACCGCGAGTCGGGAATTCGCGATGAGTATCCTTCGGCGGAGGCTTATGTCATCACCAAACATCTTCTACGCAGTTCAGAGAACTACAAGGGCTGCTTTGAAGATAACCAGCTCGAGACTTTCAACAACAAAATCATTCGCAATGAAAGGGATGTGGGTAGCCTGGAGGCTGGATGGCATGGCATGTTTACGGTCTTGCCGCTCAACGAAATAGATCCGCTTGGGATTGCACGTCCTGGTTACCAGTTGACAGCTGCCAATGACAATTGGATATTAGCCAAACGCCTTCTCGCCCCAGCCCTCGACCATTTCGAGTCTGACTCCAAGGCACAACCCATTTCATACAACATCTACTGTCGAACCTTGTTCCTCAGATGTCATCGGCTTATTAATTCTTGGGGTTGGAGAGAATGCAAACCTATCCTGGATACATTATTCGACTTCTTCGCTAAGAATACCCTCCACAACCTGAAACTCGAAGAAGCTCGGGGCTCACCTTCATTCCTTGACGAACTTGATAACAATCCTTCTCTGGATGCCCGAGTGGGAGAACCGTGTTTCCACACATTTCTCAAGATCGTAGCAAGTGGTCTCCGCTTCTTGGCGAAGAGATATGACAAGAAAAAGATTCGAAACTTTGCCTGGCGTCTTTTACCCAACCATGGCCGTGTCTACCCGAAAGAACAGCCATTGCAGCACGAAGACCTTGAGGCACTAAGAAATCATCACGATCTTCTCAGCACCCTGTACTGGGCTGTTCCTGATGGGTGTCGCCCTCGACTGGAGACGATACGCAATCTGGTCCATCCTGCCACTTCACATCGTGAAGCGTGCAGCATCAATTTGCGGTCATGGTCTAGGCTTGTTCGATTCAAGCTTTCTACCGATGAGGAGGTTTCGGGGCTCGATCCGTTTGGAGACTGGTATGGTTATTTCGTTACGGAATTGCAGCAACAGCATTCATATGCTCGCAAAGAGATTGAGGCTCAAAATACCGGCGACAATCGGGTTTCTCAGCAGGTTGTTGAACGCACAATCTCCCAGAACCAGCGGCAGGTGGAGACTTTGTTGAGCAATGCGCTTACCGGGCTGCGGATTGCTGTACAGCTAGCTCCGAAAATGGAGCATGCACGCAGGCTTGTTTTGAGAACCCCTTTCGAGTCTCTTCTTGCACTTTTCAACCCGAAGCTCCCGCGCGTGAATGTCGTTGTATCTGAGGCTCTGCAGGTCCTAGTGGCGTACACCCAAAAAGATTTTCTAGTTACATCCACATCGAGTGCTCCTGCGGCAATGAATACTGATGAGGACAGCCAGGAGTTCGGTGACTGGGATGCCATTCAAGCTGTCTGGGACCAGCAAAGTTCCCCTGGTGAAGGTATTGAACATGTGGAGAAGGCTTTTCATCCGATTGTCTCTCGTCTTGTTTCCAACTGCTTTGGCGAGGACCACTGTCCCGAGGATATAATCCTTCTCAACGTAGTAGAATGCTGGACGTCAATCGCTCAGGTTCTCATTCGCCATGGCCTCCGAAACTGGGACAATTATCTGAGCGAGTTCGGTGATGATTCATGGACGCGGCTTCGACAGACAGTTCAGACAAGGAAGTTTGCACCGCTGTTTCTTGCGACATGTATCGAAAAGGACGCGCATATTGTTTCTGATTGCCGAATCCAAGTTATGAGTATGTGGATGTCGTCGCTGGTCGAGCGTTCCTCGATGTTGAAGTTCCAACATCGTCTGACGGAGGCGCTATTGAATGGAAGTCCCACAGATCCCTTGCTTGCCAATCTTCCGTTCTCCAAGGATAGGAAGATTGGCCGGTATACAATCACATTGGAGGAAATTGGTTCTCGGCGCCTATCTCTCCTCTCAAGCCTATCGTCTAATATGCGTGAGCAGCTCTATGGTATGGAACTTTCTGGCAATCGGAATTTCTCCGTGACAAAACAGGAGTACTCCGAGATGCTTCAGCGGGTGATGACTTCCATGAAAAGCAACTATCAAGAGCTAGGGAATGGAACAGCGCAGACAGCTCAAGGAGAATACGTCGAATTCGTTCAACGCGTGATCGGTTTCCTTCAGCAACATACCAGCGATATCAAACCCATCGACCCCTTCTTTACGGACCCTGCTTCGTTCCCTTTGCCGTCTACCGACCCTCGCTACATCGTTGCGAAGCTCAAACGCTACGAGTCGAAGTTATCTTCCAGCAAAGAGATCCAGACCTTGACCGGGTTTGTCCAGAGCATTTCCGAGCGCGCTGCCATTGACGGCCAACAGAGCTACCTAGTTGAGCAGTTGCACACCTCGATGAAACACACATACGAGGCTGGGGACTACGACAAACCTACTCTCCGCGCCGTCCTCTTGCAATGCGTGTTTCCAGCGTATCTCGAAGCAACGCTTCCCAACCGCGCTGCCTGGATTCTCAGCCGTCCCATCATTCAAACCATCACACTGGAGTTCAAAACCCTGCTGTGTAACATAGACACTCTGGATCCAGCCTGTGTGTCTTCTGTGATAGATATCATTGATGTTGTGTGCCGAGCCTCCTGTCAAGCACTGGGTGTGGTCGCCTTCCGTCGCCATCGTCTGCAAAGTCCTACAACCTTAGTCATGCTTGCCGCCTTCCTAGACATGATCTCCTCAGCGCTACCAGTGGTAGATTACATCGATCGAGTCACTGGTGCAGGGGAGGGTATTCTGACACACATCGAGTGGATCCGCGATTTCGCCAAAGCCGTGGGTAGATGTCTACAGAGCACAGATCCAGACATAGACTTGTCGTCGAGCAGTGCCCGTGTCATATTCCCTTCTACGCCGCCGTCATGCGACAGCAGGAAAACGGAATTCTTTAGTACGGCGAACAACCTCGCTTCGAATGATCTCCAGCTCTATCTCAGAAAATGGTCTTGTCATCAGGATAAGTACTACTTTACTCGTCCCGGTCATGAGTTACAGGAGATCAAGGTCGAGCCTGAGATTGCTGTTCTAGTGGCTAGTCAGAGTGAAGCGCAGAAGGTTTTCGAAGATGCGGCGAGAGGTTTCGTTGATCGTGCGACGGTTCTGGAGTTATTGTCTTGACCTTGTGGTTATTTCTGTTCGATCTTTATATACACGGCGTTCTTAGGGGGAGTTTAACGTGTCACGAATATCAAAAAGGAATCAATAATGTTATCTGTGCCATATTGACAATGTTGTTACTCTAATGGAGTCATAGCCTTCGGGTTCAATGCATTCCTTACTGTACGAGGTCCTCCAATAGATATAATCATGACAACTCTTAGTGACGGCTTAGGTGAGAATGTTCAGAAGGAGCCGAATCATGCATTATGCAAGGGCTATGCCAAACGAGTCCAGTTCAAACAGTCTAACATCAATCAGGGCCGCATACCCTCGACTGGCCTGGATATGCAGGTCAGTATGGAATGCAATCTCCGTGGAATTTAATCTCCATTGATCGCTATGACCCAGAACCCCCGAGTTGCCTGTCTCGGATCCAACACGTCATATATTATTCTGAGTCCATAATCTTAGTATCAGAGATCTTGTACTATCATTTCCGTTGTTATCAACATCCTTATTACGACCTCATCTCTATCAGAAGCTATTCATTCTCTTCAAATTGGAGGATGTTCCTGCCGACTGCAAGATGCTACCATGACCAAATACAACAGCACAATGCGTGTGTCATGTTCTGATAGTATTGTGATTTGAATAGCAGTTCACGCATGACATATTCTTTAGTCATTCCGAAATTCAGTCATGCGTATGGGCCAGCGAAAAAGCCACAGGCCAAGACCTGTCAAATGTACTTTACGGCGGCATCGGTGTTAATCCATACATCGAGTTTTACCCAGGAGTTTCATATGCCCGGCATATTAATTTGCCTCGATCAGTTGGCATGTAAAGATTGATGTGAGAATACATCTCGTGATACTCAGCACTACTGTAGCATCTCAACACCTGATTGAGTTCTTTAGAGCGTGATATATGGGCCCGAGCCTGACGGCGATACCATATGCTGCAGGGGCAAAGGGTTAATTCAAAAGTGGACGCGGTTTGCGAATACTACACAATCTCACGTGGATGTGACGGAAGGTCGGGTGTTACAATATAGCGCGGGGAAAGGTGAAACAAGTTTTATACTCGCCGTTGAGGTTATTGTTCAAGGTTTATATTGGTATTTTAGTTGTCTTGCTTCATTTTAGTTGGAATTCAGTGCATTTGGGAGGTATAATATCGTATAATATATGCAGGGGGTGAACTATATAATCTGTTAAGGGACGGACGGAAATTCACATCATTGAGAAATCAACTTATCAATTAAGAACTGGTACAACTTTTAGCGATGATTTGGAAATCCCTCTTTAGTGCTGTGGCCATGTTGGCACATATCCTGCCAGCTTTAGCTATCCCAGCCCCCGATTCAGAGTTGACCAGTCAATCGCAGGACAAATATGTCTTCGCCCACTTCATGGTTAGCATACTAGCACCTGGATACTTCCTATTTCCCACCATTGACATAGATCCTATATATCTAGGTCGGTATAGTAGAAAATTACCAGTTATCAGACTGGAAAGAAGACATGACCACAGCCCAATCCATTGGCATCGACGCATTCGCACTGAACTGTGCAAGCATAGACAGCTACACCCCAACCCAGCTAGCCCTAGCCTATGAAGCAGCCCAGCAAGTTGACTTCAAAGTATTCATCTCCTTCGACTTTGCCTATTGGACGAACGGGGATACGGAAAAGATCACAGCATACATGAAACAATATGCAGGCCACCCAGCGCAGATGCAATACAAGGGAGCTGCGGTGGTAAGTACATTTGTCGGAGACAGTTTCAACTGGGATGCAGTGAGGCAAGGAACGCCAAATCCCATTTACGCATTGCCAAATCTCCAAGATCCTGCGGAAGCTACTACGGATGCTGCCCAGAGCGCTGATGGTGCCTTCTCGTGGTTGGCTTGGCCTACGGACGGGGGAAATAGTATCATCCCAGGCCCGATGACCACCATCTGGGATGATAGATTTGTTCATTATCTCGCAGGGAAGACTTACATGGCCCGTTAGCAACCCTTGAACCTAGTTCTGGTCTCTGAGTGAAAGTAAACTAACTTAAATGACAGCCGTCTCACCCTGGTTCTCAACGCACTTCAACACTAAAAACTGGGTCTTCGTTTGCGAGAACCTGCCAACATTACGCTGGGAACAGATGCTTTCCCTTGAGCCAGGCCTGATCGAGATAATCTCATGGAATGGTATATCTATCCTACATATCCTGGAAATTCTCCGGAAAAGTCTCTCCTAACCAAAGTTATATAGACTACGGTGAATCCCACTACATCGGCCCGTACTCAGCCAATCACAGCGACGATGGCTCTTCCCAGTGGGCAGCCGATATGCCCCACGACGGCTGGCGCAACCTGTTCAAGCCCTATATCGCAGCCTACAAATCCGGAGCAAAAGCCCCTATTGTGGAAGAAGATGAAGTCGTGTACTGGTATCGGCCTACACCCAAGGGCGTCGTGTGCACGGGGGATACCCTCTCAGCGCCATTGGGCGTGGGTATGCTCAGTGATAGTATTTTTATCGCTACCATATTGACGAATCCCGCTACCTTGACTGTGCAGAGTGGGAATGATGCTCCTGTTAGCATTGACGTTCCAGCGGGGATTGTTACCTCGAATGTGACTATGGGGGTTGGTGCCCAGTCCTTCCATGTGACTCGGAATGGACAGACGATTCTGAGTGGGCAAGGAGGTTTGGATGTTAAGGATAGCTGTGTTCATTATAACTTCAATGTCTATGTCGGGTCGATCACTGGGGAAGTCAGTAACTCGACTGCTAGGTAGTAACATCCAATATTATGTATTATGTCTTGGGATTGTTTTAGAGAAATACTGCAGACAGGCTGAATTACTTGGGGTATTCTTAGATGTCTTTCTAGGTTTTAGACATCTTCTCCCCATTCTCAAGTAGACGGCAGGAAGACGCGAAAAAGGTCCTAATTTGTGAAAACTACTTTACTATGTACAACCTTTGAGATGGCATTTCTTCATTATGCAGAACTAGAAGTAAATAAAACATCGGCATGCTCAGATTTTGAGCACGAAAGAAAACATAATAGAACCCCCAGAGTAGACGCCTGATGAAGCCAGAGCAACCCAGGTAGGTGAAGCTATTTCCTCGACCTGCACTAGCGTTGATGGCTATGCAATTACTTACGATCCATAAATAGTAGGATCCACTCAAGCTGTCGGGCCCCCGGTTCCCGCGGTGTCCTGGCTGCCGCGGCGATGGAAGGGATGTGTTCCAAAATGGAAGACTTTCTTCACGGCATTGGTGATGCTGTTCTTCCTCCTGGTCGGTGGTGCGTCCTCTGTGGTTTTCTTGGGCACGGAGGCATCATCAGCAAGAACAATCGATGTCACTGCTGGCTTTGGCGGCCACTGCCCGTCTGCTTTCCAGCCTTGAACCATGGCTTTGGTCAAGTGGGCGAGGTTGACGGGGACGGTTGGGGTCATGCCTTGCACGACGACCTTGGTGTAGATTGAAGGGTAGATTGCGGGATTGATGGTTGCGCGAATTGGGTTGTCGTTTGAAATGAATGGTGGGGCAACGGGGCAAAGTGGTTCATCAAGTTCTTCTTCCACCTTCTCCTCTTCTGTTTGGCCTGCCACGGCCGGGGAGGTTGTAAGTTCAGTAGGTACGATTGCGGCAACTTTCTGATCCGGCTCTGTGATGTTGGTCTCTGACGAGGCCTTCCGTTTAGCTCCCTCGTCTGGCGCGGTAGACAATCCATCCTCCTGATCATCTTGCTGTCCCGAGGTCATATCCGCTCGATTCTGGAGCTGCTCGCTTTTCTCCCGGTCCGCAATGGAAAGTGAAGTCTCGGTCTGGGCTGCCAGATCAGAGGCACCAATGCCCTCACTACCCTGGCCAGGCGGCATCGCAGTTTGGGTTGAATCAGACAAAGTCTCACCATTTTCTCCTAGCCCCACGCCATCGGGCTGATCTGTTGTGTCCGTCCGTGCACCAGCCAACGCGCGCTTTTCCTCCTCCGCCCGAATCTGCCGCCGAGTCTTCGCACCACACCACGCATCGCGCCTGGCCATCCATAACCGTAGCCCTTCGTTCCATGCCATTTCGTCGTCTATCTGTCGACGGCGTTTGCGACGCCGCTCAATACCTGCAGCTCCCGGGGCGAGGTTCAGCACGGCTGATGGATCATACTCTTGCTCGCTGTCCGAGCTCTGTGGCTCGAGTTCCGAGGTTGGGGTGTCGAATTCTCGGACCCGCCATTCGCACACTTCACGGTCGTGGCAAAGGGTGCCGTCGGCAGACGACGGGGAGGGAACGCCGGCCTCGAAATCCCAGTCATTTCGTACGACATCCTTGACGAAGCCTTTGGCCTCACGAACCGAGGTGTCCCGAGACCCGGTGGCCATCATTTTCACGATTCGATGGATGTGGTGGATTTCTCGGGTGGGAAAGTGGGGAGCTTTATAGCAAGTTTTTCTTGCTTGGCCCGAAGGTTTTTCTTGCTTGTCCGTGCACTCCTGATGTTCTCAACTGGAAGAAAGATGCAAATTGGGAAATGCAAAGCAGCAAACAAGCAAACAAGCAACCTTGGGAGGTCTTTGCAAAGTCAGGGTGGCGGGATGATCGGACTCATGTCATAACGCACGTGCCCCAATGCGGAGATACAAGCTTCCACCCTTTTTGCCCTTGATTTTCATTTCATTTTGACATATCTTTCGTCCTTGGTCTGTTTGTTTTAATTCTGATCTTGCTAAAACATATATATCGCTCGTTCTAAACTCTGGGTTTATAATCTTACAATGGGCAACACAAAGTGATTGAAGACCATCGAAAGAAAGGGACCTCGCCTGGTCAATCTAACATATGGAGTGACGCAACGCCAGGTTAGTGCTATAAATCCATTGGTGCTATAAATCCCTGTCGATAGAACGCGCTATACCAACTTTGGCAGCTGGTTCGATGAAAGTACAGATGTGGCATCATGCAACTTCAAACATTTGCCCTTGCCAAGGCATATCAAAAAATCTAGTTGAGCACGTTCTCAAAGGCCAGTTCGAAATCAATATTTCATATCCAACACCTCACCTACTACTATTTCTATCTTGTTACTTTGCTCTAGAGAAACAATCCCTCTCCATGCACGGGACTTTAGCAATGCCGATCATTTCCCCAGACCCATCTATGTCTGGCCCCCACTGACCTCCTTCAAGACAACCGCCCATTCAAGCTCTTCCAGGCTGTCTGCAAAAAAAGAGACGTTGAGGCCAAAGGCTCTTTTGAATTGTTGCACACTGCTAGCATAGAGCATGGACAGCTGCAACCAAGACAGTCAGCATTTCATGGCCACGCGAGTTGAAAGACAAATTACCTTGATAGACGCATGGCAAGGACCCCAATGGACGAAGACAGCCTTGGTACTGCACATACGGTTTTGGAATTAGCCAAAATTATTCCACTACACTCATTAAGTCTCTGGGGTAATCTCTTACCGCTTCCCTTCGCTCCCAAGATCATACTCCATGTCGTAGATGGCATACCGTGGTGCTGGGTTACCATCTTTGTCGACTGCAGCTGACAACTTCCGGCGAAAGAACTCATAGTCTTTCACCGTGGATGTTTCCTCGACCATAACGCTCTTGTTATTGTCGGAGATCTTGTAGATGATGAACTTTGGCCTGGTGGCTTCTGGTCCTGATCGGAGTTGATTGAATGCAGACATGCATTCATCTGCAATAGAAATACTGATATACATTGGTTAGCTGACACATTCTCCATGGATGCTTTTGCTGGGAATGTAGATGTACCCTGATGGATTCTGCAGAAAGCAAGCTGTTAGTACTTATATATAGCGCTTGTAGCAGATCCACGTACCGACATATTGGGGCTGGTAATGCTGCAACAGAAGAACTTATGCAGTTAGGATATATCAGATCAATGAGCAGAGAAGGGAGCAATTTCTCTCGCCTTATATCCCTATTTCTATACATGCTGCCTGATTAGGCTGATATATTCTATCATGAAGGAAGAAAAAGAACTTTGAAATTCAGCGGTAGGAACCTGGCAACACGAATGTCTCTGCCTACTCTATCAGGGTTGCTGCATTAGGCATACTCCAAATGTAAAGGCCAAGAAATATTCCAAGCGATTTCCAAACGACACTCGTATAACAAGCACAAAGTGTGTTGGGTTTACAGTTAGAAATCTAGCAGGCAGGTATAGCCACGTAGTCACTACCTCAAGGCTAGATCTGAAGGCATCTGGATAGAAACAATGCAAATGTTTATTGCCCAAGAAATGGATGGCAGTATATACATTTGAGTAATAGTACAGGTCTATAGTATCGCTAAAAGTACAAAGGGAATCCCCATTTCCCCAATCCGGCGAGGAACCTCGAATAAAACAAAAATCAAGTCCGCACACGCGCCGAATCAGCCGAAGCAGCACCACTAGCACCAGGAATGAATCCCCACCCAGGGCTCTTCTGCCGGCGACCCTTCCGGTCACCATACTGCTCGTCGAACTTCCGAATCGCCGACAGCGAAGACATATCCTCGCTGATCGAAGCGCTGATTTCTTCCATTCCGCGCTCGAAATGTGCGCGAGTCAGAATTCGGCGCTCCGGATAGCTATACGGTTCGTCACCCGTGTGCTTAGCCGCTGCGTCGTTCTCCTCGCGCACGCAAGCCAGTGCAGCCGCCACCGATAAATTCTTCAAATCGGAACCGGAGTACAGCGGAGTGCGTCGGGCAAGTTCAGCAATGTCGACGGAGGGTTCGAGCTGTTCCTCTTTGAGGTGGATTTTCAAGACAGCTTCGCGGTCTTCCTCGGTTGGTAGATCGACTAGTAGACGGCGGGGAAGACGGCGGAGGACAGCATCGTCCAAATCAAATGGTCGGTTTGTAGCGACCATGATGAATGCTGAGAGGTCGTTCATGCCGTCCCACTCGCGCAGGAATTGGTTGATCAGTTCGCGGTGGGAGGTACGGCTGCTGGCTCCGGTGCGCGAGCAGAAGATGGCATCCGCTTCGTCGATGAAGACAACGCAGGGACTGAGCTTCTTTGCAAGCGTGAAAATCGCTTTCACGTTCTTCTCGCCCTCGCCGACGTACATGTCGTACACTTCAGACCCGCTGACTTCGAGGACTGTTGCTCCACTCTCGCGGGCTACGGCTTTAGCGAGGAGCGTCTTACCGGTGCCTGGAGGTCCGTATAAGAGAAGGCCGGGGATCTTGTCGGTGGCAAGGACACCATAAGTGAATGCCTCGGGGCGGATGAGTGAAAGGGAAGTCAGGGTCTTCAGGGCCTCGATGGTCTCGGGGGGCACATGCACATCGTTGAATGTGGTTCGAATGCTTTTTGCGTCAACTACACCGTTAAGCAGCTTTTTCTCGTGCGTGTTGCACGTTTTGCGCAAAGAGTTGATCAGCTGCTCTCTGGTCTGCCCCGCTTCCGAATCTTTCTGCTTGGGTGACTTCTCCTTCAGCCATTCATTGGTGACTCGGTCGCTTTTATCCATGAGCTCGATTCCACGTCGGATGTGCTCAAACCCAAGGGCCTCGTTGACTTCAGTGCAGCCAAGTGCAAGTGTAGAGATCCAATGCACTTGATTGTACGACCAGTACCGATCCTGGATTCCTGATTCTTTGATGGTTGAAGGCTCTAGCGGCCAAGCGCGGTCGCTTAAGATGTTATCTTTTACAGGCAGAGCCTGTTCATGTAATCGGAAGCGAAGCATCGTCTGCAAGTGGCGAATGTTGATCTCCATGGTGCGCTTCTTTCGGTCTTCTGCGAAGACCTTTTCGGCGTCTTTCGAGCTCATGGCGGGGGTAATGAACAAGGTCTTCGAGAACTGGTCATCGAGAACATTTTGCATCAGACCAGCACCATCTTGTGAGGGTGAGTGGTGGATTTCCTGAGAAGTAGTTCCAATCAACAGAATCTTGGACCCTGCCGCTCTCCGATCTTGAATGACTTTGTGCAAGAGTGAAATGAATTTAGACCCCTCCCGAGTGTTCTGAATGTCACGGTAGTCCTGGATATGCATAATGAGGTCTCGAGTTGGCGAAGGCTTGCTAGGTTTCGTTTCGGCATTTGCCGTTATCTCAGTGGGGTCTGACAGTGCTGGTTGACCTGATGACCCGAGGAGCTCATTAAGTAGTTGAATCCACCGAGTTTCAGCACGCTGACCACTTGATGAGGCCCCGGCCCCGGGATCCGGATCCGTTTGGCCATTAATCGATCCCCCCAAGAGGGTTTTCAGCCCAAGCCAGTTAGGAAGCGGAATGTCACCGGCCTCTTTGCTGCTCTCAATTGTGATAAACCGAGGTGTGCCAATATCGCCACGCATTCCACGGGGACCACCTGCAATTTCAGTCATGTCATCCTCGCCGTCTCCTTCAGGATCTTCAAGTTCTGACCATGAAGTTGGGGCCGATTGCCGATATACATCATACCCGAGAGATCGAATGGGCGAAGTTACCCCAACATCTGCGAGATCTTGCTCGCTGAACAATTGTGCAATGTCCTGGGCATTAAGAGTTACCAGGTCAGTGCCCAGCTCCTGGGCAAGCTTCTTCACCACCGCGTCTAGGAATGGTATACCATCACTACCCGGGTAATGCAGCGCCAGATGCGACTTCTTTACCGAAGGCTCTTTGGCATATTTCACAGCTGGTAACCGCAAGCCTGCTTTGACGGAGGCCTGCAGCTCTTCCCATGATTCTTCGGCCACCGCATACCGATTCTCTGTTGCTGCCGGGGTATCACTGGATGCAGATGGGTCCGAATCTCCCCCGGAAGCTTGAACCTCTGTTTTCACCTCCTCCAGTTCCTTTTGTAGCCCTGACTTGGTTATTCTAACCTGTTGGTGTGATTGTGTAGGGCGGTCTTCACTGCTGTGAGACACCGTATTATGCTCATAAAACCATGCAGGTACAGTCGTCGTTGATGGCAAAGTCTGCTGCGGGGACTTTCGGTTTCGCATCGCTCTGCGTACAGCAGATCCGTAGGTTTTAGTGATCGACTTTGCTGATTCGGTGGAGGGAGATATCGCCGGCGTGCCATTGTCGGAGATATTCTCAGGTTTGAGGGAAGGATCTTCCACAATATTCCCCGGCGCTGTAGACTCGGCATCGTGAGGGTCTTGAGACGGTGATGCGAGCCATGTTCGTGACAGATGGAATCGTCGCGCGGACAGCGGTGCGGAATAGCGGCGGCGAGCGACAAATCGACAAGGGCGTGCAACCGACAGCCGGACTTGTTGCATTGACGAATACATCCGGGACAGTGTCACCGGAGCTTTATGCGATATCGCCGAGAGTAATAGATGTATGCACCAAATCGCGAGTGGCACAGGGTCCCTACCGGACCCTACGAAGGAGAAATGAGGAGTCACGTGATAATATATTTTCGTCAGCCAGGTTCGGTGTTATGAGGTCGGTACAATTTATACATGTTCCATACATATACAAAAAGAACTATGAGCTCAAATTTCAAATCACGCGCACATCTTCAATCCGCGGGCATACGATTCTTCAGTCGAGGATCACTGAAGGTTCATACCCGCTCCGCGCGTTCCCCCGCGACTAATGTAAAAGTACCTTTTGTATGGGCTTCCCATACAAAAGGTACTTATGAACAGTCTTCGGTTTCTTGACCACAACAGCTAGAGATCAAATGACATTGACATTTTGACATTTTGATGCATTGAGGTATTGCTTGCTGGCATGCAGTCTATAAGATCTCCCTTTGCCCATTTGAAATATTCCTGCTTTTCAGGCCTTTGTCCCTTTGTCTCCATGAAGCTATTTAGAGAAATTATACGGGGTAGTAGTATTCAGATCATCATCAATAATTATCTTGGCTCTGTTGATCACGTCTTGTTTCCATAGAGGTACGAGGACATATGCCCGATATTCTATGTATAGACCACTCTACGTCAAACTATGTAACCTCTCATTCACCTCTGAACAGCCTCAAACATATCATGTATATCTCAACATCATTTTGCAACCTTTGTGAGTACGGCTCGATCTCACATACGCGGCTAATCCAGGATTCGGGATTTCGAACAAACTTATTGAAGGTTCAAACCCCTATCATAGTTACTTTGTCTCTTTCTTCCTCTAGCCAACCAATCAATATCGAAAAATATTGTTTCATTATCCTTGACTCCGTAACCCCCGACATTCTCGCGGAAGCAAAAACAAGCGCTACCAATGCTGAGGGATAAGCCCAGAGCGATATTACATGGCCAGTGTTGTAATGCCCCGGGTGTGTCTCCCTACAACCTAGAAAGCGCCAGAACCAAGCGAGCCGATGTGATTTCACTGGCAACATTTATTCTGGCCCTCGTCATCGCCTCCAGTACGGGATATTGTCTTGCTCCAGCCCGCAGATACCAATGAGCATCCAGGCATACGTTGCCAATTTATTCAAGACTTCCGCGTACGACGATAGGTCGTTTCCCAATGGTTTCTATTCCTCCTGCAGATAGTAGCGCCCTATCCTGCCCTAACAATACTATCCCAGGGAAGTACCCTCTCCTATCGATTTCAGGTTCTATATGCATCGTCAGTCTGATCGACCAGATATCACGATTGAGGAGCTATAAAATCTGTTCTTGAACGAAGATGCAGTGAACCGCCAATCTCTCGATGTAACCATGGTCTATGAGTGACCAGGGTGCAGATAACTCGGTCCTCCGGGAACGGTAGCTCTAGGGGGGAGAAGACTGCGCTATAAGTTTGTTTGAATGAACGCCTTGGTCGAGCAGTCACTATATGCCCTTTAAGTACAAGGTCATAGCCTACGAACAGGGGATTTCATGAAGCGAGAAGAGAAGTGACAGATATTATTATGTGCCAGTTCGATTCAAAAGAATGTGTGCTTTTTCATCACAATACTAAGTACAGAGAGGGAAAGGGAAAGGGTAACTGTCTACGAGTTCTGCTCCCTGATTTTCTGCGGGCTCTTTCAGCGAACCATGCAAATGATGATTTGTCGCTTAGGTTCGAGGAAGGAGCGACTTCCTCTATAAGTGCAAAGTCGTACTCTCAGATTGTCACAGATATAATGTCTCTACTAGCGCTTCTTGACATATTCGAGCTGCGAGCTGCGATCTGCGTGGCCTAGTTGATCGGCGAAGCATTCCTTATACACCCAAGTAAGATCTAGGCCATTAGCTAGTTAGTTAACGCAACTTTAGGTCTGCCAGTCTAAGCTTTCAAGTTGTCGTCCGCAACATTTACTGTAATATTTGACCCGTAAAAGAGATTATCCTGCTAGGGTTGGGAGAACCGAGGCCTCGCAGAACCCTACAACGGAAGGAATCTTCACCCGATTGTTGAGGCTTACGGAGTACTGAGTAGATAACTAGTATGGTAGAATACTTGTACATGTTCATTCAGGATTAGGTGTGAACTTATTATAAACCACAAGACAGACATTCTTCAAGTCAAAATAAAGTTTCATTCGGGTATTCCACAACTATATATCCAGACAACACACAGGTGTAATAGCGAATTGATCATCAGAAGGAAGGCAACGGAAATCTCTACACGGTTTTGCGCATTCAGAACAGGTCTGTGAGTTTACATCCGAGAGATTTTTCGTCACTTGATCAATTCGCCATTACAACAGGCGATATCCTTCTATGCATCGTGGTTCATGTTTCGATCTAGACTGAGAACAATATTAGTTAATTGCTCAAGACAAGACATGATAAAGATGCATTGCAAAATAAGAGTTCTCAGACAAGATATACTGGCAAGTAGCAGACCAACCGGGAAGGGAGGTCCGGATTATCTCCGCATTGTCGAATTGGAGGGTTAAGAAGTAAAGTGTTTTGTCATCCTTGAACGGATAGGGAATGCAAATGCAGGAAGAACGAGAAAGGATGTAAACTCACGTTAAGCACAAGGTGCTAACACCTGATCTATCAGGTTAGTGGTGAGATTGAGGGATCGTAAGATACTGTTGGCATTGGATCATGCTATCCTCATGAGTCAGGCGCAATCAACATTAAGAGAGCTCCAGAAACCTGAGGTAGAGAACCACAGAGCCAATAGGAATTCACAGTAGTGGTGGTATGCCTCAAAGATGGCATTGGAAAGAAGAAGGAAAGACAAAGGAGAAGATGAAGAAGAAGAGAAGAGAAAAAAAAAGTTGTGAAGAAAAAGCCGCGAAGACACCACGTGACCCATCCTCATTCGGGATAGCGTGTGATTGGACTCAGAGCAGGGGAAGGAGAAGAAAAAAGCCTCAAAAAGGGAAAAAATGAAGATTGAAAGATGGAGCTTATACTTTAAGATCTATACAATTTCCTGATCTCATTATAGTCCTTTATTTTCCCTCTATCACTGTTTCTCTCTGGATTAATCGCGCTGTCGTCTCGGTTAGATCCTCCACCATACGGACCCGGATCCTCCGTCTCCAGTTCTCTCTCTCCCACCGGGCGATCATCCTTAATTCCCAACCTGGGCGTTCGCAACACCTTTAGCCCCCTAATATCCAGATCCCTTAGCAAAAACACTTGTGAGTTGTGCCTCTTTGAGATATTCTGACTGTTCGGAGAGCCCAGCCCCTCCACGCCTCCCCTAGCCCCCGTCACTTTTAACCTTCATCCCCGACATCTTCTCTTATCACTCCCCACTGACCGCTCACTTGTTTCAGAAGGAAAACAGATTCATTGCGCGGGTGAGTGACTTGGCCCCGATCGATACTTCAGCACCTCGCGTCTGCTGAATACCGGTTCAAGTCGCTCGCTACGTCTTGGTCCATCCCCGAACGCTAAAAGCGGCCTTGTTGTCTTCCCACTCCAGTCGCGCTCCACGCCACGTTTCGCCCACCACATTTTCGCCATCGCGAGCGATCATTTTGAAGTCCCCCATTTGTGGTGACTTCGTCGCTCAGCAATGATGATGACGCAGCCGTTTCCTGCCCACCAAGGCATGCCGCAACATGGGTTTCCCCCCGGTCACCCAATGGCCGCGCAACATCCAAATGGACACCCGGGCGCTGGAATGGTACAGCAAATGCATCCTGGCGTCTCTGCGCCGGGAGGACCTCAAGTCAGCCAAGCGGGCCCGATGATGGGCGGCATGCCCCCGGGCGCTGGGGCAGTTGGTCCTGGTGGCCCCGGCCCAAATGCTCATGCCCTCTCCCACCTGAATCCCGCGCAGGCGCATATGCTTCAGAACCCCCAATTCCAACAAAATTGTTAGTATTCAATCTTCTATTTGCTTAACGCATGGGGTGCGAGATGTAATGTTACGGAACACGCGGTCCCTGCCCTCTGCGGTGATTTCTTCCCCCCGCTACACCCGCGTCTCTTCCAGCCGTCTTTCTCGATCGCATACTTACGTCCTGATCAATGCATAGTTGCGAATAATCCCCATCTATTACATCAGCACCAGCAACAGCAACAGCAACAATTAATGCGGCAACGAATGATGCTCCAGCACCAGCAGCAACAACAGCAGCAGCAACAGCACCACCAGCAGCAGCAACACCAGCAACAGCAGCACCAGCAGCAGCAACAACAACAGCAGCAACAGCAACAGCAGCAACAACAACAACATCAACACCAACAGGGTCTTCCCGTATCAATGCCTAATGGTACTCAAGGACTTAATGCTGCGCAAATGGCTGCAATGCAAGCGAACCCTGGAATGCGACCCGTTAATATGATGCACCTTCAGCAGCAAATGCCACATGGCCAGCCGCCAAGTCTCCAACAGCAGCAGCAATTTTTCGCTATCCAGCAGGCTCAGCAGCAGGCGCAGCAGCAGGCTCAATATGCTCAACAACAGGGGAATAATGGACCGTCAGGCCAGCATACCCCGCAGCGTACATCAGCACAACCTCCGAATATGCACGAACAGAGTGCCACCCCACAGTCGCAACATGGCGGGCCAGGAGGCGGCACACCGCAACCCTCTCAAACTTCTCAGCCGCCATCCACTCAACCACCACAATCGCAGGGATTGCCCCAAGGCCAGGGAACTCCTAATCCCCCACCGCAGCAATTGCCACAATCTCAACAGCCGGGTCAACAGGGCCAGGCTGGCCCGCAGCCGCAGCCGCAGCCTTCTCAGAGTTCCCAGGGCCATCAGCCGGGTCCTCAGAATCAGCAGATGATGGCCCAGGAGGCTCAAATGAAGGCACAGCAGCACCAAAATGCTCTTATGATGCAGCAACAACAACAGCAGCAGCAAAGGAAGAATAACGCAATATTGACCATTCATGCCTATGCCGAACATTTGGGAAACTTCCAATCCCGCAATGAAGCACAGGATCTTCTATATTGGCAATCGTTTGTCGAGCGGTTCTACTCCCCTGTAGGTGTCTTGAGGCAGGGTGTTTGGAACAACACGATTGGATCTAAACAATTCGAAATTGCGACACCCGCACTGGCACGTTATTATTTGACCCAATTCACTAGCGGAATTAGTCAAATTCAGATGGTGGTGGAAGGTGCTCGCGAGCGGGAATCCCACAATGGAGGGCATTACGTTGAAGCGCCAAAATGTTCATTCATTTATTGGTTCAAGAATGAGTGCCAGGTACATCTCTAGTCGCATGGTCATTTTCTTTTCAGCTTGCTAATATCTATCGCTTTAGCTTTTCACCAACGGCACGCTGCGCGCGCACTTCGATATGCACAACAAGCTTGAGATGCTCGATGTTAATGTCGTCAGCCACAACGAGTTCATTCCACGGTCGTTGTTGTTGGCCATGGAGGCGGATTCCCAAAAGCAAAGTCCGAAGGTCACAAAGAACTCAAAACGTGCCCAGCCTAAGCAAACGCCGTCATTGGTGCCAGATTCAAAAGTGACTGCCAACGGCGTGCCAACTCCAGTCATGGGATTCATGGAAGTAGCTGAAACCATTTCTGCGATGCAAATGTTGTTCCAGTTTTCTCAGGCAAATCCGCAGTTATCACCTCCTGACGCTTTACGGAATCTTGTCAGCACCCTCCAATCACAAAATCCCAATCCTGGCTTTGTATCGACTCCCATGCCCATGAACCAGGGCATGAACCCAGGCATGAATCCAGGAATGAATCCAGGCATGAATCCAGGCATGAATCCGGGCATGAACCAGGGCATGAACCAGAACATGAATCCGGGTATGAACCAGGGTATGAATCCGGGTATGAATCCAGGCATGAATCCAGGCATCAATCCGGGCATGAACCCGGGCATGAGTCCGGGTATGAACCCAGCTATGAACCCAGGCATGAATCCAGGCATGAACCCAGGCATGAACCCAGGCATGAATCCGGCGATGCACCCAGGCATGAGTCCGGGCATAAATCACGCGATGCACCCAGGCATGAGTCCGGGCATGAATCACGCGATGCACCCAGGCATGAATCCCGGTATGAATCCCGGTATGAACCCAGGCATGCAACCCATGCAAAATGTTCGGGGACATAGCATGGGCGCTCCATCACAGTTCGCCTCGCCTGCCATGGCTCATCTTGGTCTCCCCGGGCAGCAAGGCTCGCCTCATCTGACTGGTTCAGCACATCCGAGCCCAGCCCAAAGCAACCTTGCCGGCCCCCCTGGAATGCAACCACCAATGCATCCGTCCCCAGCCGGCGTGAACAACAGTCCAAATGTAGGTGGCAACAAACGCCGCCGGGCGAGCACCGTCAAAATGGAATCCGAGGACGGTGGTGGAGTCGAAGCTAACGGTGCTCCGCAGCAGGGCTCAGCGAAAGTAAAGGCTAGCCCTCGGGTGCCGAAGCGACAAAAGGGTGCCGCCGCCTAATCATGTTGGGAGTTTGGTTTGCTTTCCCTTGCGTTCATTTTCCTCGCCGTCTCAGGCGGTACGGGACCGGCGTACGACTGGATACCTGGGCGAGGCATGTCGCGCCCGCTCTTGTTTGTTTACTCCTCATCTAGGTCTTTCATCTACCTGAAAGATCTATCTTGCTTTTTGGCACATGACGACTCAATTCACAATCGACGGGATTTAATCAGTGCTTGAGGCCCCTCCCATCTTCCTTCGCTTGGAAGTAGCGTCAGGCCTCATCGATCCTGCTCAACTCCGACCTAATGTACTCTATCTTCCTTTCAGCGTTTCCTTGTTGGCTCGGGTTTATTTCCTGGCCTTGCATGTTTTCTATCTCTTTACTGTTCGGGTTTCATTTTCATCCTTTTGCCATCAATGTCTGGGATTTAACGACTTTTGCCCATTTTTCGCTTTTTCCTTGGCAGTCTGTTCATTTTCTTCTTCTTGTGAACAGGCAGAACTATTGATATCCGTGTTTGGCGAATGATAGGCGTCCGGCTCTTACGTTTCATTGGGAACTACGTCTGCGTGCATAGGGGTGTTCTATGGTCCATTTGGCTTGACATCTCTTCCCCCTCGGGGCTTATACTCTCTCTGCCGCTGCTTGACGAATCCATAAATACATGCTTTTCAATCTTCATTGATGCATCGTAGTTTGTATACATGAAGGTATTGAAGTATGGGCTCTCTATATATGCAGTCCTCCATTATTTGTTGAAATGTCCCCCTTGGGGACATCTTTGCATATTTCTTAAATATTCCAACCAGCATAAATCCCCAAATAGCAATTTACAGAAGAGTATCCCTCTTTTGAACAAACCGAGCGGCGAATCGATGATATCGAAGGCTCGGCATTTTATCATATCAGTTCCCCACACCCTTCCAAGGGATAGAACTGCCCCTCATCTTGGCTTTTCTCTAAACAATCCTGAGCTGACTTGGTCTTAACATCTATCAACCTTGGAAGCTTAACAATGGCACACTCTCACTCCCACGACGCCGGCATTGACCATTCCCACGATGACCCCTTCAACGGCCACGGCCATGCACACGATATCCTCGATGGCCCAGGCTCCTACGTCAACCGCGAGATGCCCCTGATCGAAGGCCGAGACTGGAAGGATCGTGCCTTCACTATTGGTATTGGTGGGTATGTTGCCATTCTCTATCCTGCAATCAACCTCTATTTCACCTGCTTTATACCAATGCATATCCATTCAAATCACCACACCTATATGCATAGCCAGTGACTAACACATGAGTTTTGGATCTGAATAGACCCGTAGGATCCGGCAAGACAGCCCTGATGCTAGCGCTATCTCGCGCCCTTCGAGACGAGTATAATATCGCCGCAGTGACGAACGATATCTTCACAAGGTACGAGAGAATACCCTAACCCCACCTACCAACCCCACACCCACACCCGAAACAACAAGACTCGTACCTACCATACCTCACCAACATTATTAATCATTCTCTCGAAAAACAGAGAAGACGCCGAATTCTTAACCCGCCACAAAGCCCTGGCGCCGTCACGCATCCGCGCCATTGAAACAGGCGGTTGCCCGCACGCCGCGGTGCGCGAAGACATCAGCGCGAACCTGCTCGCGCTGCAGAAACTACAGAAGCAGTTCACAACGGACCTGTTGCTGATCGAGTCTGGGGGTGACAACCTGGCTGCGAACTACTCGCGCGAGTTGGCGGATTTCATCATCTACGTGATTGACGTTGCGGGTGGTGATAAGGTGCCTCGTAAGGGTGGACCGGGAATCACGGGGTCTGATCTACTTGTTGTGAACAAGATTGATCTTGCTGAAGCTGTTGGAGCAGATCTTGCTGTCATGGAGAGAGATGCGGCGAAGATGAGGGAGGGGGGTCCGACGGTGTTTGCGGTCGTTAAGCATGGGAAGGGGATGGATCATATTGTTAATCTGATTATTAGTGCTTGGAAGGGCAGTGGAGCTTATGAGGTTAGTTTGCAGAGGTGGAAGGATGGGGCTGTTAGGGGGTCTGGGAGTCTTGATGAGTAGATGTTCTATTTAGACTGGTAGGCTTAGGTCCGGTAACTTATGATTTTGGATATATAGCCTTGAAAACTTGAAAAGGGGAATACGAAGTGGAATTGGAAGTTTAAGAAGTATAAAATAGTTATGAAGTTCAATATATTCAATGTGTTGAAAAAAGATGGTACACACATTTAACTGCTTTTTCCGTCCGAATACAAACATATTCCCCGAGAACGCCTGGAATGCAGCTGTCGCCAAATCTCCAATATGTCACAGAAGCCGCGTGTGGGCTGGGTATCTGGGTGGTTTTGGGCAGAGGGGGGTTGTTCCTCTACTGCTCCACAAGATGTCACACAAGCAAGAAACAAACTCAGTGATCTTATTTGGCGAACCGGGACAGAGCCGGCCCAAGATCCTGACGCTCTTGCTTGAGCTTGTCCTTTGTGCGAGCAGCATACTCCTTGCGCAACGTCTCGGCCTTGACGCGCTTCTCGTCGATGACGTTCTTGCCACCCTTCTTGCGGAGGTACTTGCGTAGAGCACTGTTGCGGCCACGACCCCGGTTCTTGATCTTCTCCATGTGATCTTCGGGCTTGTGGTCCGGGTTGCGCTGCTCCTGATACTTCTTGTCGTTGATGGTATCGAGCTTTCCAATGATATTGGGATCGAGCGAGATCATATCCGGCTGCAGCTTGGTGAGCAGCGCGTGGACCTCCTGCTCCTGGCGCTGTCGCACGTTCTCGTAAGGGTTGGCTTCCAGCGAGTCGAAGTTTGGCTCACCGGCGCCGGGGACGAGGACGCTGGCGAACCCTTGGTCGTGTCCTACGCCAAGGATATCTTCGTATGGGCACCAGCGCACGTTCTCGATGCGCTGCCCGTCTCCGCCCCACGCCATGTATGGGCTCTGGACTTTGCCCTGGTCGGCTTGCGCGGCGTCGAAAAGACCACGCCATACGCTCATTTGGGTGCCCCAGCCCACTGCGGTCAGACCGCGGTCACTGATAGCCACAGATGCACCAGGTTGGTAGCATGAGTATGAATGCACCTCGCGGTACATGCGGATATCCCACACATTCATTTTTTGGTCCTGACCTGTAGATACCATGTAATGGCCTGTGCGATCCATTGCCAGTGACCGGACAGGTCCCTGATGCACGAGTGCCTTTACAAGAGGGGTTTGAGAGTTAGGTGACCAAAGGGTCACGGCTCCATTTTGGTGTCCGACATGGAGGATGGCATTCCATGGGTTCTGTGCGAGAGCGGTGGGTTTACCCAACCGCGTGGGTAGCTCAGCGACGGTCTGGCCGGTTGAGGTATCTGTGTATTTGAGGTGGCCGCTCATTTGCTATACAAAGGTTTGATTAGCGGGGAATCTACGGAATCAAAGAATCGAGGATACTCACAGCGCTTGCAAGAAGGAAATGATATGGCAGGAATTCCAGGAAGAGAGGTTCTAGGTGCTTGCTCAGACAGTGAATCTCAGTTCCCTGGTGGTCGTAGATATAAGTGTGCTTCTTCTGCGCCACAGCGAAGAACTGGTTGTTATGCAGCCAGCGGGCATCCCGCACAGTCTCGTTCAACTGTAACTCGCAGCCCAATTTGCCCTCGCGCCAATCCATTGTCGCAACATGTCCCTTCCGCCCTGCCAGCAGCAGGTCACGTCCGTTCCGAGAGTAGTCCATGCGGTAGGGGCCCATATCGGGAAGCTTCAATTCAAATCCCTTCTTTGCTGTCTCGATTCCGACGCTGTCCCGAATCTCATCCTGGCGGACTTTGTATGTCCGCTCGAGTTCACCTTCGGGTTCGAGGAATCCTTCCGTGTGCTCGAGCAAAATCTCTGCATCCTTGGCTTGGAGAATAGCCTCCTTGTGCTTGAATTCCTGCCTCTTGAGATTTGCGCGCAACTTCTTGTCCCGCGCACTCTTCGCATTAACGCCTTTGCCTCGTCCGTAGGTTTGCTCGGCTGCTGCGAGTCTCATTTTGGACTCGTGATCGCCCTTGGCGACAGCCATGTTTGAGGCTGAGTCGGCCATTTTATGGCAAATTCTCGAGTTCGTTTGCGAAAGAACCGAGGAAGATCAGAGGGCGGACGAAAAGCGTAGCTTCAAGAAAAAAAGTGTTTTGCCCAGAATTTCGCCAAGATTTGCGCTCACCGCTCGCTTATCCTCCACTGGCGAATTTTGATTTCTTATCGTTACCTCTTTTTTTTTTCTAGAGGCACTTTCGATTTTATTTCTGTGTATTTGCCAGTTATAAATAGCTCTGACTGGATATTTGCCGAGTTACCTCTGACTCGCTTCAATCTGGAATCCCTCCCTTTCCGATTCAAAGGCTCCAACGCCAATATGGCGCCTGCCCAGACGGTGCACCACCACCGCTCCACCACCAAGGTTTCCCACAAGCCCTACAAAACTAAGCATGCCTCCAAAAGCGCCTTGAAGGATCAGGCCAAAGGTATGATTTTAAAATGTCCAAGTATGGTAAATAATGCAGATTTAACGCTTATACTATTACAGGCAAAATCGAAGGTGATGAGCGGGGCGGTCGTAGGACACCCCACCAACAACTTAAGACGAAACTCGATCGCCGTAACACCGCCCGCCAAAGACAGGTGTTGAAGCACCAGGAAAGATCCCAAGCTACCAGCGTCTTCGCCGGCCAGAATGGTGCTCCACGTCATGTCGCAATTGTGCCGTTATCCGCCGATGTTGACGCCGCCGCTGCTATTGCTTCTATCAATGAGAGCGTCGATGTCTTGACTGACGTCTCGCCCGATGGGCCCACCCGTGTGCGCATCGATCGATTCCGTCAAAGCGTGCAGTACGTTCCTGCCAAGTATGACTTGATGAGCGCTCTGGATGTGTGCCGTATGGCCGACTTTGTCATCTTGGTCATGTCGTCTGAAGTTGAGGTTGATGAGGAGGGCGAGATGCTGTTGCGCTCGATTCAAGGCCAGGGTATCTCGAATGTGTTGGCTGTCGTGCAAGGTCTCGACAAGATTGAACCCCCTAAGAAGCGCCCACAGGTGGCTACTACATTGAAGTCTTTCATTAACCACTTCTTTCCCTCTATTGAGAAGGTTATGTCTCTCGACTCGAGACAGGAATCTTCTAATGCCATCCGATCTATCTGCACTGCTACTCCCAAGGGTATCCGCTGGCGGGACGATCGCAGCTGGATGTTTGTCGAGAATGTTCAGTGGCCAGAGTCCAACCAGGAAGTGGTAGACGACGTCGTCATCACCGGAGTTGTTCGTGGAAGGGGCTTGAAGGCAGACCGGATCGTTCATGTCCCTGGATGGGGCGATTTCCAGATTGATTCCATCACAGCTGCGCCGCTTACAACTACTAAACCTAAGCGGGATGACGCAATGGCTGTTGATGCGGATGAGACCACACAAATTCTGGATACTCCGACTGAGGATCAGGACGATATGGCTACTATCGCTCCCGAAGAAATTGAAATGGTGGATGACGACATGGTTTCCATGGCTGAGACAGAAAAGAAGGGTGTTCTGCTGGATGACTATCATTACTTCTCGGATGACGACTCGCACATTCCCCCGGTACCTAAGAAGTTGCCCAAGGGTACCTCAAATTATCAGTCTGCTTGGTATCTCGATGACGTCTCAGACTCCGGATCCGACATGGAGGATGAGGATGAGCCCATGGAGATGGATACTGCTGGAGCACCCGAAGATGGCGTGTTCCCAGACCACCAGGATGCCATGACCGAGGGCGGTGGTACCGAATACCCGCAATCGGAGATGTTCCTTGACCCCTCCCCAGAGGACGAAGCCCAGGAATTGGCCGACTATCGTGCCAGCCGCAAGACCGAGGCCGAAGAGGACTTGGAGTTCCCCGATGAAATTGAATTGCACCCCAACGCGCTTGCCAGAGAACGCCTGGCCCGATTCCGAGGATTGAAGAACCTCAAGCTCAGCCACTGGGAAACATCCGAGGATCGTCCCTACGAGCCCGAGGATTGGCGCCGACTGTTGCAGTTTGCTGATGTCAAGGGCTCCAAGAACCGCATCATTCGAGAGGCTTTGGCCGGCGGCGTTAACCCTGGTGTCCGCGTGGATATTCACCTTCGCGCAGTTCCTTCCATTCTGCGCAATAGCCCCAAGCCTATCTCTCTCTTCTCTCTGCTCCGCCATGAGCACAAGCAGACTGTGGTCAACGTTAGCATGACCCTGAACTCCAGCGTGGAGAAGCCCCTCAAGGCTAAGGAGCAGCTCGTCATCCAGTGCGGAGCCCGCCGCATGGTCGTCAACCCCATCTTCTCCTCGGCTGATAACACGCCGAACAACGTTCACAAGTACGACCGATACTTGCACCCTGGCCGCAGTGCCATCGCATCCTGGATTGGACCCATGACTTGGGGTTCAGTTCCTATTCTCGTCTTCAAACAGAAGAAATCCGAGCAGGAGGACGCTGACGACGAGATGGAGACCGCTGATTCCAAGGAGGAGCCGATTGCCCTGGACCAACTCGAACTGATCGGTACGGGTACTGTTGTCGCACCCGATCAGAAGCGCGTGGTTGCGAAGCGTGCCATCCTCACTGGTCACCCCTACAAGATCCACAAGAAGGTCGTTACCATCCGCTACATGTTCTTCAACGCCGAGGATATCCAGTGGTTCAAGGCACTCCAGTTGTGGACCCGCCGTGGCCGCAGTGGATACTTCAAGGAGAGCCTGGGTACACACGGATACTTCAAGGCTACCTTCGATGCCAAGATCAACCCACAAGACTCCGTGGGTGTCAGTTTATACAAGCGCGTGTTCCCTCGCAAATCCAAGGCTTTGGATGCCATTACTGCGTAAGCTGTTGATTTCAATAGCACTGGGGAGGTGGATGATATGATACCATTTGACTGAACTGATTACATGATGAGGGCAGCTCTGCTGATTCTGAAGGAAGCATGAGACACCCCAAAAAAGTACATATAGAACTGAGGCATCTTAGAATGATGAATTACGAATCTTCTACTCTTGCATTCCGCGCTCAACAGTAGTATCCAAATGTCCAGAATCAAGAATTCGAGATTTGATATTTCTAGGTGACAATAAGGCCAGATAAAAAAAACACTATAACCAATGAGGGTAGCATCGATCTGTTTTCACTTTCAGACCAGAAATTTCCAAGATAAACAAACGAAGGAAGAAGCCAAAAACCGAAGAGTCAATATTCTCTAGACATCACGCGCGGGGAATCACCGAAGAAATCAATCGTCATTTACGAGAAGTCCTCTTCAGCTTCCTCAATGTTATTCTTGATCCTCAGAAGGAGAGTTGTCTTCCACTTGTCCAGTTTGCTGAGCTGGTCATACTGGAAGAGCTTGTCGGCGAAGCCTTCCTGGTCACCATTCTCGACAGCCTGGGTCAAGTCTACGAGTAGCTGGTGCTCTCTTGTCGAACTAAAGGAAGGATCGAGTTCTCGGTATGATTCCAAAGCACGGTTAGTCTCAACAAGATCCTATAAATAATTAATACTCTGTTTCCCTATAAGAATAAGATGGAAACAACATACTTTTGTGGCAAGGTGGCAGATGCCTGCCTTCAAAAGATAATCCTTCACAGACCACTTCATCAGGTGGTTGTTAATAGAGCTTCGGGCGATGCGTTCGTAGTTGGTGATGGCTTTGTAATAGTCACTTTCCAGGGCAGACAGGTCCGCCACTTTGAGGTAGTGCTTGTTTGCGAGGCTGCATTGTAGTATATGTTAGCCGAGTTACTTCCCCGAATCCACAGATATCAAAAAAAATCATGGGATACATACGCTTCAGCATTGTCACCCTCGAACCAATCGGCAGCCTTCTCGTACGCCTCTAGCGCCTTCTTCATATCTCCAAGTTCCACCTCATACAGTTCAGCCAGGTATTGCTGTTGCGTTGCTGCACGGCGCAGGTTTCCTCGTAGTACGTAGTGCTGGATGGCACTGGAAAGTACACGGGCAGCATCCTCGGGGTCTGTCTTGCGGTAGACCTTGAACGCTTCCTGGAGGTTATTCGCAGCGTCGTCGGGTTCGTTGAGGCTCTGAGTTTGGATGGAGGCAGCTTTCTCAAAAGCAAGACCGGCCTCCTTGTCTGTTTGAGAACGCAGGTCAGTCATCTAGCTTCCCCTTGGCAAGTCAACGAACTAGTTAGGCCGCGGGGTATCTCACTCATTTTCTGTACTCGGAACGCATTTGCAGCCTGGGTATACAGATCTGCAGCGCTCTCATATTTCTCTCCTCTTCCTCCAAACCAACCGAAGCCGCTAGAGGCACCGGATAGCGCTTTATCGGCCTATTTCATCGCAACAAGCGAGGTCTAGTCAGCTATGCGGACTATCGTCATTGCCCATGCAAGGTGGGGAGGAATGCTTACTTTTTGGAGCAGGACACGGGGATCTTGAGTCATCTTGAGTGTATGTGTCTGTTTTCCCTGCAATAGGCAGTAGTCCGCAGATATTCGATGTGAAGTTGGAGTGTTGTGGTCAAATGAGGTTGTTATCGATGAGAGCATCGATCGGCGGGCCCGTGGAGGCGGTGTCACTTCTTTCTCGATATCCGCCTAAGCTCCCTGGTGCTAACCTATGACTACTTTTACACTGTGCTGTTCAGATTAGACTGTGCTTCTATTTCGCTCGTCTGCTTTCTCTGTATTCTTCCCACGGCAGGATTTCCCATCCTCGGAGACTCTGCAATGACCTCTCTTCGCACTGCTGCTCGGCTATCCAAGTCGTTACGCCCCGGTCCTCCCCGACTCAACACGACCTTCTGTCGCTTCTACTCTTCCAAAAAGTGCCACAGTGCAGACATCGAGTTCTTACTTGGTGCGCCGAACTGGTCTGTCAGATCACTCCTCCCGAATCCCGCCTCGAAACCGCCACCGTCAATCACGCCGAAACAACTCCATCATCTGCTGCGCATCTCAGCTCTTCCCCAGCCTGCCAGCCAAGAAGAAGAACAGTCTATGCTTGATACTCTCGAGTCTCAAATTCATTTTGTGAAGGAGATCCAACTTGTTGACACTACCGGCGTCGCGCCGCTGGCTAGAATTCGCGATGAAAGTCCTGCTGCTATGGAAGAGGAAACCATTGGAATCGAAAGGCTCAGGGACGCCCTAGCTAAGGAAAAGGTGTCCGGACGACGGGGAAAAATCCAGCGAGTCCCAGGTGAAAAAAACAATCATCCGGATGGAACCGCTTGGGATGGGAATGCGCTCGGGTCCGCGACAAAGACAAAGGGGAAATTTTTTGTTGTTGAAATCGGCAATTGAGTTACTCCCTCGACTTTCTACGGCATTGAATATACAGAAGGCATAAATATTCCGCATGAAGCAAAGCAGAGTGATATCAACTTAACATGGTCAGGTGTTTCTGCCTCAGGCCATTGGCGGAGTAAGGGGCCATGACGACATTGCCCCCTCTCCAACAACATCGGTTTCTGCCTGTTTACTCCTCGAAAAGTCATCAACTCCTTTTTCACCTCTATTCAGCGCCAATGTTCAAAAGTCTCAAAGAAAAACATGGAGGATTCTTTGAATCTAAGCAATCCAATGCTTCGGAAAGCGATCGTGGTCAAGATCTATCATCGATCTTGGATCGGTCGCAGCGTGCTGACTTAACTGTCCTCGTCTCTGAGGTAGCTGAGTCAATGCGGGTTCGAATTCTAGAGCTTTATGAGCATACAAATACAAAGGATAATTCCCCCAATCACTCCAGTCCACGCCCATCTCCGGGGGCGGACCGCGATGAAGAGACGCCACACTTGCCCTCAAGCCCACAAGACAAGGACGCGTCAGGAAACAATGGAAGTCCGCGGCAGGGATCTACTAGCAAACAGCCAATCCCCCGGCCAAAGATCCGTGCGCTCTCCACTTTTGAGGATTGGAGGGATTCTGTCCTTTTGCGTGTTGGCGCGGTCGTCAATAAAGATGATGATGATCAGGAAAAAAAGGCAGGCGAAGACCTGCGGAACGCCGCCAAGTCTGATGATCTTCCACTGGACGAGGATAAAGATAGACTGGCCAAGTTACAAGAAATATACCACCCCGTGGAAACACCTTTGGCAAAACTCCCAAAAGCAACAAGACTGCTTATTCTTCACTCGCTTCTCCTTTTAATGCTCAGCCTAGAGCACTACAGTGCTTACTCAAGAGTCTTGATGTTGAACGTCACATCCAGTCTGAACATAGATATCAACATACTCAATCAAGACGAAGTCACTGTCGCTCGCGGATTGCTGCAGACAGCTTTGGCGCTCTCGGCAGATCAAGATACCAAGGAGCAACCAAAGAAAAATGATGACATGAGAAAATGGAAAGTGGGCCTTGCATCTGTGGCTGGAGCCGCTTTGATTGGCCTCACTGGCGGACTCGCAGCTCCATTGGTAGCGGCGGGCCTGGGAACTGTTATGGGCGGATTGGGCCTTGGCGCTACCGCTGCTGCTGGGCTTCTAGGTACTTTGGCCGGAAGTAGCGTCGTTGTTGGTGGCCTTTTTGGCGCTTACGGTGGACGTATGACTGGTCGCATGATGGAAAAGTACGCACGTGAAGTGGACGACTTTGCCTTCATACCGATAAGAGGAGAACCCCGCCGGAATGTAAAAGAGAAGGAGTCTGCTAAACAAGATCATCGTTTACGGGTTACCATTGGTGTTACCGGTTGGGTCAAGGAAGAGTCGAACTTCGTGATCCCATGGCGGGTGATTGGTGCCGACTCTGAAGTGTTCGGTCTTCGCTGGGAGATGGAGCCTTTGATGAACCTGGGTAACGCGATATCAGCTCTTGTGACTAGCGCTGCGTGGTCGGTTGCCGGACGTGAGGTTTTGGCTCGTACTTTCTTCCACACGATCATGAGCGCGGTAATGCTTCCCCTAGGCCTCATGAAAGTTGCTGGCATCGTCGACAACCCGTTCAGCGTGGCTAAAGCTCGCGCCGATAAAGCGGGCGAGGTTCTCGCTGATGCACTGATTAACAGAGCCCAGGGAGAACGACCCGTGACCTTGATGGGGTATTCTCTAGGGTCTCGTCTGATTTTCTCCTGCCTCAAAAGCCTAGAAAGGAGAGACGCGTATGGCCTGATCGAATCGGTCATTTTGATGGGGTCACCTACCCCTTCAAACGCGGAGGACTGGCAAAAGATTCGCAGTGTCGTAAGCGGACGTGTTGTGAACGTGTTCTCTGAAAATGACTCTGTACTCGCTTTCCTCTACCGAACAAGCAGCTTTCAACTCGGTGTAGCGGGATTGCAGCCAGTTGAAGGTGTTCCAGGTGTTGAGAACCTCAACGTAAGCGAACTGATCAATGGCCACCTGCGGTATCAGTTTCTGCTTGGCAGAATTCTTACCCTTATCGGGCTTCAGGACCTTGATCCCAGTGAGATTGAACGCGAAGAAGCTGCTCTTGCCCACGAGGATAAGCGACAGGAGAAGGAGCGGTTAGAGAATGAGCGCAAGGCTGGTGTTAAAGACCGGGAATCATCTGCTGCTCTTGAGGCCCTGAACAGCCAGGAGGGCTTTGGGGAAGATGCACGGTTGCAGAAGAAGGTCGAGGCGCAGACTCAGGAGAACATGATGACCCACCGTATTGAAATGATTGATATGGACGACGATGATTATTCGGCGCCTTTGAAAGAAGATCCCTCGAAGCATTCTGCTCTGTAGATGAGGACTTGGGGTTTATAATACAGTCGAGCACATCTGTCAAATACACCTCTGATACAATGTATAAGTTGTCAACTATTGCCGTAAGAATGGGCTGAGCCTTTGATATTCTGTCTCAACTATAGAATAAACAACTTGTAGTGACAACATGATCTGTTAGTTTCCTTAGCTAGTTTCCCTCGCACCATAAACCAGATTCCAATATTCCAACCAACAATGACTGTCCAGTTCGAACTGAGCCAAAGATTCACACGCATGCTGTTACCTTCGATACTCACCGATAAATCCAACCTTGACAGCCTTCAATGGCCCCACAAGCTCAAACGGTGTATAAATTCACAACTGGATTCATCAGCTCCATTTTCTTCCGCCCGTCGTTGACCTATCCAATCCGTATAGGCATGGAATTTCCGAAACTGGGACTTCTGGGGCCAGAACCTCGTAAGCCAGGTTTGGATATGGCTGAGCTCCGAAACGCCATCTGGGAAATAATACGACCACAATTCCGAGTCCCATGTCGTGTATATTCTTGCATCGTCAAAAATCCTCAGTCCATCACACAAATTTGCTCTCATCGCATACATGAAATGGTGTAGTAGAATAAGAACGATGTATCTCTGATTCGATCGATGGAGCCAAGGATCCGTGTTCATGATAACCCAGGGACAGGTGGATAATTGGTCTCGCATTCGTGTCTCATACGGCGATTCCCAGCTTGTCCCGTCTTCGAACCAGTTTTTGTATCGTTCAAGACGAAGGAAGCTGGCTGTTCTGCCTGGTAGTTCATCCAGGCAGGTCTCTAAGAACATGTCGGTATCGGTGAGTGCATTTCCAATTTGGCTGACGGCTGTGTCCTGGGTGATAGCGAGAAGCCTCTTTAATCGGAGCTCGATCCCTTTTTGATCGAATAGAGACACGAGGGACTGGAATAGGTCTTTGAAATGACGGTCTGACATTGCGGGCACATTTGTTTCTGGATCTTGGACCCATAGCCCTAGACGAAGGAAGGGTAACATGGCAAGGTCGTGGTCAGGACGGAATTTGGGTCCGGACTGGATTGACTCCTGTAGGGCCCCCATCTCATAAAATTGATCTCTATATATTCCCCAGTGAGTCGGTGGGTCTTCTGCGCACCATGGTCCATTAGTTGCCAGCTCTATAGTCGGCCGAGCCACCGGGATCAGAAGATCGACTAGCAAGTTGAGTTTCTGCCAAAGCAACACCATTTGACCCGGGTCTGATGGATTTGGGCAACTGATATGTACTATCATTTTCGTTTTTGGATGGGGGAAGTTCTGGAAATGCCTTTTGGCGTCCGCTTTACTACTGAATGCCCACTCAACGTCCACAACTCTGGATTTCAATTGCATGACCATCCAATTTTCTTCGTTATATATTGGGCTGATAAAGATGTGCTGCTCGGAGTTTCTGAATATATGGGATGAGATCTCATTGTACAGATATCGGCTGGTGCAAAGAATGGATCGAGGTTTGTCTTTATGCAGGTCATCCTTGAGTGGTTGTTTGCGGAGGGACGAGAAGAGGTGGTCCCATATCATCAGGCGGATTTCAATAGGAATGCAACCGAAGATACCCAGAAAAGGAAATAATAGATATTGCATACTGAACAAAAGAAAGCCGTTGAACTGATGATTTTGAATATTAGCGATGAGGAAGAGGGAAATCCCATTTCATTTCACTCACATAGCCAGATACATCGTCAAGTTTACGTCGGAGCTCGCTACTATGCCTTTCTCAGATGTGACACTTTCCCGATTTGGCGCGGAGAGGTTGTCTCGCCAAACCCTAAAAAGACCACTTCGACTCGCAATATTTGTATTCAATCTCAACTCATGCCTTGGCCACATGCACAATAATCTTTCCCCTAGCACGGGAGGAGCGAAGCTTCTCGAATGCCTTAACAGCATCCTCAAACTCGTAGGCAGAATCCAGCTGGATTTTGACAGTCCCCTTCTGCACCCATTCCCCAATCTTCACAAGATCTTCACGGGTATTTTTGAAGAAGAAGATAACATATTTCCTCTTTCCACCACCCAAGAAACTAGGCCAAATCAACCTATCAGCAAAAGTCCCCACGCCCGACGCGCCAACCTGTACAAATGTCTTCCCAGCCGCCAAGAAGTGATGCGACTCGCGATACATCGGCGCAGGGTATCCGATATGATCAACAATATGATCAAAGACAACACCACGACTGCGCAGTGTAGCAACCAAATCCTCCTCAACTGAGTAATCAATAACCTCATCAGCGCCCAGCCCACGACAAAACTCCACATTCTTCGTCGAGCAAGTAGTGGTAACATGACACCCCATCTCCTTAGCAATTTGAATCGCGAAGATTCCACATCCTCCAGAGCCTCCGTTGATAAACACCTTATCGCCGGCACTGACATACCCAGCCAGGGACTGGTACGCTGTCTGTCCCGCAATACCGATGGACGCCGCATGATCAACCTCCACGCCCTCTGGCACGGGCGCAAGCAGACTTGCAGATGCCACTAGGTACTCGCCCAGTGAGCCGAATTGGGCAGGCACACTGAGGCAGCCGAACACGAGCTGGCCCGGTGAAAACTCGGTCGCGCCATCGCCGGTGACCACCACGCGCCCGCAGAAGTCCATTCCCGGTGAGGCTGGTGTGCCGATCACGAATTTTTGTGCTACCAGTCCTACTAATCCCATCTCGGGGACTTTGTAGTCGGCTGGGTTCAGGGAGGCCGAGAGGACTTTGACTAGGACATTGTTGCCGTGGACGGTCGGTGGTGCGCGTGCTGAGGCGTCGAAATAGAGGTTCTTTTCAAGACCGTTGGCTGTGCTGGAGTAGAGCCAGGCTTTCATCTCTGAGGGTTGGGCAGATGTCATTTTGTGTTTGAGATGTATGTATGGTTCTTTTGATGTGATCGCACTTGAGACTCGAGAGATGGTGCCACTTTTGCGGAGGGCAAGTGATGACCTCACCCGCACATCCCCTTTGCGTATTAGCGTCGGGAGGTAAACTCATGAATTTGAATACTTGAATATTTTATGCTACTTGGATTCATGCAAACTCATAATATCTGGTCTCCTCTTCTCTCAGTCAACACTAGTGCCACGTCGCAATATCTCTGGATAACTGAATAGTCCCACTAGCAACAGAACAGAGGATCGGTTCCGAACATTTACATAACATAAGACATCCACAGTCCGCAAGGAAAAGTCCTCACTAGCAGTCTCGATATCAACAAGCCGACGATTATATCTTGACGGCTACTTCCGTAAATGGTATTATTGCCCTTGGTATAATTATCCACCTACCCTGATCGCCCTCAACAGCCCGGCCGGGCTAGCTCAATCGGTAGAGCGTAAGACTCTTAATCTTAAGGCTGCGGGTTCGACCCCCGCGTTCGGCTATTCCTAAAACCAAACCTGAGATTTCTTTTTGATCTTCTTTTCTTTACATTGTTGCTCGGGCTGAGGCAGTATTTAGGCAAGAAGGGTCAATGGATGCATCATACATGGCTCCCGAATTAGAGTAGGCGACTATGTATGTAGCTGCATAATATCAACAGTATCTAGCTAACTAGTGACGTGAGATACGAGCTAAGAAAGTCATGCCTATATATTCTCGCTCAAATTTGGGCGGAAGAATACGGGCAAGATATTCTGGCCAGTCAAACATTGGTCTCAGTTGGCGAAGAGCCTGACAATATTCCCAATGTGCTGGATACCATCCAGCATATTCCCAGTCCAGAATAGCTGTAACTCGACCAGCTTCCATAAGAATATTCCGCGGGGCGAAATCAGAATGTGTGAATACAATCTCATGGTCATCCATAAGCGCAAATTTGGTATAATGTCGTAGCATATCTGGTGCTATCTTGACGAAATCTCCTAGAATAAATTCGTTGAACTGCGCCTCGGTATCAAATGGACCCCCTTCAATTGATGCAATGCGTCCAATAATAGCTTTGCCCCAATTAATAGCCCTAATATAGTGGCCTTTCAGCTCACGAAGTTGCTTCATATAGGAATATAGCTTATTGGCAATGGAGAGCTTCTGACTAGAGCTTAAAGTATCCCACGCTTTATCAAGCGGCTTGCCAGGCATATAGTCCATTATAAGAGCATCGACTTTGCCATCTTCCCAGCGAATATCATGAACCTTAGGTATATGGATCGTCGTATTTGCTATGATGAAACGAAGTGTTTCCCCTTCCTGGGGGCGGAGGTGGCCAGACTTCACAACGAGGTCACCGAGTCGGATAACGGTACGACCGCACAACGAATGAAGTACCGTCCCTTCTTGGTCCTTCGTTGCTTCTTGGTGGTTCTTTGCTTCTTGGCCGTCCATAGCTTCGCCGTCACTCGTTGTGTTCATGTTGAAGGGCAGATTATTGCGTCTTCCGATGCATATCAAGAATTCAGTATAGACAGCTACTTTATGTGGGTGGTAAAGGTAAAAGTAAGGAAGGAGTACATGTAATCGAAGAATTCGGCCACGTCAACAAATGGAGAGGGTATGAACAAGTGGAGTTGATCAACCTTGAGATTAAAGACTGCCCCGCCCCGGTTGCCCAGCGGCTAGACGCCGCTCCTGAGGGAAGCCCACGAGTTCGAGATAACCCTGAGTCAGCACTCACGTGACTGCCCTCGTACATGGATATCATCACTTCAAGCTTGAGATTGGCATAGCCCTCAATACTCTACATGTAAACACGGGTGCTAGTCCTGCGATTCATGGGATAGTAGCCATCTAAAACGGGCTCACAGTTGTGGGCGAGTCATTATATATTTCAGGATGGCTTCTCGGGCAAAGCACGAACATTTCTACTCCATTTGTGCCTATAGTGGTTTCTCAACTCAGTTATGAATTCGGTGTCTGAATCTTTACTCCTTCACTTGCGCTGCTACTGAGGCTGGGCGGAGGAACATGTGGCGGTCTCGAAAATCTCGTAGAGGACGGACACAAACTCAGCCTTGCTCTTTTTCCATCTGTATCGTCGAGTTACGAACTAGATAATTTATTAGTGACATTCTAGTATGTCCCATGGGTTTTGTACTTCGCTATCAGCGCGGATTTGGATGAAATCCCAGCGGAAACTATCGGTGACGATGCCATAGACGGGAGTGTCCTGCATTTTCGCCGTTTTCCTCGCGTGATGGATCATTCCTATTCATGTCAGCAGATGCGTTTATTCATGTTAGTAAGGTGTAACTCAAGATCATTACCCATGTATCCTAGAAATGAAAGCATGCCTTCGTCTAGAGACCTAGTCTTCTTGGCTTCAACCATTACTAGGTTGGTTTCATAGTTCCCTGGGGATCCAAACCAAATGGAGTAATCCACCACGCCGGAAAGTAGATATTCAAAAAAAGATCGTGGCATTTCCGACGATTCTAGATCAGTGACTACCTTATTATTTCCCTATCCCCGATGAAGCGGGCCATTTTCATGTGGAGGCAGTGAGACCTTTCCTCAGCTTTTCTAAAAATCGCTTCTCTTCCTAAGCACTGAGATATTTTCGGACTACTTCTTAGTGCAGATATGTTCTATGAGCTGCTGGTACACCGTACGCACCTGTAAAGTAAGTGTATTCTCTGTACTCGTAAATAAACCGAACATCCATATTAACACTTACGGCTGTTATGAAAAGATGTAGGGGGTCTATCATTAGGACTTCTCGACGTTGGTAGGCCGTTGGTAAAATGATCAATCTTGGTGTCATTCGGTAACGTATCAAAGGGAAGCACGTATAGCACTCCCGCTGTACTCAATACACATTAACATGCAGACTGGCGTTCATGGTCAGACATCCAAGGCTGTAGTTTGCACGGTGGATAGTGTGCCCTCTCTAGCAGCGATGTGATTGGCAAAAAGGCAACTCATGGCTTTCAATCAAGGCTACCGCGGCAGACGAAAGAGGGGAAGCGAAGAAAAAGAATTCCCTAGAAGATTCAACATGTCAACCATTTCAGATGAGGACAAAGCGATACTCAAGGCAGACGACCCAATTGAGGGGTAGCGAGCCTATCCCACTGTTGCAATTAGCCTGGGTGGCAAATGCCTTCGGTATGTTTCTCTCAACTCGGAATTGTAATCCGTTGTAGGCTGCCATGCTAGGGTGGTATACTTGGAGCTTGTATACTCGCCATATCTCCGAAGTCGTAGGCAGTTAACATAGTGGGTCTAAATCAGTTCTGTTTAGGAATCATGTGGAATTGGGTTTAGGGGCACGATTAAAAACCGGCCCGATGATGCAGCCACTACATGTAGCGATGTATATCAGCAATGTTATTTTCTTGTAGCTTTTTCTTGGCAACGTAGGATTCTTAATGACGAATCATAGGAAAAATGGCGTGGTTATTTCAAAGGTGAAGTCAATGCCTACATAGACTTTCCAATGATACATCATGCATGTCTAGCCGGAGAAAAACCCTTTATCAGCACAAGGCGTTCTCTGCCTTGCGCTCGGGCCTAGTTAAGCCACAAATGGCGGCCGGGATTTGACCTTGCTAGTCAGACTCGGTGAAGAATTTTTGTCCTGCATGAATACTTGTGACCTGACAAGTACAGTTGCTTGTTCATGCGCAGGATATCCACTATGCAGGCAAGACACAAAACATACGTTGTACATAGGCAGTTCTCAAGCCACCGACCGGACCCACTAGTGGACCAAATGGCTACAACGGCCAATCAGCTTCATGTATGGGCGGAGGAGGCTCAAAGAGAAAATTTTGATCAGCGAAAAAAAAAGAAATCTCAGGTTTGGTTTGTAGGAATAGCCGAACGCGGGGGTCGAACCCGCAGCCTTAAGATTAAGAGTCTTACGCTCTACCGATTGAGCTAGCCCGGCTGGGCTGTTGAATGAGGTTGCAATAGTACAAGTGATATTGGCACTGCGGCAGGGTTAGCTCGGGGCGATGATTTTGGTCGGCGGTCAGTATGGGAACATGAATCTCGAGGGTGCGGGTAAATGTTGACACGAGGGACGTCTCGTGACGGTTCATGAATAGACGGCCGATCTGTGGATAGACAGCTCGTTGGCGCTTGGTGAAACAGAGTAAGAAAAAATAACAATCTCTTTGAGGTGGTCGCGCAATCGGAGGCTCGGGCCCCATGGTATCAACAACGTGGCTTATGATGCCCAGGGAGGGAAAAAGAGGATGCATCGAAGAAATGGTAGCCTGGCGCGCGCGCCAAGCGACGTGAATGGAGACATAGAAACATATCGAAAACAAGGTTGTGATCGAATAGAAACTCTTGGCTTGAACGCCAGCGGCGTAGCGACAGGGATAAATTGTGAGGAAGCAGTTTCCGTGAAAGAAGACATCAGTGGCTGGTGTATCGAATCACAGATCAGAGATTGTGAAGTTAGTGGTCGAGGCTGAGCAGTCATCCTACATTGGGGATAGTCTGGAAAAAGCACTGGATGAGAGCTGTTGTATATCTTTCGGCTCGCAGCTGGGAGGGGTAATTGAGGCTGGTGAGAATCCCCGAATATTGGGGTCCAAAATAAAGAATCCGAGTTCGCGCACTATTCTTAGATAGTTTGAAACACTCTAGTATCTCCAAATATGGAACAAGAGAACAATGCTCAAAGTCCCATTGAAGTGGTTTAGGGAGTTCCAGATTTGTCTCGGTAGACGCTCATCGCGGTTGCGGGAGCCTATGAGCGTGGGGAATGAGTGGGCGGAAACACTGCGATGAAACACCTCCTTCCGAATGTACTGGCTCTGGTTGAATCTTGAGATTCTATTTCGGAGTGTCAACCTTGGACGTTCAAAGGGTAGCAAATGACGCGAACTCGAGGCCTGTTCTCAGGGGGGAGGGGAACAGGGGGCACGAGACCCTTGTCATTACGCAGGAAAACGAGAAACATGAGCCACACGATTTTCGGTGAATGACTTGCGTAATAAAACTCTCCCGATAGTTGATGTCATGGGGATCAGGCTATACAACTAAATCAAGCCTTAGAAATAGTGTCGGGGACTGAAAGGGAAATAGTGTAGGTTGTGGTGAAGTTAACTGTGAATTGGGAGGATCAGGGCCAATCAAGCAAATGACAAACATAAAGCACAGCCTCAGCCAGTACGGAAAATACAGAGCAGACGTATTACAAGAATAATACTTGCATTTCCCGTCTGTTTAGCGTGAATGGGCCAAGTACCACGGAGGTATCGCAGATCTCAGGCCCCACCAGCAGACACCAGACCCTCCAGGCGCCAGGACGCCATCTATAGACTCTGCATGATACTCACTCAGTATATAATGACCAGGGCCCCCTGCCTTTTACTCTAGAATATCTTCCTCAGTATACACACATTCATACATTGGCATACATTGACATACATTCGAACTTCACTTTCCAATTCATTGCCTTGAATTTCACATCTGATCATCTCTATACGGTGATCACCTACCGCTTTCGCGTGACCCTTATAAATCAGTCACCGTGTCGCCCTTCCGCTCGACCTCGTATACCGTTGACCGCTCGACTCATTTGACTTCTACGGAGAAATCTCCTCCCCGTCCTAGTCTGAAACGACGCCTACTTGGACTACGCCGCACCAATACAATGCCTGCCCCAATCGAGATAACAGATCCTGTGGCGCTTGTGCGTGAGCTCCATGCAGATGAGAGGCTGGTGGTCCAGGACTTTGAGAATCACGCCAGCCGGTGCCGCAACTGCGCTCACGCCGTCCAGACATACAAGGATGGTGGCGCACTCTGCGAGTCAGGCAACACTCGCGCCCGCACTCTTCGCAACTACATCTTCAGCCAAAATGGCAAGCACTTCTCTACCGTTGACTTTGAGAGTGGCAAGTCAATCCGCGTGAGGCTGCCCGCAGATGCCTTCGCTGCCCGCGAGCTTCTCACAGCCCTCGAGCAAGGCTTGCGTATCCGCGAGAAGCCCATTGTCGTCCAGGAACCAGTCGAAACCACCCAGTCCACGAGCTATGACCGGACCTACACCGTCACAGCTCGCAAGGTCAGCAGCAAGCAGACTCGTCCTCGTTCCATGTCCCCCGAGACTTACCAGCTCGTCGAGAGGGCCCCTCGCCTTTCTCGTTCCCCTACTTCCATCATGTACCGCTCGCCCGGCGGATCTCCCAGCCGCCCATCCTCTAGCCGTGGGTCATTGTACGGCGCTGACCGACAAGAGCGTGTGGAGCGCCACTACGAGACCCCTCGGTGGTACGTTGACGGCTCCCCCAAGCACCGTTGAACGTATACCTGTCTGTACCTGGCAAGGTATTCCGACTCTGTTTTCTGATTACGATTATACACAACCCCCAACCCAATCGCTTTGAAGAAACCCCAATTCACTCGCGATGGGCATTGATTGCCCACACCCATCTGACCGCGAGACGGTCTTGACCGGTGATGTGGAATTAGCACATTACAGGCATACCCCTACCCCAACCCCAACCCCAACCCCCCATACCCTAGTCTTTGATAGTCTGGATTGATAGGGCCTGCCGGATGAGCCCTCGGAAATTCACTTTCTGTTTTCCAGCTTTGATCTTTGACTCGAGTGCATGTCGGGGTCCCAGATTTGCGGGACATCCCAGTCTCGGACCCCGACTTGATTGTGACTCGATCAATTGTTTTGATTGTGTGCAATTATCTGCAGGCTTGGCCAAGTCGCATTGCTGCAGTCATCCCGGAAGGAGGTGCAGGTGTGGAGACATTGGCCAATCACGGATGCGGAAAGTCGACGATGTTCATGCATGTATTTTTTTCGTTTTACTGCCTTTATTGGCTGCTGTTTCTGTGACTCATTTTGATGTGGAGAAGCTTGTCTCGATCGATTTGGTCTTTTGTCAATTTTCCTTTGTCGTTGATATGCTGCGTTGGAATGCGCCCTTTTCGGGACAAGGCTGTGAGCCTTACACTCTTAGATAGCTCCCACTCTTGGGATTAGGTAGATAATTGAATTGAATATGAATATATCACTGAAACAATTACTTAGTCCCCAGGAAATCAATATAGAATGCATGACTATGTACTGAGACATCGTATTATTTCATTAAGCATAGTTGGACAGTTCAGTGAGGTACCCCACGTTGACCAGGCTGCGAAGATCATGATATCCACACTCTGACATACTTTAATTACCGAGTTGTCTGAGGCTCTTACAGTTCTATACATGACTCACTGCGGGGTTGTGGCTGATGTGCTTGGGTCATGTGCCTGAGGCTAGACAGAAATCTTATCCTTTGCTCATATCATCTGTACAAAGTGTCTATGCCACGTGAATATGACCTGTCGCAGATGATATCGATAATATGATGCCTTGTCGACGAGGTAATATATACCAGAGTCACCAGCTACATCTTCTGGTTTTTTCTCGACTCCTGATACTATCACCACCTCATCACTATCAGAAATAGGCATGGAAATAGAATTTGGTAAACTCAGTCCTCTCATCACCACCAATCTATCACTTATAATAGTTGGGCACTTTCAGTCCTTTGAACTCAAACGAAGTGTTTTCCCGACGATCAATCACCGTTTTATGATGAACATCCCGCACCCGAGCTCGAACATACTCAGTCCCGGTAGGAGCAGGCTTGCTTTGGCTTTTGTCTTCTTCGGTTAGAAGACCAAGACGTTCAAGCAAAGGCGAGGGCACGGTTCTCATCACGGTGTCATCACCCGGTCTACAGAAGTAGAGCAACCCAAGGCGGGGGATATCGATCTGATCTCTGGGAGGTGTAACGACACGATGAATTGTCGATTTGAGGAAACCTGTCACCCTATGTTAGCGAGATATTTGTCGCACCAACTGATATGAGCACTTGCCATTGGTAAGGAACGATAACGTGTCAGCAATATTGCACGTAATGCCCCCCTCAACAGGCTTCACGTATTTCCATTCCCCATCCGACGTCCGGATCTGCAAACCCGCAACATTCTGCGAGAAGAGCAGCGTCAAGCTGCCAAAGTCCGTGTGACCGCCCTTGGTATATCCCTGTGCCTTGTCCCATTCCTCTTGAGTGCGCGTGTTGTAGATCATGTATCGCAGGTGGTCATCGGAACGCTTATCATAGGCGTGAGCCTGAACTAGGTGGTCTTCCGGTAATTCCAGGATAATCGCCATCAAGACAAACAGCTTGCGGACAACCTTGTCGAAAAGATCTCGATGGAAGCTGGCAATCTCGTCGTAGTTTTGACGGACGATCCTGTGTTTGGGAACATCATCCCATTCTGGAATAGCTTTGGGAATATTGAGCTGGACATGTTAGTCAAATTCAATCCACGATATAGTGAAGTAAATTCGTACCATTTCTATGTTGTCTTTCACGCCCGTTTCTCCAATCCACCTTGAGTTTTCACGGTAGCCGAAATACTCCCCTTCGGCGAAATTGCATTCGAAGCTTCGCTTTTCTTCAAGATTCTCTTTGAAAAATGCATTCCCGATACTGAACTGGCGGAGGATGCGCTCGTCATCGAGTCCGTGTCCGACAACTACCCAAAATCCGACTCGTGTCACAGCATCGTACAATTGCTTTGCGAGATCTTCTTTGCCGCCGGGTTCGTCGAAACGAGAAAGATCGATCTCAACTAGTGGTGCCCAATCAAGCTTCTCGTTAGTAGGCGCAGGTCGGCTCCATGATTTGATGGTGGCCTTTTCGATTGGGATTTGTTGTTCTATAGCTGAGGGAGCCATATTTGTTTTAGGATAGGGATGAAGGATGATATCCTAAGCGAGAAGAGTATACTTGTATACCTAATTCAAAATAAAACCTATCTATAATGTACTCTTATAGTGCTCTATGCCATACACTTTGCTATTCCAAAGATGCGGGGTTTATGGTATCATGCTCGCTCAGGATGGCGTTATATGCAACGGTATTATCGTGCCGTGAAACGGGGTCGAATCATAGTTAACTAGTCAATCAAACTCTGACTCAATAGAATAGAATTTGAGACCGTGGATTGTGTATCACATTTGAATGTGCGTAGACATGTCTGATAGACCAAATTTGTCAATGTTTGTGCAATCCTCCATTACGAGGGTTTTGTGATCGCCACGACAATTGACCTAATCGGGCTACCTTCAGTGCTCTGCTTTTCTCTTCAACCTATCCTTTGGTAGTATAAGAAAATATCTGAGGGCAGCTTTATTATTTCTCATTAGCAGCCTTGTCAGATATCCATGAGTTCATACAAAAATCATTAAACTCATACCCGAGGAAACTACTAGTTTCTTCAAGGCAAAATCCGGCTGTCATGCGTAGCCTCATACTGAATATCAGAACACGGAAGGAGCTAGCACGAGAAACTGGATGAGACAGCGTCTGGAAATGAAAGAATCCGAGGAAAGGGTCAGGTTGACCTGAAACATATCTCTACGAGGCTCGGTTCACCTCCGAACTCCTAGGGATTTGCAAATCCGACGACCGCCCCAATCCAAATGGACTTTCCTACTATTAAACGGAGCCAGGCATCGCTAGAATCCTTCTACATCTTTGAAAGAACAAATTTTGGCTGCACGACGACACTGCTCCTGATAAAATAGAATCCCCACGTTAAACGACCAAACGAGCAAGATGATGACAGGAATAAGCGGGGCGGATATCACGAATGGCCTGGTGCAATCGAAGGCTGCCAGAACGGCTGCGGACAGAAGACGTCTTCGGACCCCACGTATATGAGTGGGTAAGAGTGGCTACAGTGCGGAGATACCAAGAAATGGCATAGCTAAGCTACAGTTCCGGTTAGACCACCTCCACTCAGCATGGAGCTTAGACAAGCCACCAAAAGGCCCCGAGATAATAAAAACCCCAGTGATTGGACAATCGCAGAGTAGGTCTTCAACGCCTGAGCATTTTTGTCGCCTCCGGTCAGCACAGTGGTCTAGTTAACCTGTCTGATTTGTCAGTAAGAGTGCTTTTGTACATACTCTGCAAAACCTTAAGCGAGCCTTAGATTTTCATAGTTACACATTGAAACCGACTGCTTCAATAAAAATCAAATAGTACAGAGCAAGTTATTAAGGCCATACCATAGGGTACCTCAAGGTAGTCTCTTATTTTGAGGTCCATTTATATATGATGGGCGTCAAGCTTATGGGGGTTATGAGAATATCCATACCCCACAATTATAGCATTTAGACTATGCATGCCGCAATCCGAATGAATAATGAGTAATGGAGGTTCAATCAAACGAATATTCACATTGGGAGGGGAAATGTCGTGATCCAAACTATCATGGCACCTTGCCCTAATAACCCGCGTCGCCGAGAACGGAGGGGTCCAAGTAACACATAAGCATAAAGGTGCTTCAAGGAAAATAAGTTGCGTTTTGACTGCAGAATGAGATGAAATTATTCTAAGCAATCATCCTATATCAAGCGGATCTTGAAATTGACAATATGGCTTCGGAGAAGCGCGACGAGCTGGAAGTCATTACTTCCAGCATACCTTCAACTCCGCCCAATGAGATCAATCGCGAAGACAATGAATATAACGCCAAACTCGAGAAGAGAGTGATGCGAAAAATAGATTTCTGGCTCGTTGGGTTTTACTCGCTTGTATATATCTTCCGTGTCATTGATTCCAACAACTACTCCAACGCCGCAATCATCAACCTAGAAGCCGGCACTGGAATCAAGAAAGAGCTCAATTTCAGCGCCGCACAATGGTCCTGGACACAGTCCATCTTCTCCTACAGCTACCTCTTTTTCGAGCCCACCAACACCATTCTTCTCAAACGCGCCACGCCTTCGAGATGGATGTTCGTGTTGATTTTGGGCTGGGGTATCTGCGCCTGCGCTGCTGGTGCTGCAAAGGACTTTCCGGGGATGATGTGTGTACGATTTGCAATTGGACTGGCTGAAGCCGGTTTCTATCCTTCTGTGCTCTACCACATGGCATTCTGGTACAAGCCATCTGAGCTGCGCTGGAGGATAGCCCTTTTCTACTCTCTCGGTCAAATATCTGGCGCATTGAGTGGGCTGCTAGCATATGCCATCAGCTTTATGGATGGGGCCGGTGGTCTTTCAGGCTGGCGATGGCTGTTTGTCATCGAAGGCCTTCCGGCAATCGTGCTATCTGTGGTAGCTTTATTCGGTCTTCCGGACTACCCCGAGACCGCCCGAATGTTGACCGAAGAAGAGAGAACGTTCCTCAAGGGCCGTCTATCCTCTACAGCACCCTCAGGAAATGATAAAAGCTGGAACTGGGGGGACTTCAAAACACTTCTCTCAAGTCCGACCCTGTACACATTCACAATCTACTGGATTGGACATGGCATTGGCGGATTTGGAGTGAATTACGCTCTACCTACTGTTATCTATGAGCTTGGCTTTACCACAACCGCTCTATCACAGCTGATGAATATTGTGAGTTGGAATCAATCTAGGGAAACACACCAATACGCAAGGCATCGCTAACCGGACTCATACTCAATAGCCTCCATATGTCGCATGCTTTTTCTTCTTGAATATTCTCGGGTATTTACTACACAAAGGATGGATCAGACCCTGGACCACCGCTGTTGCGAGTAAGTATTAATTCCCGCATTACACATGGAGTTCCTACTGACAACAAATCAGTCGAAAGCACGACAATCATCTGCTATATCATCCTGATTACAGTCAAGAACTCAGTCGTCAAATACCTCGCTTTGATTGTAGCTACCGCTTGTGCGGGATCTGCATACCCTGTCATCTGGCCAGAACGTATTCGTGCGCTTGAGGGTACAGTGGCCGTGGGTATGGGTATTGGGCTGACGAATGCCATGGCCCAGTTCAGTGGCATCGCTGGGCCTCATATATACAGTACGGTGTTTGGACCGACGTATCGAGTGTCATATGTTATCTGTCTTTGCTTCCTGTGTGCGGCTATCTCGGGCATTCTGGCTTCGTGGTGGCTTGTCTGGCGGAAGGATCGAAAGAACGAATTAGCCGCTGAGATTGAAGAAGATGCATGATGGTTGGGGAGACAATCCTTGTTCTGGGTATGGCACTTGAGATTTATATGAAGAGGATCTATATACGTCAGTTTATGTCTTTTACTCAACCAACGCATATAGAGCCAGTATCTTGATAAAAAAGCTTAGTCTGTTTTCTTGCCTTTTCCTATTTTTCTTTCCAAATCAGCTCATTAATTTCAGGTACTGATTCTGTAAAGTTTGGGGCAAAGCATAAACTCGGCCCATATTGTATTTTGATTGAAAACTGCAACACTCTAGGAAATCGTATCAACTGGGAAATAGTTTTATATCTTAGTAATATCAAACTATAGCTCTGGGTACCAGCAAAATAGAACTTGGCAAAACATTGTGCGAGTGAAGGTTGTGGACATATAAAAGCCTTGAATATAGAGTGTTAAACTATTACAAACCCACTAAAAAGGCACCAAAAAGGCACCGAAGCTATATCGTCTAAGATCAATGCTTGGTCGTACTCAAAATGAGTCTTGCCGTTCACTTAATCCCGCCTGACAACTCAATATCGATATGACCGACCACCCGAAAGGCGGTCGTCATGTACCTATCTATTTCGATGGAGCAGAGGTTTGGCTACTTATGAAACAAACAACTTCAGACTTTTTCACCCGTGACCGGTCAATTGCAACTACGTGACTTGTTGTCTCTTAAAGGCTGCCCCCATCAGCTCTTCCTGTGAACCGTCTTCCCTCTACCAAACTTCTCAACAATCTCTCCGTCTTACACATGTCACGCGATTGATCGCTCATCCCAAGGAAAATTACATTTTAAAGACCTCTTAACCTCACTTGCTTAACCCTTCACTCAGACAACCATGCCACACGCTGGTCCCATGGACTTCCAGGCCCTCATCCTATGTGGCCCTGGAGGTTCACTCAATACATTCACCTCCAGACCTGAGGAGTATCCAAAGTGCCTCATTCAAGTCGCAAACAGACCTATGTTATTCTATGCCATCGATTTTTGCAGGCGATCAGGTGTCACTGGTAAGCCCGAATGCTCTCTTTATTCTAGACCCATCTCAATCTCTTAATCAAATTGGCTAATTATATCCCAGATATCACGTTGATCACCCCTCCACTGTCTGTCCCTCCCCTTCGGGCTGCTTTGGACCAGAACCCATATCTTACATCGTTCTACTCGCCCTCGGTCTCGCTCATCGCACCGAAGGACCTCGAGATGACAATGGGAACTGCCGAGCTCCTTCGTCTCCCAGAAGTCCAGAGATGTATCACCACGAATTTTCTTCTCCTTCCTTGTGACCTCATCTGTGAAATCCCCGGTGAGTCAATCCTCGAGGCGTGGATTTCCAGTCCGTATGCCCTCAACGATGGTAGTGATTCAAGAGGGACTCAACATGCATCCCCTCCAACCAATTCCTACTTCGATCGCCAGCGGGAAGCTCGCCCCGGTGGTCTGGCTGTGTACTATCAAACAGACCACCGAGAGGAGAGTATTCAGGCAGAAGGAACAGATTTCATAGCTATTGCACCACTCCAGCAGAATGAAGAACCTGTTGTCCACGGCCCCGATGGACCGTTAATCCCACGGTTCAGTCTATCCAAACTTCTCATGTCAATGCCAATGGATACAATCAAGGAGAAAATGAAAGAAGACCAAGGCCTTCTCCTTCGCCATTCCCTTGTCCAAAATTGTCCGCGCATCAGAATACTCACCACCTTCCGCGATGCCCATGTCTACGTCTTCCCCTATTGGGTCAAAGACCTAGTCCACCACCAAAGCAAACTGAAATCCGTTAGGGAGGATCTGGTCGGCGCCTGGGCCAAGTCAACATGGCAGAAAGGTCTCGGCGCCAAACTAGGGTTGACCAAGAACTTCAACGAAGACACCACTTTCACCCAGGAGACAGAATTTACGCCCGAAAGCAGCTATACTGGCGCATTCGTTGACAAAGTAATCGACATCAAGGATATGAGCACTACCAGGACCCGTTCTAGCTGCGAACTCCAGCCAGAGCAATTACACCAGTCCATCGAACTGCCGCAAATTCTAGCCTACGTCCACCGAGGATCAACTCCGTTCATTCGACGGGTCGATAACATAGGCGTCTTGCTTTCAACATCCCTTTTCCTCGCAAAACTGCCTTCTATCGAGGAAGTTGGTCGCAAGGCGGCGTCGCCTCTAGCACACGCCCATAAAGTTGCCTACCCCGAAGGCGTGGCTTCGCCCAGCAACGTTACAAAGAAGGATTGTCTGCTCGGTGAGAATGTAATTGTTGCATCGGGTGCTGTTATTAAAGAGAGCGTGATCGGTGCGAACTGCCAGATTGCTAGTGCTGCCCGCATCATTCGGTGCGTTTTGATGGAGGGCGTCGTTGTTGAGGCTAGGGCTCAATTAACCAGGTGTGTGATTGGTCGCCGAGCTCAGATTGGTCGTGGATCTGTGCTGAAGGGGTGCGAGGTTCAGGATGCTAATGTGATTCCGGAGGAAACCAATGCTAGGGACGAGAAGTTTATGGTTTCTGAGAATTTGTTTGTGTAAGGAGGGATCATGTACTGGAGAATGGTTACTATCCATCCCATTGTTCACAAGACGCTGCAGAATCTCAGTGCAGAATCTCTGACAGTTATTGACAATAAGATCAAAGGGACGATTTCAACTGAGGCATGAAGCAACCTGGAGACTGCTGGGTTTACGTTTGGTAGCGGCTCGTAGTCCTAAGCTTTTGTCAGTATAGTGGAGTTTGAGAATGAGACGTAGGTACATCGACATTGATAGCATCCAGGTATTCCGGTATTCCTGGCGCCCAGCATCGCACTCGCACTCGCAGCGCAGAACAGACCTTAGTACATCTAACAGTTCCCTTCTCCACTCGGCGTGATGGCCCAGTTCTCCCGAGGAAGCTGCTCTGGTTCCTGAGAGCTCTCGTCATGTAGTGTCATGTTGAGCGGCGATGCGTGGAAAGCAGTCCAGAGTATCAGGCAATATTGAGGGTTTACTTAGTTGAGTAACCTAGTGTTAAAGTGCGATGTCCTCTGAGGAAGATAATTGACTGATATCTATGTATGCGACCCCTCATGGTAGATATAGCCTAGTCCACCGGACCGAGATTCCTCCTACAGAACAACGCCATCATCATCAATATACTGAGTACTGAGCCCTTCTACGCATCAAACCAGACCAATAATAAAGACAAGAGTTCTTTCTCAATTGTAGCACTTGTCTTGTATATATTCTAAGATGTCTCTTTGAAGTGTATACAATAGCGACAGTCATTTATTCACGACTATCTCCAGCTAACATATTGATTTCTTGCCATACGAAGCAATCCCCCGAGGAATCGATAGTCTAGCAATATTCAACCCAGGCATCGAGGTTCATGTTCTTGATAACAGTGGAGAACTTGCCGGCGTTGGCTGCGTTGCAAGCTGATGTTTTCAAAGTGGAGGAGAGAACGGCTCTAGCTCGGAGATTGTGGTTACCGTGTCCGTGACCGTGTCGGTGTTTTTTCTCCTTAGTATTATCGGTGCTAGCCTCTTCGTCGTCGTCTTCGTCATCTTCATCATCATCGTTGGTGTCATCAGCGGCCGTGCTGGTTGCAGCGGCAGCGGCGGCTGAGGTAGAAGCAGGGATGACAGAAAGACTAGTGGCGGTTGCAGAAGCAGCGGTAGCTGAGGTAGAAGCAGGGATGACAGAGACACTAGTGGCTGTTGCAGCGGCGGCGGTAGCTGAGGTAGAAGAAGGGATGACAGCAACAGTGGCAGTTGCAGTGGCGGTAGCCTTGCCATCAGTGGAAGTCGTGGTGGCAGTGTCAGAAGTATCGTCAGAGCTATCCGACTCAATAGTCTCGTCGGAATATTCAATATGGAAAACAGGCTTATTGACATCCGTGAAGGCAGCATAGACGTCACACTCGTTGTACTCGGCACACTGCTCATTGACCGACCACTGCATCTTATCAATAACAGAGCCAATAATGTCACCGCCATTCTTCAACCCGATAGACATGCCACGGGAGTGCGCCTCCGAGGCCAGGAAAGTCAAAAAGTCAATCGAGTCAGCCTCTGTCAACCCGAGACCGTTCTCATTCCCATATGCATCAATATTGTCCGGGTCAACGCCATCGCAGCCCTTCTGTTGCGCCATGTCCAGCCGCGAGCTCATGATCGCACGAACACTGGTCGACTTGATATTGAGCCAGCGCTCGCCTGGCCAGTCATCGAGGTTGCTGCCGAAGTCCGCGCTGTCGAACTTGCTAATGTCTGAACGCCAGTCTTCATACGTGCCAGCAGAGAAGTAGCAGATGACCTTGTGGCCTTTGCCCTGGAGAGTGGTGATTGTCTCGGCGGTGTTGTCGAAGAGGTCGATGTCCCAGATGTCGGCATCGACGCTGGTGTCTTCGACGGCGTCGACAAGTTGAATTTGCCACTTGACTCCTGCCGCAGGCTGCCAGATGGTGGCATCGCTAGTGCTGGTGGTGTCACGCTTGAGGATCTTCTTCTGATTGTGTCCAGCTCCGAGCTCTGCTCGGAGGTCCATCCCGATGGCAAGGAAGAAGAGGCCCAGAACGCAGGATACCAGGAGCTTTCTCTTGGTCACTAGGACCTGCCAGCCGGAAGTTTGGGTAGAGTTCATCATTTTGGTAAAATCGGTTGAAGTTGAAAGGAGTGTAGTAAAAGAATGTGTGTGTAGAAATGAAGGGATAGACAACTTGAATCCAGCAAGTGTCAGGAAAAGGAACGACTGAAAGATGGTGAAGATAGAATGGGGAACATCATGAGTAGATGTCTAGTACTTATAGCTCCCTTGGAAATGGCGTTGAGAAGTATTTGGCGCATACCCTGCATCGGGGCTGTTTCAGATTTCCACATTGGAACCGGAGACATAAGGCTGGAGATCGCCTGAGCTGACCGAACCACTAGCGGGGGGACGTTAAACGAAGCCAAGCAAATTGGAGACCCCGTTCTGTCGCAGATCGGACCAATCAAAGCGATGCCTCAAAGCAAATGGGAGATTAAATTGAGGAGGATGAGTCCGGAGGAGTACGGGAAAGATGAAACGACCGCCAAGAAACGCCTCGATGTTGTCCGTCCAGTTGTGGAGATTCCCCCTGCGAGTGAACTGATGCCATCTGCTGATTTAGTTCAAGATGCAATGGTTTCGCTCCAATCGGGGGGTTCCGGTCTCGTATTAATTAATTTGACACAAGGTGAGATCTATAAAGCGCTAAGGTGAAGTCAATATGCCCTCAATTTCAATCTCAGGAAACGTGCATCGTGAAATGATATGTGCGAATCCACTTGGCAGTGAAATTGTCCAAAATACCCGATTCTAATGGCATTAGCGTCAAGCCTCAATAGAATCAGGCCAATTATATAGATCTTCACCTGGCCATATGGATTCCAGCCCCTTGGTGGGAGAGTCTTTCAGCTGGCGCGAGGGAAGAAATCTCTCCGGTTTGCCTTGGCACATTCCTGAGGGCTTAGCTGAGAGTCATTTCTTCTTTTTTAGGGTTAAATTGGCTGTTTTCTTTCTATGTTGATCTCCGACATTCTTTGTTTGAGTACGAAGTAGTGGAAATGAGTGTGAATTCATCAAATCCGGTATAAAATCCCTGATCCTCGACTACGTATATCCATGTATCTATCTGCTTTCGCGGGATCATTTCAAATTAGACCAATCTAAATTGCATTCCACCCTGTGACTAGACTAATGGCCATCATACACCTCATATCCGTACTTCTTCCCGACATGGTCATCACGCAAGCGCCTTTGCCCGGGCCCATATACCCTCTCTCGCATTGTACCACTCTCACCCAACGGCGCGTATACCCCCGTTCTCCTCAATTCCGGCACCAGGAGCTCAACAACATCCTCGAAAGTCCCGGGCGTCTGCACATACCCAATATTAAACCCATCCAAATCCGCCACACGGACCCATTCCTCCAAAAAGTCTGCGACGGTACTCGCAGAACCAACAGGAACGGGCCCAGCCCCACCAATCGAGATGTGTTTCCCGATATTCCTTGGCGTCCATTCAGGCACGTCGGGACTCTGGTAGGAGAGTGTATTGATCGTGGAATGAACACGGGCGTCAACATGCACATCTGACGGTGTAATAGGCGTGTCTAGATCAAACCGGCTAAGATCGATACCGCTTCCACCAGAGAAGAATGCAAGTCCTGCTTCTTCGCTGGCGTACTCTAGTGCTTCGCGGTACTTTGCCTGTGCCTCTTCGTCGGTTCGGCCTACAATCGGCGTGAGGATGGCGAATACTTTCACTGATTTAGGATCTCGGCCGAGCTTGGCGGCTTCTTCGCGGATGGCTTTAATTCGTGGAGCGAGGATGTGCGGTGAAGGGGCGGAGACAAAGATTCCTTCGGCGTGTTTCGCGCCGAAGGCGACGCCCGCTGGGGATGTGCCTGCCTGGAAGAGGAAAGGGGTGCGCTGCGGGGATGGATCCAAGATGTGAGGGCCGTCGAATTGAAAATGCTCGCCGTGGTGATGGATGTATTTGATTCGACTTGGGTCGGCATACACGCCTGTTTGAGCATTCTCTTGGAGAGCATCGTCGGCCCAGCTGCCCTCCCACAGTCTATTGCAGGTCAGTAATTCGTATGGCTATCCAGGGTTCACTGTTGCTTACTTGTACAATGCGGTCAGGTACTCGTCGGCAATTTCATACCGCTTATCGTGATCTACCAGTGGCAATCCCAGCTATAGATGTCAGTCTTGGGCAAAAATCCTCCAATGTGAATACTCACGGCCTTTGCAGCAGATTCCTTCCACGAGGTCACAATATTCCACCCGAATCGACCACCGGTCAAATGATCTAAAGTCGAGAACCTCTTTGCCACAACGTATGGAGCTTCATATGAAGTAGAGGTGGTGATCGCAAACCCTAGATTCTTGGTGACCGAGGCCATTGCAGAGATTGGCTGATACATCATGAGCAACCCAACTGGATCGAAAAAAATCAGACAGCTAGCTTACTATCGAAGGGTCTCCCATGGGATATTGAGCTCCATTTCGAATAGCGGGCTCTGCAGTCCCCTTGTACGTGTCATATAGACCATAGGTGTCGGCAAGGAACAACGCATTGAAATCGCCTTTCTCCAGTATCTGGGCGAGATTCGTCCAGTAGGAGAGGTCGCGTCGCTTGGTGGCTGACCGATCGGAAGGGTTCTTCCACTGTCCGAAGGAAAGATGGCCTACCGTGAACATGTCGAAGCCATTGAGGTATATCCGCCGCTTGGGTGGTGAGGTTTCAGCTGACATTTCAAAATTATCAAGCTCAAGACTTGATTTTATTTTAGATATATGCGGTTAGATCAAATGTCTCTGACAATTTTCAAAGTCCAGATATCGCTATATGTCGATATTATTTATCTCTCCAGCTGAGAGCAACCCCGCTCAACCCTCATCTGCTGTCATCTCTATAAGAAAGCACGAATACTCAACCCATCGTATCAGAACGCCTTCTCGCCAAGCGAGATAAGCATTGCTACCCCTCTAGAGCGGAAGAAGTCCGAATACGTTGTCTACAACGGGATCGCGTCATTTACTCTTGCCAAAACATCCGACAGGTTGAATTGAGTACAGATATTGAAATATGAGTCCGTTGAGTCTGCTTTGAAATACTCGTGGTGTTGTTTTAGTGATATATGGCGCAATCAACATATCGGTACCTGGCGACAATTATTCGTGTCAGGGGTATGATGCCATATGGCCTCATATCTCACAAAAGACGCGAGATTAGATCTATGCAAAAGATGATATTCGTTAAAATATACAAAGACCGGGGTTTCGTATTGATTCTCCAAGTTCGAAAAGATTTCACATCCTTTCGGAACAATGGCGCGCTTAGTCTCACGTATAGAGAGCGCCACAAGATGGTTCCCTGCCAGTATGCCATTGGTAGAACGTCAACTTGTTCGAAAGTTGGATTGGCTGGTTCTTCCATATGCCTGTTTGTCATTTTTTGTCAAGTATCTAGACGTTTCGGCATTGAGTATGTGTACCTCACATGCATGTTTCGAGAATCATTGACTGACATTCAATAGCTAATGCATATGTTTCTGGCATGAAACAGGATCTCGATCTGTCGGGGAATAGATTGAATTATATAAATGCTGCATGTAAGAACATTGCCCTTTTTCTATTGTCTCCAATGAATTAACGGCAGTTTGATTGTTGTGCTAACCCTGCTTGCTATCCAGATGAAGTTGGATATGTTGTGTTTCAAATCCCCAGCAACATGGTCTTGATCAAATACCCGTAAGCAACCTAAGTAAATAGCCATACAAAACTTCCAGCTGATATTTCCCATAGAGCGCAATACTACCTCCCAGCTGCGGAGATCTTTTGGGGTCTTTTCACTCTCGGAACGGCGTTTGTGCAAACTTACGAGCAGCTAGTGGTAATGCGATTTTTCGTCGGGTTGAGCGCTACTTCATGTTATGTGGGCTTGGTCCATGTAGTCAATTCGTTCGTGTTGAATCCCGACTATCGGAAATTCAAAGCATGCTGACTTGCGCGTACAGATGGTATAAGAAGGAAGAACTGGGACGTCGGAATGCACTTTTCTGGATTGCAAATCCCATCGGCCAGATGTTTGCAGGATATCTACAAGCTGCTGCATATACACATCTCAACAATCATCATGGTTTACAGGGTTGGAGGTCAGTTTCCCACCGCATGTCAAGCATTCCAATACTTACTATGATCAGATGGCTTTTCATTATCTGCACAATTATCACAATCCCTATTGCTTTGATGTAAGCAATTGGAATTATTGAAAAGTCCCTAAAAGTCTCTAATATCCAACTAACATATCACAGCGGATTCCTAATCTTTCCCGACATGCCAGAGCGCACAAAATCCCGCTTCCTAAGCGCAGAAGAAAAAGCCCTCGCCAACAAAAGACTACAGGAAGAAGGATTCAAGCCATCTACAGGTCTCAACAAAACAATCATCAAACGAATCTTCACATCGTGGCGATTCTACGCCTTCGTGCTCCTTCTAGTCATCTTCTGCAACATGACATACAGCGAAGCCACACCATTTATTCTCTGGCTCGACTCTCAGCCAAATAAATATCCCGTCGCTCTTGTGAACAACTTATCCACTGTCACGAATGGCGCGGCGGTAGCTGGCGCATTGATGATGAGCTTCTACTCTGACATTCGTGGATCTCGCTCTGAGCCTATAATCTTGTCTGGGATTCTATGCATTTTCGCGAACCTGGTACTTGCAATTTGGGATATCCCCGATGGTCTCAAGTTCTTCGCTTATATATCAGTGGGATGGTCTTACGGGACACTTCCAGTACTGATCGCCTGGACTGCGGAGGGACTTGCTGGGGATTTGGAGGTCAGAGCGATTACTTTTGCTTCCTACAATTGTCTTGGGGAGATTACTAGTCTGGTGGTGCCGTTGGTAGCTTGGCCTGTGTCAAAAGCACCTGGTTTCCGTGGGGGATTTATTTGGGTATGATTGTTTCTCAGCATTGTCACGTCTTATGAACTAACAGTCATCTTCTTTATAGGCCACGATAATCAGTGTTTTATATTTGTTTAATGTCACTTGGATTATGATCATGGAGAAAAGGAGTAATAGAAAGATAACGATGGCAGAGGAACAAGGAAGCGAGGAGGAAGACACTGTGATTACAGTTACACATGAACCGATTATGCGTGGAGAGGTCACTAAATTGTAGAAATGCGATAGTCTAATGGAATTGTGCCAACTGAGAATTACCCCACGTCGTCTTCAATATCATCCTCCGTGTCTTCTATGCTGTCTTCCTCTGAAATCATCGCGGACCATTTATCCGCCAGCTGCATGAAGAGCCTTTTTTCCAGTCCATCTTCTAGCTCCTGGAGTGATTCATTGAATGCCTGTAAGCCTGCTGCGAATCGAAGTGCGTCCCGCAGCGCCATGCAATCCTCTTTCGACAAGAGGAAGGCTAACACGACATCCCAATATTCGGATGGCTGCGGTAGCTCAGGCATGGTTTGTGCCCACAGAGCTACGGCATCTATATCCGAAATCGGTCCATTGGTTGATTGCAGTAGTATTCTAGCTGCAAAGTTCGAGTTGCACACCGCAGCTAGAGCTTCAAGTCGACTTGCTGCACGGTGGATGACTGGTAGTTTTGCTGGAGCGCCCAGCCTGTCCAGCATCCCCATAATCTGTAAGGTGCTGGAATCCTGGTTCAAGTAGATGATGATTGATTCGGGCAGAGCTATGTTCTCGATTGATATTTTTCCTATACCACAGGGCGTGGGAATGGTAGGAGTGCTCGAGGTTGTAGTCGTATCAGGGTGTGATTCGGGCAAATGATTGCCATCGTTGCTTGTACCGTCTTCCATCTGGGCGATCAAAAAATGATTAGACTAATAAGAAGATGGGGATAGGCAGGTGGTAAAGTTGACAAAGTGGAGGATGCTAGGTGAGGTGAGGTGAGAGAGAGGTGAGTAGGTGAAACTTGAAACTAGGATAACTCTCTATCTAGCAAAGAGAAAGAGATCATGGTCGCAGATCAAATGAATATTCATGGAGGGGAGACAAAGTGAAAGTACTCATGATGAAATTGCGTTGAATAAGTTTTGAGTATAAACTTGACGGCTCAAGACAACAGCCCAAATATGTTTGAACGAATAGGCAAAGAGTTAAAATCAAGAGGTTTGAATATAAATTCGTTTTGAGAGCGCTGATATGGTCTGGGATACAGAGCTCAATGAAGCTTTCTGGATTTTCGGCTCTGACGATGACCAGAGGTACTGAGTGCATATCGAAGATGATGCCCTTGATACTGTAGGCGACTGTTGGCAAGCTATTGAACCCAGAAAATCTGTCATAGGTTATAGCAATATTCAGAATCTCTAGAAGGAATAAGCTTATTGAGGTAAAGACTTGGCTTTTAAAAGAAGTTGAAGGATTTATAGTTTTGTTTTCCCAGAAGTAAACATTTTGCAACTTCATGAATCTCGCTGATAGGCAGGTACCCAAACATTCTGTATTCCGAGCTCAAAGGCATAGCCTTATTAGTGATATATATAAACTTTTACTCGAATCTTATCGTCACCTTAGCAGGTAACGACCGAGTATAAACACTTGGTAAATGAAACAATGCTCGCTATTCCCAAAAAAAACCAAAATGCATCATTCTTCAAGGCCAGAGAAGCACTTCCCTGCCTTGCGCCTTGAATCTCGAGACCATGAAGCCTGGACTGCAATTCGCCTCCCAGTCCTCATCGAACTCCGGAGCCGGGTGTGGGTTGGACTTTTGCTTCTTCGTAGAAATGATGGGGAGACCGCGAGGTACATGGTCCTCCGAGCCTGATGATTCAGAATCGCTGTCACCATACTGACTAGCTCCTGATGTGTTGCGAGGGCAAGGGCCTAAGAAGCGATTGCATGGGACACATTTGTAGTATGCCTGACTGCCAGCATCATTGGAGCTTGGGCTTGTGGATAAGCTCACGGCAGGGAGTCCGCATTGCTCGCATTTCAAGCTCTGTTCCTGGCGCTGTAGTTGGATAGCCATGGTGAAGGAGGATTGACTCTGGGTCATTGACTGAGGATTGTATCAGTAACTGTCAGACATAGGGAGATGCCTATATTACTCACATAAAATTGTAGTTGGGAGTAGGATAAAGGACCCAAGGTGGTAAGACAGATGGAGATTGCGTGTAATCGAATTGAATTGAATTGTTGGCTCAAGTCCGGGGAAACATCTCTCTTATATAGATTTTGCGGGGGAATGTCCACGGGTAGATCATTATAACGCCATTCGGACCAACTCCAACTACGCTGCAAGCGTGATATCAAAATTCTCGGCAATTACTTGGCGATCCTTGGGAAATCACGTAAAATTATGGGCTTCTAGACTCAGATTCGATCATAAAACGTAAGGCACAGCTGAATCAAGTTAGTAGTTCCCCGACGCAAACCGGGTTTTAGGTAATATCACGCAAACGCATCAAGTGACCCCTGGAAACATTTACGTTTCTATTCTTTAATAGGATGTTCTATTTTCGCGCCTTTGCAGAAATTGCAGACAATGAAGTCATTGCCACAGGAGCTTGAGGCATTATTGCCCAATTGGCTGCTCGGGCCGAACATTCCCCGCATTTTGACTTTCAGGTGACTTCATGTGACTTCAGGTGACTTCAGGTGACTTGCCAGGTGACCGCAACAACAAACAAGCACGCCTTCGTCAACTATCACATGATTGGAGGACTTCTCCTCAACATTTTACCCCTTACTCCATATTCGGCTATACATAGAACGGTCAGGGCACGATGGCCGAACTTGGCGACTTCATTGGAGGCTTGTGACACGGTTAACCCCCATCTATTCTTATCACGTCACTCATGACCTTATAACGGGGATCGATGGGCAATGAAATTTGCATAAACATCTCATCGTCTATGCTGATGTTAATGACTCATATTCAGTAGGCAATTGATGTTGGAGGTCTGGAACGACTTAGACTCTATGCCTATGCCCCTGACCTTGGTCAATTCCCAATCAAAGGCACTGCCAACACAGATTCATCCACCGACCTCGCGCCTTAACTCACACATGCTGAACCATGCGATTTCATTGTTGCCGCATTAGCAAACAGTCTCGCTCTAACATAAGGCCCTCAATGCATTTACTTCCGATCGAGATACTCAATCCAAGGCACTCGACAACATCAGTCCTGAACAGCAGGATCGCAGATTCCGTGGATGAGGACATAACGAAGACACCGTCCGGCGACAGCAGCACGTGGGGGTTGAAATACTCGTGAACTCTACCTGGGGCAAAGACTGGAATCCGCTAGAGTATTGGACAAGGGTGAAGATCTTGAGGTAAATGTTGGACTTCAAAAGACGAGAGCGTAGGTCAGATCAACCATGATCCAATGGTGGACCGATGAGTTCAATGTTGATTAGAAAGGTAATAGAGCGAGCCTATATAACGAGTAAGTGACATCGAATACAAATCATACAATTTAGTCTGTTCACACAGTTATATATTTTCAATAGGAGTAAACGTAAAATGTGTTCTCTTTTGCCCGAGTCAGTTCTCCAGTTCACTCAATACATTTCATACTGATCGCCTTCCTTGCTCCTGTCTATGATATACTGCGTTCACTAGTAATCGTCGAGTATACACTTAAAGCAGTATTTGAACGTTATTAAGCATACCCCATAGAGCGAAGATACCCCGATCGGCAAAATCGCGGTGGTCAAGAGTACGGTACATACAGCTACTCTGCCATTTATATTATCTTTCCCTTTAGATCAAATCCCCCATAGCTACCAGGTCGCAATCACTCATTCGTGCATTTCCCACTTTTCCAGACCACTTGACTGCCATGCTCGGTCTTGCAAGAGGCACCTATAAAATTACTTAGTGACCATGAAGTAAGAATATGAGCTGAAGGTTACTTACCAGCACAATTTTCTTCTCACTCAGAAGCCTCCAGTAGGGCTGGAGCCAGCGGTCGTCGTTGCAATAGAAGAAGAGGACCCTCCATTTACCAGCCCGAGGTTCTGCGCAAGAGAGGTCACAAGCCTGTCGCCCATAGAGCGTAGTATGCTGAAGTTGGTGACATAGCTTGTATTGAGAGCACTGCTAGGGAGTACCGAGTTGTTGCCAGTGAAGATGATATCTTGTTGGATTAGTAGCCGCCAAAGTAAAAGAAATATATATTTTCAGACTTACAGGTCACATCAGCATCACCATGGCCGTTGTTTCCGTTCAAGTTATCATTGGGGAAGCAAGTCCGGGCCATCAACCACGAGGCCTCGCCGATAACTTGGGGGGTAGCGCCATTGGAGTCCCCGTAAACTCCGTAGAACATCTTGCCGTCACTAGCTTTTAGTTAGAACAGGAAGCCGCTGAAATATCCACCAAAGAAGGAAAGTCATACCAGATCACTGCACCGATGTTATTTCCGGGAAGCTGCTTTGCGTACTGGGTTCCGAACCTGTCGGGAATCACAAAGAACGGCACTTCATAGGCAGCCAAAGCACCAAAATTGGTTTGGTTCAGGCCGTCCGCGTCTTCCTGCACCATAGGGTTAGCAATAATATCCCAGACAGACAATAATAATCACCTACCTTGCACATATAGTCAATACCGTCGCAGTCGACATCCATATCCGCGATCCAGACATATGCCGCACCCTATTATCAATCAGTTTGATCCTGCAAGTAGCCGGCTAGTGAGAGTATCTACCTGATTGAAGTTCGCCCAGTCGCTATGGATGGTAACTTCCTGAGCTCCATTTTCTCTATTGATAGGATAGGTACCATCGGGTACAGCAGTACTAGCCGTTGCAGCAGCGCTCTGCAAAGCAGTAACGGGGATAGACGAGCCAGCAGCAAAATAGCTTCCTGGAGGGCCGCCGGTTGGCTTGTTAAAGTTGAAGCCATTCACGGATTGCGTGAGTCCTGTGCCAAACAAGGCAAAAAGGACAAAGGGAATCGAGCGGCTATAGATCATCTTGATAATATGTTTTCGGGTTTGGTGCGCTGTTTAATCAACCTTTGGTTCCTGAAAGATCATCAATTAGCGACTAGTAATCACTACCTCGCTCATATCACCCGCTATGCAGTTGATCTCTCAGTCCTGTAAAATGTAAAACATACTAACTCTGAAGAGCCAAATACAATGTTTTTCAGCCACAATAGCTATAATATCAGGCCACGATTTTTGGTATCATCGGGAAATTGGAACTGAAGGAAGATTTTCAGCTCTGAAGGTCATTGCATATCATGATATCGTCACATCGGCGATGCTGTGATGTAAACGACACTCATGCAAACTTAGCTAGAACTTTCTGAGTTGGAAATACAGGTCAAACATAATGAAAAATCTTGAATAGACAGCTCAAACCCACATATAGGAAATCTATACTACTAATGTCACCTAGGCAGCGGTTAAAGCTTGTATTGAGTTGGCGAGTTCAACGGGGAAGATCAATATTAACAGGTGGCCAAACATAGTACAGAGTAATCCGTAATCCTATGTTATTATACTGACTAAAATCAATTAGAAATCCAAGATGAATTGGCAGGGGGGTGGCAGGACTAGTCCATCCATAGGTCCCAGACGAGATATCTAATGTATGTTGCAGAAAACGGTGGAAGATGGGTAATTTAATCAGTCTTACAAGCCCCGGATTATATGTATAGTAGAATAATTATTCACACGTTGGTGCCTAGCAACTTTAAAATAATCATCAAAATCCGCCAACGAGATGTCTACGGGTTGATCCTCTAACTTGACGGGCCGGCCCAAACAGCAATGACTAAGCAAGCTCCACGTGACCGACGGGAAACGATCAACTCCGACCTCGAAATTGTTTCAGAGAGACAACTCGATCAAGCATACCGAGACGCCGCCCAAGATGGCCAAGAAAGGTACGTGGAATGAGAAGCCCGAGAGTTCAATCGCATGATCCACCCGCCATTCCATAAGCAATTGGGATGTGAATCGGGCGCTGGGAGCGAAATTCGAGAACCCGCCGGATTCCTTTGCGGCTGATGGCTAACGTCGTCTTTTTCCCGGCACAGCGAAGTCCCGTACCATTGCCGTCCGGCTGATTTCTATGGCCATGACGGGCTACTACCGCACGATGATCCGGCCCCGTGTCCATCGTCCTCTCAGCATGATGAAGTACGACCCTGTCGTTAAGAAGCAGGTGCTTTTCCTTGAGGCGACCAAGGGTGGAAAGAATAAATAAGCTATTCGATTCTGGATATGGGTTCCGCTCGGCTTTTCTTTTCAATCCGATTGTTCTGCGCCTTGAGAAACATCCGCTTCTCGACCGCGATGACGACTTCGATTTCGATCTCTTCTTTTCCTCCTCCAATCGAGCCTGCGTTTCTTTGCAATTCCTATCCCGATACGCCGTCGAACGGTTTTTCAGGCTTTGCGCGTATCTAGGGAAATGCGATAAGGGTGTCAGGGGAACGACCCCTATGTGTACATTATTTTACCGAAGACAAGCGGGAAATTGTGATTTCCCCGGTTTCTCGGATCTTCTGCGGTAAACCTCCTTTTGTTGGAGCATGTGTTTGGCGTTAAGAGCAATACAGCTTTGGGTACCTCAATAAAACTACAATAAATATCCAACAACATTCCACTTCATCGCTTTCCGAAGCATGCGCCTTGCCCGGGGCTCTTTTCGTCCATCCGTCCATGACAACAGCATATCTTTCTAACCCAGTATCTGGATATATATGGACTTGTCGCACACACCTTGCATTTGATAAAGTGAATATGGAGAATTTGCTCAACTTGGTTAGAGTAACAATAGAGAAATGGTATTTCTCTCCGGTCTCACGCTGAAGTGCTCAGCCGGCGTCTTGACTGAAGCGCTGACTGTAACGGTCTCCTTCTAATCGTTAGCTAGAGCTATCCTAGAGAGAGGCATTGGGTATCTTACCTCGAGTGCGGCGCTTACCTCGGCCTCGCATATTGCTAGCTTGGCCGGCTGTGTTTCCCCTGCTGCTACCTGAAGCCAAACCCTTCGGACTCAGTCGTCGCTCCGGGCCGTCGGTTGCGTTTCGTGCTCTCTTCGACGGCCTTGGGTTCGCGTTCGAAGAGTGCTCAGTCTTATCCGTCGAGCTCTGTTGAGATTTGCCTACCAAAGCTTTGTTGGCAGGCTGCATCTCTGTAGTTGTTTCAATTGAACCCGTCTCCTCCTGTGCCACAGACTGGCGAAGACGGCTGTAAGTCCGTTTCTGCGTTCTCTTTATTTCCTTACTTTCAGACTCTCTTCCAGAGCTGTTGTCGGTTGCATCTGACATTCGTCTAGCTTTGCCAACCTCTGTTTGGGTGATAAAACGCGCCCCCTCGAAGTTGACTACTTTACGCTTGGTGTTGGGCCGTTCGTTTTTGGCATGTTTATCCACATACGAACTGTCGATATTTTCAAGAGTCGACTGGGGTCTTTCGCTTCTGTTGTCATCGGCGCCGGGAGGTTGTGTCCCGAGAACAGGGTTTAGGTCATTGAGATCTCGACTTAGTCTCAGATGATCTCCTGGAACAGATCGGTATTCGGGAGCTTTCTTGGAGGCATCCTTCGGCACCAACGCTTCCGGGAGATCTGGAGTCGACATGAAGAGCATCTCGAGCTCAGCTGGGTCATTGAAAAGTGACATGCTATTTTCCCGTGAAAGTCTGTCATGCAGACTTGAAAACGGAACAATATGGCCATGACCGGCAGGGAATTTCGGTAGAGATTCAGCACAATCACCCTGTTTCAAAGCCTTCGAGGGGCTAAAACTTTTTGGTGCTAGAGGTCCATCTGGCTGCATGTCTTCACCAGTATTGAAAGGCCCCTTATTTGATTCATTGGCCGCGAAGCGATTGGCATGTTTCCCCTCTCTTGACTCGAGTGTAAGAAGATTGCTGTCCTCCATATTCCCGGTATCATGAGGCTTGTTGCAAGACGTATCGCCAGTGATGGACGGAACAAGCGAGGACTGGATGATGTCTTCTATTTTCTGCCATGTTTGCTCAAAAGGCTCGTCTGAATGTACCTCAATCACCTTCGCAAACCCTTCTCTTATGGTCGCTTGCCAACTTTCAGCCTCCTGGGCCCGGCGGAGGAGTGAAATTATTTCAGCATCAGCTTCTTCCCCGACCTTTTCCAAAGCCGATGACCGTGATGCGAGCATGGCGAGGCTTTCTTTTGTTGCTGCAAGCTCTTCGGATTTCTGGGCCGTCTCCTGCTGAAGGACCTCGGCCCTCTTTTCTACATCCTGTATTGCCTTCTTCTTCAGCGCTACAGACTCTGTTTTCAGCCCAAGGCTCGCTTCAAGCTCGGTGGTCTTTACTTTTGCTTGTTCAAGCTGTTCAAGGAGTCTCTTCTTTTCCGTCAGGAGACCGGCTTCGGAGCTTTTCAATAAGTTTGATTCAGCCTCAGTGGCTTTTGCTTCTGTGATATATTTTGAACAAGCAACATTCAGCTCCTCGATTCGTTTCTGTGATTCGTTGAGCTGCGCCTATCAGTTGAGCACATGACTATCATGATCCGCATCGCTTACCATGGAGGCCTTTTTTAGTCGCTCCTCCTCGGCTGTCTTTTCGGTTTCGGTCTGCATACTGTTAGTGAACCCGTCTCGTCAGGCACAGTTGGGCTTACCAAAGAGCTTTGAACATTTGCAAGCTGTGCCTGGAGGTTATTGAAGTCTCTTTCTAGCTTCGCCTTTTCTGTCTCAAGGCCTTGGACTTGTTCTTCAAATTTAGCTTTCATCTGACCCTGCAATTCGATGCTTGCGGCATCCAACTCTTCCCGAATTCTCTGTTCGAGTAATTGAAGCTCACTCCCCAAGGCCGTCTTCTCAATTTCCAGCCGAGCATTTTGATTCTTAGATGCTTGTTCACTAGCAACAGTCTCGGTCAAAGCATGCTGAAGATGTTCATTTTCAGATGATTTGTTGGCAAGTTGCTTTCGAAGAGACTCAACCTCAATCGAGATTTCTTGCAGTTGGAGTTGCAACTGGGTATTTTCAGCGAATTTGTTGGCGATCTCCATCTCCAGAACAGGGTTCCCTGCTGGAATTTGAGCCTCAGAAAGCTTCTGACCGAAGTTCTCTAACCCGCGCACAAGGTCTGTTTCTGTTAACCCCACGGCCTTGATAGAACCACCCAGACTGTCGAGCATAGGCTCAATGATCTGAAGCTTTTGTTGCAAACTCCCATAGCAACTCTCGCTATTAGCAAGCTGTTTGAAAATTGACGAATACGGACCGAGGTTGCCTTCAATGGCTTGAATGACTTCTTGGAGGGCTTGGAACACATTCTTGCTCATTTCCGTGCCTCGGTCGACGTCACTTGTAACCTGTCCAGCCAATGAGTTGAAACTAGAGTTATAGTGAGTTTAAAATGTGTTGTTCTTTGGTACACTTCTACGGAACTTACCGAGATGTAGTCTCTTGAACGCTGATGGTGAACTCCTGGACATTCAAAGTCTCGGCAGAGCACTGCTCTTTCAACCCCTGAACCGAAGCGAGACAGTGTTCAAGCACCGGACTCAGTTTTGACAGGATATTATCCTGGGATTTGAAGCAAGATGTGGTGAACAGGTCATAGGCAGAGTCAAGTTTTTCGGCCATCTTGCGCTGGTCATTTCTGACAAGGACCAAGTTTCGCAATTGGCTCTGAGACTCATTTTGGATGTAAGCTTCTAGAGTGGCGATTCGCTTCTTCTCGTTGGATAGCTGGGTCTTGACTAAATCGCCTCTTTTCTCTGAATGGTCCAACGCTTCCCTCAAGCTGGCAACCGTCCCCTCGGAAATTGAAAGTCTCTCGCATTGGTGTTGAATGGTCTCTGCGCTGTTCGAAACTCTTAACCTGATATCGTCCAGACTGTTTTGGATCTCGCTTTTCTCTCTATCAAGAGAGATAGTGGCTGATTTCAATTCTTTGGCTTGTTCCAGGACTGCGCCATATTCACGACCGAGTTCGTTGAGGACACCTTTGAATGTGCCAAGTTTCGCCTTCCACTTTTCTATTTGTGCGCGCTGAGATCTTGACTCGGATGATGTTTTGGCGAGCTGTCCTTGGCATTTATTGAGCCGGTCCTGCAGATTAAGGTTCTCTTCCTTCAAGGCCATGTTCTCATTTGTGACTTGCCGTTGGATAACTGCGACTGCCTGCTCGCTTTCCTCTCGCTGTCTCATTCTTGTGATGAGAAGCTCGAATAGATCATCCTCATTCAGCTGAACACCATTTTTGCTACCAATGAGCGGTGCCTGCTGCTTCGACGATGCGTCCTTCTCAGGGGCACGTCGTCGCTTTGACCCCTGAGACTTATTTTGTACAGGTTTGAGAGGCACATGAGAATATTGGATCTCAATGTCCTGCCTCTCTCTGTGGGGATGTGGCACCTGGGGCGACTTAGGTAAGGCAGAATTAGCTTCACTCGTCCTCTCAATGTCAACAACACGCTCTTGACTCGACTCGACGACCCTTCGTGCAGGGCTGATGGTTTCTTTAGGGGTATCGGTCTCGGTGGGCTCGTTCAGCTGGGAGACTATCACCGCCTGTTCTTGTCCGAAACCCAAGTTCCCTATATCCCCAGCTGTAGGCTGGTTACCGCTGTCTTTGTTAGACTCAGCTGATGTTGATAGTCGTCTTGGTTGAGAAAAGACAGGTTGTCTCGCAGGGACTGGCGGCTTGAAGGGTCCTTCTTTCCCGACGCTGTGAGGATTGAGAGGGCTGAACCCAATACCACATGTTAGTTCATCGTGGACAGTGGTGTTCATCCGTGATATCAGCCTGGCTCATCTACATACGTGTTTGGCCTGGTAAGTTGATGGTTGTGCCCTGCCTCCTCTACCATCGTTTCCTTTGAAGATAGGGCATTGTCAATTCCAGGAGGGGGAATGGTAGGTTGCTTGATCAGATTTCGCGAGTACGAGGGCTTGTGTGAGGCGGGCTTGCTGAAAGAGAAATCTAGAACGTCAATGCTAGAGCTCTCTGGGCGCTGCAGCAATGGCCGAGACTTTTCGAAGCTCTCCATGATGAATGATTGGGGATAATTGCATGAATGAAGAAATGACAAGGTCTAACGAGAAATGGCAGCGACATTGAGGAATCGAGGAAGCCAAACCTGGGAAGGAGCTATCCCGTGACCGATCTACCACCCCAACAACCTCAGATGTGTGCACTAGTTCTCCATAATATTACATTGGAAAGAAATTAGTTGAATCGGAATAAGTAATAGGACAAGTGAAAAGGATCGAGAAAAGTTTGGTAATGGCCGCCATGTTAGCCAGTCTCCTGATTTGGCTGAAGTTCAAATTGGATATAGTTGAAGACCCCATTCCTGTTCCTGCATCCTACGGAGTAGTGCACGGATATATATTTGGGTACACTTGTACTATAAACTGCAATTTGGGTATCATTTTGTATGAAGCCATTAATCAACTACCATATGTCACCGTCGTCAGGGTCAGGTGACCCCGGCCGCCTATGGCACTAGCTAGATAGAGAATACATCATTATCTTCCCCAGAGATACTCCGTTCACGCTTAGAGCGTATTAATTATGATTATAAGGTAATATAGAGGGATCTACAAACATAATTATCCGAAATATATCTTGTCTTGTGTCTGTGCTGAAAATGAAAGAGAATATGCCAACACAGAGGCCACGTAACTGAAGACCATAATTGTCATTAAATGATTTGATACATAATCTGTATCGATCACAAGCAGCCTTATCCCAGGTTTATGTTTCTTGAAAGTCAAATAGCAGGCTGAAACCGCCCCTTGATTATCTTTTGCATGTTTTTACCCGACGCCCAGTTGACAAGGTTCACCCATTCCACATTCCATTTTATAAGCTTACCGTGGGCGCCCTCTAAGGTTGCTAGCTGCTGGTCTTTCATTTGACTAGGGATCAAAAACCCTGCACTAGCTGACTGCGTCCACATGTCAAGTTTGGTGGAACCAATAGTACTCGAATTGAGGGAGTCAAAGTGGGAGACAAACGCATTCGTACGTGTTCAGCATATCAGCGCCATAGTGGAGCGAATGCAAAAAGACCCGCCTAGAATTGATCCAACTGCAGCCGACAAAAGTCCTTGCAGGTGAGGGATCAAATCGAACGTTGAATATTCCACAGGCATTCCAGAGCCCTTCTTTATGACAGTTCCCGAGACAACCATGCATTTCGGCCTAAAGCGGTCCATAACGTGGCAGCCACGAGAAATCGGGAAAAACAGGCTATTTTACACGTGTGGCGAACTGTGATCAGTCGATTGCAGCATGGTTTCTAGGCTATCTCCTGGTTGGTTCGATCGATCGAACTATACGATTACTTGGGGGAAGATTCTAAATTGTAATTCCAAAGAGAACGAGACAGAGAACCCGAGAGATAAGCCCAAATTAAGTGGCACAGAGTCTCATAAATCTCATGAAGAGAGAGGGTTTTAAGGCGTAGATCATGCTAAATGCCTAAATAGCGATCTACATCGTATTGTACAATATAGCCCCCCAATCGCATAGAACCAATTTTCCCCCTAAAGTCCCAAAGCTCCCTGTTTCAAGCTGCATTTGGTTCGCCAAGATCGTCGCCTAGGATTACAAGTGACAAGTCACTGGCGAATTGAAAAAGTCTGTGCATTCTGTGGATATCATACATTGCCTCCGCTCATCAATCTAAGCGGGCCGGTCGAACTGGGCCAGCGCTATAGTAGTAGTATATACTCTCCACCTAACCATATTCCGTAGAACTCGATGCGCCGAGCGAGTGCGTGATATCTATGGAATATTTGAGTCTCATTGTTCATAGCACAGGTAGATCCAACTTAAGAGACAGACCAACGACAATATCAATATCAATATCTTCCACAACACAACTAGTCTTAAAGAGTAGTAGCACGGTGTAGATCGCACGGCGTCCCAGACCAGAAGAAGCATACTCCGTCGGTACAGAACTAAAAGCCCTTTTCTTTCATTTATCCCCCTTTCCCCGATTTTCTTGCGCGTCACGCGTGATTGGCCCCCAGTTACTGCCGGCTTCTTCCAGACCGCTCACCCGCTTCATCCCCTTTCTTTCATCTCTGCTTCACTTCCCCGAGCAAGTGGACAGGAGATTCTTGGTATTGGTGTCAGTTGTCATATTTATCTCTTCGATTCTCTAACTTGGTTCCTCCAACTTTTTTTTTTCGTGGTTTATCGAACCCGAAATCGGTGTGCTTCGCGACTAAGCTCCCGGGCCCTCACGTTTCCTGATATACATCTCCTGCAGGCCTGCAATCGAAGAATCTTCTTTATTTCTCCTGAAGAGTTCTGGTGGCCTTCTAATTTCATCCAGTTTTGTCTAGATCTCGGGATTTTACATCTAGACCTGCATTGATAATCTTCGCCGACTCTTGGAATATTTGGGGGGGGGGGGGGGGGGGGGGGGGGGGGGGGGGGGGGGGGGGGGGGGGGGGGGGGGGGGGGGGGGGGGGGGGGGGGGGGGGGGGGGGGGGGGGGGGGGGGGGGGGGGGGGG